TCATACCTGTTGTCTCTGTAAGACTTTCCAAAACATATTAAATTTACATCCTTATTTATGATGACTGAGACTGGAGTCCAGGGCGGGTGTTAGATGTCAGCTGTCAAAGTGATAAACTGCCAACACCTTTTTTTTTTTAGTAACAGTAAAGTGCTGATCTGTGATACGTTTGGCCGTTTCAGAGAGACGAGTGTCAGATTTCATGAGTGTGTTTATATGTTGATCAAACAAAGGGATTTCTTTCTTTAGTCCAACTGAACCTGAACTTTAAAATACACGTAAACATGTTAGTTTGACTGAAACCGCACTAAAGCCCCGTTTATACGTACCCCGTTATTTTTAAAACGGAGACATTGACCATCGTTTGCACCGTTCGTTAGAATTCGCCCCTGAAAACGATGATTTTTAAAAACTCCGGCCAGAGTGGAGATTTAGGAAAACTCTGTTTGCATGTAAACGGAGAAAAACTGAGATTTGTGTAGCCGACGGTAGATTGTGCGGCGGAAACTGAGTTAAATGCGTCGTTGATTACATGCAGTCACATTTATGCTGATGCAGTCCCTTTATATTTGTTTGCATTTGCATTTTTTCCAAAAGAAGGAAGAGAAGTTGTTGTTGTTGCTATGCAGGATTCTGATTGGCTAACGTGGGCTCGAGCTTCTCGCAACACTGCCACCTACAGGTCTGGAATGCTCTTGACGGCATATATGCACAGGTTAGTGTCAACAAAAACTTTTCTGAAAACGTAGTGGTGTGCACGCAGTTTTTTTTTTTTGTAAACAGAGAGGGTGAAATATCCATTTATGTCATATGACCACAGAGTCGCACAAAGTTAATTCTGAGAGTTTTTCAGGTCGGATCAAATGTCTATTATGAGCTTCTAACTCAGTAAGTCTACGTGACACAAACTCTTAACTTCCGTACAAAACCGCAGACATTTGAAGGATTCAGACAGACCCCCAAAAGAGGACATGTGCGGGTAAAAGAGGATGTATGGTCACTCTAGTTTATGAAAATAGTCGGGCACGTGTAAACGTAGTCTCAGTTAAACTTTCCACACAGTCAGACTGACGAACTGAGATCATGCGGATGGTGATCGAGCCTCTGCCCAAGAAAAGACAGCAGTCTTCTCTGAATGAAAGGACTCCATCCCTCACTAACCAGCTGCCGATTTTTACAGACTTTCCTCAACATTCAGATGTCAAAGTAGAAAACCAGATCATTGGAAGGAAGTGTTAAAAGTGCGTTTGCATCATGATTTAAACCATAATCACCTTATCAAATACTCTGTTAGCTGCTAGAGGAGAAAACTGGGCTGGAATAACTAACTCTACAGACGTTTAATGACTTATAATTATAAATAAAATCTTCTGAAACTGAGAAAGAACGACAACCTTCAGGATGTAGTGAATGCTTTAACTAAAGTGTCTTATATGATGTGATTTAGAGGGTCAAATATTAATTATAGATACTTCTATTGTTGCGTTTTGTTATTGTCACCCACAAACACGTCATTTCTGTCCTCCTGACAGAGCCTCATTGTTCAGACAGACTTATTTACTCAAGGCGCTCCTCTCAGTCCAGCATTACACAACATTACTTTTTATTAGCTTCCTTCTACAAATAAACATTTTATATTATCGTTTATTTTCAGAGTGGAGCTGTGTGCCGATGACAGTTTCTCCGTCTCTTTAAAAGTCAATATTTCTGCAGCGACACTGATAGAGATCTACCTCGCGCTGGTTTTGTGTAGTTATTGTTATTGTTGGCTGTGAATTCGCCGTGTAACTGAAACACAGATAGTGAAGAGTTTTTGTGTGTGCTGCTGGGAAACCGGCGATAAAGAGGCCAAGTGTTCTGGTTGTGTTTTCTCACAGCGTGAACCGTCACTTTAGGATATGACCTCAGTGTGATGCTGTAAAATCAGGTGATGAAACACATTTAAGGTCATTATCGTTTTTATTCCCAAATAGAAAAACAAGCGGTGAAGACTCTTAAACAAACACCATAAACAAGTGAAACTGTATTTAATCTAATTTGATTATTTCATTGGCTAATCGCTGTTTGGCTTAGCTGTTAATTTCATGACTTTATGGTTGTCATAACAACTGTCCTCCCCATCAATAAAATCACCTGACGCTGCAAATAATGTAAAAAACAAGACAGTCAATCCAAGTATATACCATCAGATCCTCGACTTGATTTTACCCTTCGATGTTTTACTTCACAGGATTGACTTTATGAAACATGGACTGAGTCTCAGAGACGTGAATCATGAGTGTCAGTAAAGACGTCAACGCTGACTCCGTCTTACTCTTCTTAAGAAACTGTCCGAGAGTTGAAGATCTGGGCCGACTCACCATCTGGCAAACAGCTTCAACGTGCCCACCTGCCAGCCGACTCAGCCGAAACGCTAATCATGCAAATCCATGCAAACTCTGTCCTGTTTTAATATCAGAAATAAGGTGTTGGGAAAAAGACTCTGTGTTGGACTAAATAAGATACTCAGGTAAAATGTGTTTGATTATACTGTCAAGAACCAACTAGAATAGAAGAGAATTTAACTTTATTGTCGTTGCACATGTCACAAGTACAGAGCAAAGAAATGCAGTTTGCATCCATCCAGAAGTGCTGAGGAAGTATGAATATATTTACAAATGTACACGGTATGAAGGAGATATATACACATGAGTATATCATGGAATATAAGTACATACAGGCTATGAACAGATTATACATGTGGTTATAAATATGAAGGTTATAAACAGACTATAAATATGATTATATGACAGATAAAATAAACAGTAGTGAAAATGAGCTTTGAAGGGTTTGTAGTTGGTTTTGTAATGTTGGACATGTCTTGTTTCCATAAATGAACAGATGACTCCTTTAGTGTCCAAATCAAGAAAGTGCAAAGATCGACCTGTAGCTGTGAAGGAGAGGTTAAGTTTGACCGTACTTTATACTGAAGGGATATTTTAGCAGCTCACTCGACAATCAACATATGAGATCAAGAAAAACAACCTCAGACCTGCTGTTTCCACTTTTATAAACCCTACAATCTCATTGGACGATAAAACGAGCAGAAGGTAAAGCCTGTTAGCCAATCAAAGGTCTGGTTCAGTCGCATCTCTTCAAACTCTTCAAATTTGACTGTTTTGAGGAGTTACCGTCTCTTTTTGACCGTCAGGACTGTAAGGATTCGGACTCGTTGTTGATTTGATTGTTCTGAGAGTCAGAATGATCTTCAGCTTTTTATGATTCTAAGCAGGGCGCGCCCATGCTGGTGTTTTCACAGCTGTTTATGACTGTGCAGGTTATCGTACCTGACGGGCTCTAAGTTCAGGCCACAAACACAGAAAGAGTGAAAAAGCAGGAGGTGAGAGCCGGAGAATAACCTCCACAGATCCACTTTTAAACTTCTAAATGCTGCTTCAAGTGTCACAGATTTATAATAATCTTCAAATATAATATCCGCAGAACACAAACCTTCACTTTGGATCATTTCAGAGATTTTTATTTGTGACTTTTTGCCATTTTGGTTCGGCTCAGTTTGACCCTGAACAGCAGAAGTCTCTCCTTCCAGCAGCTTTGTAACCACACCATGAGCTGATATTTACCGAGCGCTCAGAGCCAGCGCTCTTTCTGATCAAATATTAATTTTTTAAGTGCAGACTGATCGATGTTGATCTAACATAAACCTTTATGTAATACTGTCTGATCTAAATGTGCAGCCAGGTCTTTTTTAATTTTTTTTGTTCTGCAGCTCGGGATCACCTGAGTCTGCTGTAACGATGTGAAACCAGGACAACGAGGCATTTTCAGCCAATCAGAACGCTCGTATTATAAATCAGGTGGGATCACAGGAAGTATCAGTGCATTGGTTAAAAGCCGAGAGTGTCAAAAGTCATGCAGTTTAAAAGTCTTTTTGTGAATAAGAGATTATAATAAAATGTTTTTTTCATTGATGGACATCGATGAATTCGAGGTGTTTAACGTTAAACTTTAATTCACACTCAGCTGAGTCCTGTGGCGAGAGACTTTTGTCCCCCGAAAAGATCATTAATAAAACTTAAACATCTCAGGATGACTGATCCTTCAAAATAAAAGTTTTTTAGCTTTTTTATGTTTATGTTTTTTTTTTAAATCAAAATATTTGCTTTTTAATTAAATTGATGAGCTGAGATAAAGATCTGCAGCTAACATCATATTTATCTTTGTAAAAAAACAAACAGCTGCAGATGTGCTCTGTGTCACTCAGAGTAAAACAGGTTTGGCAGAATCATGTGTTTAAAACATTCGACTGAGGGAACCTTTGAGAAAACAGTACCTGTGACTAAAAGTTCCTGACACTTTCAGTGTGAACGTGTCTTTAGGTGAATATTCAACGTAATCAGTCGTACTGCGGTGTGCTAAAACACTGAGCTGAATTCACTCAGTGAGTTTAAAGCTGGACTAAATAAGAGTCGTTGTTGTTGTTGCACCTGTGACACAAATTAAAAAAAAAAACTTTATTTTTGACTGATTTTATTCTTTAAAGTTTCACTTATATTTTCTAATCTCCTCTCACTTTCAATTGTCTGTCACTTATGAGCTCTGAGGTCAGCTAGTCGTGTTTGAGGAGGTCTGAGCTAATCTGCAAGACACATGGTGCACACACGCACACACACACACACACACACACACACACAAACAGAGCGTTGTGTGCATAAGTAAACATGACTGCCCTATAAATATAAATTGCTTTGAATGGAGCAGGAATTCCTTTGCACTCGCCCTCCTGCTCTGCGGCTCCGTCTCTCTCTCTGCACACACCCCCAGCAGGTGCTTTCTCTCCAGCTGGAGTTTGCAGTTGTGCTTTAGGCTCTGACTTTCAGGTTAAGTGTTAATTGTTGCAAAGAGGCTGGGAGGGTCCGAGGCCTCGGGGCTCAGGGGCTCAGCGACAGACATCAGAGGGGGGAAACAGACCGTCTGCTGCACCTCTGTCCTCAGGTGGAACCGGGGTCTCCTGTGTGGGTCTGCATCACATCCATCCTCAGCAGAACCAGAGCCGCACCGAATCCTCATCCAGAAGAGTCTGCAGAGCATCTTTGAGCCGGTAAGAAAACTCAAACTCAAATCTGAAACAGGTGCCTGAAAACTTAAGATTTGATCTACATCTGCATTTATGAGACACAAACACCCAACGTGGGTTCAGTTTTAGTGAGTCAGAGGCTGCACCTGCCAGGAACCAACCTTCACATGACTGAACCAACTTTTACAGGAGATAGAGGACGGGTTTCCTTAAAGTTTCATGGTACAAGATTCAGGAGTTCAACAGAAATGTAAAGATTTTTGAAGGAGAAAAAAGCAAAGCTACTATTTAAAACCATTTTTTTTTTATTTGTAATTTTATGGCTGAGTCGTTTTAACTGTCAAAAGTAAGCACTTCATTAAAAAGCATTAATATAGAGTATAAAGTGTAAGTTATCACACAAGTGTTGGTGATTTATACTCAGAAAAATATCCTAAAAGTTAAAAAGCAGCAGAGAGGAGAAAGTGTTGAAACTCTGATCCTCATATTTTTAATAATTTTTTTGCCTTTTGTCTTTTCTTATCTGATTTTTAGGAACTGCGTAGCTTTCACACACAGAGATGATTAAAAAAAACAAACTGTGGTCAGATAAACGGTGTCTGGGGTGTCGCTGATGGTTCACCGCCAAAAACCACAATGACGCGCTCACGTATTCAAAACCATTTTCTCTCTTCTGTCCAGGAAAAGACGACGGAGTGAGGGATGGATTTGATTAAAAATGTAAATTAAACTCAGCAGCAATTATCCAAGACTAGATCGTGATAAGAGTTTTAAAGGGAGACAAATGTGATGTATGTCAGCTGTTTATTTGAGGTTATTTACACATTAGACATAAAAGACAGTTAAGAGCAATAATACTTCAACACTGTGCAGGGGTTAGGTTGTATAAAGATACCCCTCCTTTAGGATAGACAGATTAGTAATGACAAAGTTTACAAAGACAAGAGGTCAATTAGATTTAGATAGATAAGTGAACATAGATGCTGATTGTAGGATTTAGGATCGTTCTCAGTCAGAGTCTCTCATTGGTCTGATAGCAGTATTAACAAAACCTCAAATGAACAGAGTGAGACACAGTTAACATGAAAGTTTGGTGAATTTAACATAATATTTAATAAGTCTAATGTTTTAGGTCCCTGCTGATCTGTCTGCTGTAAACATTTGGAGGCGTATTTAAAGAGTGTTTGCAGGTGTTTAAATAAGAAAACTCTGAGAAATATTGTAGAGAAAGGAAATATAGTCCTACCTTTAAAAGACTAAATACTAAATTACCTGATTTGGTCGTAAAATTAGATGTTCTGCAAAATTTCTTGTAAATGGAAAATCCATCTGATCCCCAAATCTACCATTAATTAATATTTTAACGATAATAAAAACATGAATCCACCTCCAGCTCTGTCTGTCACTGATGTAACAGTGAAACGTCATCAGTCATATCTACAATGGTGTTTTCTGTTATTCTGTTTTACTTTAAAAAGACATTAATATGAAATTCAGTCTTTTTAATTAATGTTAGAAAAACTCCTCACTGGAGCTTTAAGTTCACAAAATCCACTTTCAAACAGATTTCAACAAAATTAATCAAACCAAAGAGAACTTTTTTTAACATGAATAAAAACATTGACTTAAACTCAGAAACATTAGAAAATCAACTTTAATATTTTTGATTTAAAAGTGACAAACACAAGAAAAAAACTCCTCATCAGGTTTATGAAGATTAGTAAAAATTAAACTCTCTGAGGTTGTTTCACTTCTTTATTTTCCTTAAATTGAACACAAACTCTTTATTGTGACTTTCTCGAACATTTATATGAGAAAGTCTTTCCTCTCAGTGTGATCATGAGTCATGGGTCATTTCCGGACTTTTTAAAACCTCTTAAAAACTCGCTCTCTCTCTGATCTCTCATGCTCAGCTCCTGTCCTCCACCTCACAGCAGCGACTCTCTCTGTATCTCCAACATCTTCGTAAAAACAGGGGACAGGTTTCTCTCTCCATCCATCCATCCATCTGCAGGTCCGATCTCAAAGGTGTGAACTTTATCATCTGCATCATTAACTGTTCACACAGACCCCCTCCCTCCCTCCTCCTTTAAATAGGAGTTTGGACCGGGACCAAAGAGTTTCCACTGGTTTTGTGTTTCCGAGGATGCTGGCTGAATGCCAGCGCTCAGATAGGAATCACACAGCGCACCGACATCCCTTAATGGCAGTTAATAAAACCACCCAGGAAATGCAATAAGTGCAATCAAGTGTAATTAAATGTACGTTTTTGTTTTTTTTTTGATGATAGGAAATGAAAGGTGTGGTCTGTAACTATTACAAACAGCAGTAAGAATAGAAGTCACAGCAAACAGATGCACACAAACTCAAAATTTATTTGCATTTGATGAACTCATCCCCTAAAAATAGACCAACCTAAACTGTGCACCTGCTCATGTCACTGTTTCCATCAATCCGGGACAAATACCCGCTGATCCTCCACACTTTCTTCTTCTTCTTCTTCTTCCCGGATTATTAAACAGAGCCCAACACAAAGATGAAACTGGAACAATGACTTCCTCAGTCCATCCGAGTTTCCCATGAGAAACAATAACAGAGAAAAAAAAAACGCTCACGAGCAAACAGTCACGCCTGGCTGTACACACTCCTCTAACTCCACACGCAAACAGCACAGAGCCGACGGCGCCGTGGACGTTTAGAGACTCCTCAGACCTCCATGATGACCTTTTGTCTTTTTAGTGAATCAGCAAGGTCAAACACTCGAGGACTCAAATCTATATTCATTAACTTTCATCCTGTTACTTTCAGCGACAATAAAAATGAGCTCACAGCTGTGGTTCGAGTCAGATTGGTCCAACTGACCTGAAACTTTTAGATAAAACTATTAAAATTAAGCACCTTTGAATATTATTCTGCATGAAAATCAACTGAAAGGAACAAAAATTGTGTGAATTTTTTCATTTAAAGCTCCTGTAGGGAGTTTTTTAAAGACTGAAGTGAACGGTGACGTATCTCTGAAAAAAACGGTGTTGTATATTTAATGCCTGTAACTGCAGTGAGTGAGCAGAAACACTAAACAAACAGCTTTAGTTAATTTACCCCACAGCAGATATTCATGGAGGATAATAAACGACACCTTTAAAAGACAACCAAGGAGATTTATTGTCAAGTAATACCACATTTATACTACAGGGGGCGCTGAAGTTTGACTTGTAGTTAATATTCTAACTAAAATTCAGCCTTTCATAATGTCTTTGGTCAGTTTTATTAGTGTAACTTTTATCAATCAAATAATTGGTAATCAATAAAAACTTTAACAGACTCTTTTTCAATAATCTTTTAAGGGCCTGTGTCCATTCGGAGTGTTTTTTTTTTTTTGACTCCCACAGCTTCCATTTTTAGAACGCCTCTCAACAGCGTTTATTGTTGCTAGGTTACAAAAGTCGGCCAATGGCGCTGAGCTTCCCTTATCAATAACATTTAACTCTGTTTTTAAAATGCCTCTAAGCTTCACGTGAGTTTTAATTTGATAAAAGTTTAAAAAGAAAACTTCACCAGAGGATAAGGACCAAATTAAGTTTTGTTTGAGTTTTGTTTTTGAATTCAGGAGTAAATTTGTGATTTTGTGACAGTAAAGTCATAATTTGATGTTCCTAAAGTCACAGAAAAAAGCCGTACAGTTATAAGAAGACAAAATACCATTAAACTTTAACTTTTTACTACGATTTAAGATTTCATTCTTGCAAAGTCACATCTCTATTCTTAAAGCTCCTGTGAGGAACTGTCTGTTTGTGTTGATTTTGGCGCCCCCTACATAAGTTAGCGCCTGAGGTGAAAAGTGCTCTGGGTTTGTGTTCTCGTGTTCTCGTGTGCTCAGCTCAGATAGTTTCCAGAGTCACGTTGGCGTTCACTCGACGTTCACTCTGGAAATGAAAAAATCCAATCCAGCGTTCATCTAGAATTCATGGTGTCGGTACGAACCTGCTCTCACATAATCACCCTCTCCATGTGAGTCTTCAGGCATGTAGAAGGAATGAGGTTCCCAGGGTGGACGCCTGTGTGGAGGAGTCTCTTCCCGTCCGTGTCAAAGGCTGACTTTGCCGAGTAAATGGAGCGAGCTCTAATGCTCCTGAAATGAATATCAGCGTCTTGACCAAACTCATTTAGAGATCAGTCAGGGTCTTAATCCCTCTCCTCGGGGGTGTGTGTTTGTGTCTTTTTCTTGTGCCCCCTCTTCCTTTTGGAAGAAGGTAATATGGCTAAATTTGCTTTGCTAATGGGCTTAGCGCAAGCTGTCGCAGAGCCGAGTCGACACGCAGCAGCCGGGCCGGGATACCAGCGGCTTTTAATCTGACTCCTGATGGAGTGAAAGGGAGAGAGGGTGAGAGCTTACCAGAAGTTTAGAGATAAAAGGAAACCGGGGAGGAGGTTTTACAGTGGGGGGGTTCAGGACCAAAGAGTGGAGGGGAAACTTCTCCAGGGGGGAGGGCGGGGGGAGATAACTTCATTTAACTTCAGGGAAGCTGTGAAGGAGAAAGTACACCTTTAACCAGGAGATGAAAATAACCTGAACGATAAAATCAGACGAGGGAAAAACACAGCGTCTGTTCTGAGAGGTGTTTACTCTGTAAGAGATGAAGGTCATCTTTATTTAAAAACTCAAAACACTCTGCAGAAATTAAATATTATCAGTCCGTATGGTGAGGGTTAAACACAGAGAGCTGCTCTAGAGAGAAATTTAACAAATCCACCCGGTAAGATTTGAACTTTTACAGGATTTACCAAAGAAACTTTTCGGTCATATGTGTCAGATCTTGTTTTAAATCAAGATCAGGATGTCTAACATGATTCCTGGTCGATGCTGTATGACCTTAAGGAGTTTCACCTCAATCCCTCAAAAAGCATGTTGCCAAAATAATCTCAAGAAAAAACATAAATCCTGGTTAGAAAACACCCAGAAAAGACTCAAAAATTATCTTTATTTACACTAGAAGGCAAAAAGTAAAATCTAAAAACACAAAACCGTCCAATATTGAAATAAAAGGATTATTATTAACTGAACATGATCAGAAGTTTCACTTTTTGGCTCTTTTTCTGTCCTATTTTAAAGCTCTAATGAAAAACCGTTGGTTGTGTCAACTTTGGCGCCCCCTGTGGACAAAGTACTTAATGACATTTTCTCCTGTAAATATGTCTGTTGTGTTTTCTAACGTCAGAATCTCATCCTGCTTTCTTTCATGGTGAATTTATGATGTTGGAAAATGTTAAATAAAGAGTGTTTTTTAGGATTTTAGTTTTTCTTTAATTAGAGAATCTGCATTAATGAACATTTACATGTAAATCTATGAGATTATAGCCAAGCGGCTCATTTCCAGCCCCAGTCCCATCAGCAGGTTGGTGTCAAAACCTAAAAACAAACATCGTTATAATCGGAGTGAAACACACCGATCATATCAGCAACAATATAGATGACACACAAAGTTCTCCTCACTGACCTTTGACCTTTGCAGAGCCGTCTGAAAACCTCAGCCATAGCTGTAGTTTATGTTTACGTTTGATTTCCTCTTATTGAACTTTGAACCCGTGTTTGTAGATGCAGTGATAAACTGAGTTCATAGAAAATGTTTGATGGAAGAGCGTTCGGGTTTATACGGTGAATTCCACTACAGAGTCGTGACTGTTGATGCAGGTCTGAGTCCATGCTCTGCTTTTCTCTCTTGTTTTCTCTGTAGAGTCGTTTCTATAAACTCTCTCCACGTTTAATGATGAAATAAACTTTAGATGGTTAAATCTGTTTACAGTTTAACTCTGAGGAACTTTATTCTGGGACTGTTGAACTTATTCGCTCACGCAGTCTCTCACAGAAGTGGTGAACCTCTTCCCGTCTTTCCTCAGGACAGACTCGGCTTCTCCTCAGACCCACTTAGTTCAGGGATGTTCTGCACGGTAAATTTTCCACCAAACAACAAACAACAGCCGCTCACTGACGTGTGGAGTTGTGGTTGTGCGTTTTCCTCTGATCTGATTGGATCTGATCGTCTGACAGTGAATCACTTTGCAGTTTTATGACCCTGAATAATAAATCCACGCCTCTCCTTAAACATGTGCGGTGTGGACGCACACTTCCTGCTCTGTGTGTGTGTGTGTGTGTGCCCGCTCATATGCCAGCTGTGGCGGGTACACACTCTGTCCGCCATATGCGCTCTCACCCTGAGATTACAACACTTGTGCCACAGCTGACGTCCGTAAACGATCATCTGATGATGGCGGTTTCCTGTCCAGGAGGATCTCTCGGAGTCCTCGTCTTCGTAATAAAACTGACGTGCAGGTTTTTTCTTTTCCGTGCACGCTCTCCTCCGCCACATTATCTAAGTTGATTAAAAACTCCAGCTGACAGTGGAGACAGACGGCACCTTGAAAGCCGAGGCAGACGGCGGAGCTGCTTCAGGTCTCAATAAGAGTCACCTACCCCCGACACATCAGCCTTTCTGGACCACTGACCCACACTTAAGAGACTCAGGCCAATCCAGTTTGGCCCCATGGATGTCAGAGCGGTGTGTGTGTGTGTGTGTGTGTGTGTGTGTGTGTGTGTGTGTGTGTGTGTGTGTGTGTGTGTTCACTCCCTTTAGGGTCATTTCCCCCAGTATCTCCATTAGGGTTCTTAAAGAGCATCAAGAGGAGCTCACCTCAGTCCAGCGTCGAACGTTGACAAAGAGCGAGTCTCTCTCTCTCTCTCTCTCTCTCTCTCTGAGCTCTGATGGAGTTTATCACAGGAGAGAAACTCCGTCTAGTCCAGCAGCTGCAGAAAAGAAACTTTTAGGAGGTATTTGAGACGAATAAAGGACGATCTGAGTTGTTGTTTGTAAAGTCCCGTCAGAGCTGAAACCACCGTCTTAAAAACTGGACTCATTTTCTCAACTCAATCTGCATCTTTCTGTCTCTCTCAGCTATGTCCAATCCAGTGGACAGCCTATCAGAGGGCCCCGTGTACACATCCAGGATCGGGATGACCGAGGACTCTCTCGCCGTCATGGAGCGAAGCAGAAGCTCTGGAGAACCCTGGGATCTAGGAGAGACCAAACCAAACGTGGACACCCTGGAGCGCAGCATCCCGGGCCTCTACCTCTCCTGCTTCGACATGCTCCTCACGGAGGACGCCGCCTGGGTGGTCAAAGTCTCAGATGCCTCCCCGTCTCTGGCTGTACCACCTCCTCGCATGGAGCCCAGGGAGGAGCCGGAGCAGTGCCCGGTCATCGACAGCCAGGAGCAGGGGCTCTCTCCGGGGCTGGAGGGTCAGGAGGAGGAGCGCTCTCTGGAGCAGGTGCAGAGCATGGTGGTGGGAGAGGTGCTGAAGGACATCGAGACGGCCTGCAAGCTGCTCAACATCACTCCAGGTAGGTTCTTCATCGTGGTCATCATCTCCATGTTCAAGGTTCCTACATGAGAGCTCCATCATGTATGACTGAAGACGAGTCTTTGGGTTTAGGCTGTTGGGAGAGGAGAACCAGGGTCCTGGTAAAAGATCTCCTGATAATAAAACTCAGAAATAAAACAGGAAACCAAAATTAAAAAGGTCCATGAAGATTTTTTTACACGCTCAGAGTCTCATAAATCCATCGTTGGAGGGTCAACAGTTTATAAACATGAACTGAAGAGAGAGAGAGAGAGAGAGAGAGAGAGAGAGAGAGAGAGAGAGAGAGAGAGAGAGAGAGAGAGAGAGAGCGTTAACATCTCTGCAGATAATCACGCCACTTTAACGCCGCTCCAAACTCTGTGGTCATTCTCTGTTTGTTATTTACATGATATCAAGTCAAAGTGATGCCCGAAAATGAACCATTATTATGTCTAATTCTGTACGACGGAGTATTAGGGCCGCATTAAGGAAAAAAAGTAAGACTCAGTAATGACTTAAGAGAATAAAGTCGTAGCTAATATTCTAACCTGTTGTTGGTTGTTGAAATGAGCTGTGGAGCGTTTAGATGAATTGAACTTCAGTAGTTCGGTTTCACAAACAAGGAGATACTAAATTCTTTTGGTGTTTCAGCATCACATCGACAGAAGTATCAGGACATATGAAGAAATTCGTCTTTTCTGATGACTTGTAGAGAATCACTGTTTTTGAGGAGAAGGTTACCGCCGGTGTTGTGTCGACATTTCAGAGACAGACGTGGTGTTCGTCGGAGCTCGACTCTCTCGGAATCATAAATGTTGATCATCAGTTGGATTGTTTCTCTTCCACAAAAGCTCCTGATGAACCCACAGATAACTCTGCAGCTGACCTGTTCAGACATTTCCTCCTCCACAGACGCAGCTTTAAGACGAAATTTACTTTACAACTTTATTCTCATAACTAATGATTTAACTACAACTTTAATCTTCACTTCGTTTTTCTTAATGTGGCCCTAATACTCCGTCGTAAACTGTGGAACACAGTTTTACTAAAATAAAGTGTGAGATCTGATATCCTGTCGTGTGAATAAAGATGTTAAAGAAAAGAAAATGAGTTAAAAGTTTTAAAATTTTAGAAAAAGTCGATTGAAGTTGTAAGAAAAGTTGAATCAAACAGACACAGAAGCTCCAGTTCTTCCTCAGGTCTGAACACCTGTTACCGTCGACTCCAGAGGTCTGTTAGTCCACAGAAATTTCACCCACAAAGACACAAATCTTTAAAGCACACAGGACATTTTTCATGTCTGTCCTGTTATTTGCTAAAAAAAAAGAATTATTGATTCTCACTCCCAGAACCAACAGATATTTGTGTGAGCAGCTCAGGCGAGATGACAGATCTCCTAAATAGTCTCCTGACTGACGCAGAGGCGTGTTTGCCTGCTCCAGGATCTCTTTAATCCTGACCTTTGCATGAGTTCTCCTCCGCTGTGGCTCTGAAGGCTCTGTCCTGACATTAGACGTGTACACAGTCTTATGGGCGAGGTCTCTGCCGCTCATAAAAGCAAACACAGTGAGAATTATGTATTGTAAGACCTCTGGCTGCTGTAAACCCGTGAAATCTCCAGATGACACCTGCAGCGGCGTGAGAGAGTGACTGCAGTTTTAGTAAACTTTGCATGTGTAAAAAAGACGCAGGATACACACTTAGAGAAAAAAGAGATAAGAGATAAAAACAAACCCTCTTCACTCTGTTTGATTGGTCAATAACGTTACACCAGGTGATCCCCTTCACACACACAAACACACACACACCTGACGGTTTTCTCACACAGACCCCATAGAGTGGAGCATGGGGAACGTGCAGAAGTGGCTGCTGTGGACCGAACACCTGTACAGGTTACCTCACGCAGGAAAGGCCTTCCAGGACCTGACAGGAAAGGATCTGTGCGCCATGAGCGAGGAGGAGTTTCGTCAGCGCTCGCCGCAGTGTGGAGACACGCTGCACGCTCACCTGGACATATGGAAGTCAGGTATGTGACGTCCAGTTTGAAGAATGATGTTGAGGTTTGACTGCGTGTTCGAGTCCTAATGTGCATTTTTATTGTGTTCACTTATTTAGGATCGTTTAAAACATCCTCACATTAGAATTTTTTAGAGTTTTAAGGACGTACCGTCTCTTTGGAGGCGTGTCAGATCTGCCACAGGTGGAGTTCATCATGTAGAGCGTTTATTGAAGGTCTTCATGCTCACGAACATCTCCATGACAGGTCTACAGAAGGTTGATCTTTGGCTGTGTTCACACTGCAGGTCAACTCAGATTTTTTAACCATATCTGATGTTTTCATCTAAGTGTGAACAGGTCAGTTCTGATTGGTTCTGATCCGACCCAGGCCTCTTCTGTATGTGGATATAAATCAGATATGTATCCGATGTGACTGCAGTGTTGACGCTCAGGTCACCTTCATCCGACCTATATGTCATCAATATGCGACAAACGTCACCATTGTTCGATAATGTCAAGTCACGTCCTGCTTTGAGCGCATGTGGGTCACTTCACGGACGCATTCCATTCACATCAGATTCTGCATTCGTTGTTGTATTGTGAACGACCGCACAAAAAGATCGGATTTAACAAAAATTGTGCATCAGAACCTGCAGAGTGAACGTAGACTTAGTTTCTCTGCCTCAGTTTCTACATTTCGAGAGCGTAGACTCGTGAAAATAGAAGCCTCTTAGATAACTGTGCAGCAGGAAGCAAGAGGCCGAGACGAAGCAGAACTCTACATCTATGTATCTATACCCTCAGGGTTAGATATCATAGCTGGTTTGAAGACAGAGTGTCTGAGTCTCCAGGTTAGCAGCTCTCTTGGTTTCCATGTGAGGAGGTGACGGTCTCCTTATGTTTGATATAATGAGTTTAATCTAGACTGCTGCCACTCTTGGGCTTTGTTTGTGCTGTTTTTGGTGGAAATATCATAATATATTGAAATGTGTATCCTTTTAGCGTACAGGTAGTGATTTATCATGAACACAAATCCGTCCGTCTTATATCCTCTTTATTATTGTCTGAGTTCACTGGGGGTCGATTTCTACCCAGAAATCCACAGCAGTGCGCGGCCTGAAATCAATGATAGTCGTTTCACATTTGTGATTTATGACATAGTTTTTGGTGAACGCTTCATGCAAATGTGCAAATAGAGAGAGAGAGAGAGAGAAACAGAGAGAGAGAGACAGAGAGTAGGGAAGGGTCACACAGGAGAGAAAGGGTTCATCAGGTCTTTACTGGATGTGTACACACAGGTAATTGCTCAGGTGAAAGAGAGGATTAGATGCAGCTGAATTAATTTGAAAGGCGTGGTCCTCTCGTTTAACGTATGTTATAATAACTCCATAAATAAAGTTTAAAAAACTGTGAACAATATTGAAGTTTAAAGTCATTTCAAGTCAAACACAGTTTTGATGAAATGTTTTATTTTCTCTGCAGCTGCCTGGATGAAGGAGAGATGCTCAGCTGGAGAAACTAAAACTACAGGTAGGTCTGAAATATTCAACTGTCGTCATTAAAACCTGCACAGAGTCAAATAAGGAGAGTTTGTCGTTGACTCCATGAATTTTTTTTTTAATTGTTGTTTTTGTTGTTCAGTCGCCGAGGAGCTCTGGTCTGAGGCCGACTCGTCTTGTTCTGGTCAGCCCATCCACCTGTGGCAGTTCCTCAGAGAGCTCCTGCTAAAACCTCACAACTACGGCCGCTGCATCCGCTGGCTCAACAAAGAGAAAGGTATCTTCATTCATTCAGATGGTTACTGCAGCCAGCCAGCAGGGGGAGCTCTAAATCTTACTCTTTCACAGCCAGTGAACACTGTTAGCATCTGTTTTTATAATCAAATAAAATGGTTTTGACCAATCAGAATATAGTTACTGCAGCCGCCCAGCAGGGGGAGCTATAAGTGTTTTGTTTACACAGCCGGTGAACACTATTAGCATCTTTTTTCAAAATCAAATCAAATATAATCAAAATGAATAATAATTATGAAATGGTTTTGACCAATCAGAAAATAGTGACTGCAGCCAGCCAGCAGGGGGAGCTCTACATCTTACTCTTTCACAGCCAGTGAACACTGTTAGCATCTGTTTTTATAATCAAATCAAATATAATCAGAATAAATAGTTATTGTTAAAATGGTTTTGACCAATCAGAAAATAGTTACTGCAGACAGCCAGTAGGGGGAGCTCAAAGTCTTTGTCTTTCAAAGTCGGTAAACACTGTTAGCATCTATTTTTATAATCAAATCTGAGGTTATGAGAATAAACAATAATTGTAAAATGGTTTTGACCAATCAGAATCTAGATCAATTTACAGTCTATATTAAAAAGTTAATTTAAATTTCTTTTTTTTTTTCGTCAGGTATTTTTAAAATCGAAGACTCGGCTCACGTTGCCCGACTCTGGGGACTCCGAAAGAACCGGCCCGCCATGAACTATGACAAACTGAGCCGCTCCATACGTCAGTACTACAAGAAAGGCATCATCCGCAAACCTGACGTGTCTCAGAGACTGGTGTACCAGTTTGTTCACCCAGTATGAGTCTGCAGCAAACTGGGACGAAGAGGAGACCTTAAATCCCACGAAACTGTCCCACCATGCACTCGAACTCTTCATCCTGAGCTGAGAAGGTGACATGGTTCACGGACACGTGCACTGACCAACCCCATCGGTACACACTTCCAACACTGAAGCAACAGCTGGCAGACAGCTGCTGCAGCTGCATGAAGGCTTATCGGAGCATCAGCCGAGAGGAAGAGACCAAACGAGGAGGCTGTTCAGGCTCTTTCCTCCTCCTCCTCCTGCTACAGCAGCAGAATAAAAACAACCACTCATTAAAAACAGGAACAAAAATAAATAAATGAACTGCCTTTCCGTTTCATTTGCTTGATCTGCCTGTTTGCTTTGCCATAAAGTGATTACGACTCTGTCCTCACGCTCCGAAATAAACCTGACTGCTCTTACGTAAAAGTGTCAAGAAAACGCCCATCGCCCTCAGCTAGGTTTGTTCAGTCCTTCTGTTTCCATCGCCTTGACCGGTGTCTCTGTTTGACTTGGAGCCAGTTTATCTGCCTCACTTCAAAAATGTGGTTTGTAATGTTTTGCTTTTTTGGGGTTTGGTCCTGACTGTTATAAACACAATCAGTCTGACAGTCAGTTTCTGCAACCCGCCAACGACAGAGAGAGAGAGAGAGTGAGAGAGAGAGAGAGAGAGAGAGAGATGTTTGATCTGACCTGTGAGGCAGAGAGAAAGAAAGGAGTCTGCAGAGTTTGGATATAAACCTTTAAAGAGTCTCATACAATGCTCTGACTGTACAGATTATTAAAACACGACAATATTTTTATTTCCTGAGGAGGAACTGAAAAAAAAAAAAACATGATGCATTTCCTGTTTGCTGTTTTACTGCTAAAGAGACGAGTTCTCCACATTTATCCTGCCAGCTCTGGTTTATTCTGCTGTACACTGACTTTTATATTGTCGACGTTTGACTTTTGAAACATGAAGTCTTGTTTCAAATAAATAACCATATGAATAAATCCAGACTGACTCCACTTTCACTGAAACTCTCAAACAGAACGATAATTCATCTTCTTTGTTTTTCAGTTTATTCATGTTTGGTTTCATATCTTTCATTTCCTGTTTTATTTTGAAATCTCTAACCCTTGTTCCTGTCCGCTCTGCCCCGCCCCCGTCTTGTCACACCTGTCTCCTGTCTCCCCACCTGTTTCCCGTCACCCTCGTTACCTCTTGTATTTAACCCCATGTGTCTCACAGTCTCTCTCATAAAACACAATGATCCTCTTTTCTGCAGAGTTTGTGTTTTCTCTCATTTCCACTCGGTGTCGAACGTTAAACATGTGAACTAAAGATGAGATAAAATGCTGAAACAAGAGTCAAACAAATCTGCTGCATTGAGTTAGCGTTGTGACAATATTTGCACAGAGACGACAGAGTTTAGCTTAGACTACTGCTGTGTATAGAGTGTCAAACACATGGATGTATCTGTGCTGAACGATGTTAGTAATGCTGACTCATCCAAACTCACCACAGTCATTTTTTTAAAGTGCAGTTTCCAGGTCCAGATCTGTTGCTTCTGACCAGATGACTTCATTTTTTTAGGTTGTCTTTAAAACATTTCACTTAACGAAAGAAACCACGAAGACTGACGAATATTCGAAAACACACAAGAATCTCTAGTGTGGAAAGTGGAAGAGCTGAGGGTCAACATTTAAGGCCAGCTGTCCACCAGAGGACTTTGAGATGGTTGGAAAAACTCTCAGTTCACACCTGAAGACGAGCGTTCAGAGTTTTTAGTCTCAGACTGGGATTTCACCAACGTTTCCTTTTGTCTTTTTATTTCTATAATATATGGAAATAAACTAAATGTTGGTTTTATTTTGTCTGCAGAACATTTAGATGTCTGCTGGTCGTAGCTGAAAGTATCTGCTAACACTAATATTCACTGTAAAACTGAAAACTGTGGGTCAACAGTCTATCTTACCTGAAGAGGGTCTCAAACGTTTCAGGGCTTCCTGCAGCCCACCTGACACCTGTGGAGTTTTTTGGGCCCGACTCTCGCCTCGCTCTCGCATCATCCCGGCTCGGCGCTCTGTGTTTGTTTTCCTGTTTACGCTGTGAAGGGGCGGGCCATAAAGCAACTGACCAATCACGACATTTTGACGAATCCGAACCCCTCTGACCCCAGCGCTCAGAGCGCGGGCTTTGCTTTGCAGAGCTGCTGTCTCTGGCCTGTCTGCCTGGAAACAGCAGACCAGCTTTTTTTTAATTGGCCTGCCATTGCGGCCAGTGTGGCCAGGCCAATAAGGAGGCAGGCCACCGGGAAAAGTCCCGCCTCTCCCTATTGCCAGTCTGGGCCTAACTGTGGTGGTGCGCCGTTACATGTCGGGGAAACCCTGCAGATGAAGTTGAATAGACAAGTCTGATCTGCCCACAGCTCCACTGTCTGCTCCTTTTTTATCACCAGTGTTTCCTCAAACATTCTTGTTTTTCTTGTTTTGACTCTCAGGTTTCCTTTTCCGCTTTTTTAGAGCTCATCTGTTGGTTGTTGGTTGTGTTACGTCACTGTGACAAACATGTTTGGTATTATCGCAAACGAAAGAGTAGGAAAAGACTGATATAAACCAGAGCAGATTACCACCTTAAACTGAACGATCGAGATGATGAGAGCGCTCTGTGACTCTGCTGTGACTCCAGTGAAACTCCAAGATTTACTGAAGATTGTCAGTTTTTAGTCTGGGACTGTGAAAATCGTTCTGTAGAAGCTCAGTATAAGAAGTTCTCTGAAACTGAGGAGGCTGGGGCTGAGAAAATGCAGCTGGCCCTAAAACTTAACTCGGCATCCGAACCGAACTGCAAATCCATCAGAAGAAACAGATCTCACTTTCTCTTCACCTCCTCTAATAGTTTTATTTCTATATTTTTAAGGATTTAAAAGCCTCACATGGGGCTCAACAAAGTCTTTATCCTGCTTTAATCCCTCCATCTGTTTTGTGTCTTTTGCTGATTCAGACTTTGTAAATTCGGTTACATGTCCCTCTAAATCCTGGCGGCTCCACCCATCCTAACAGTTGTTGGAAAGCTTTAAAGTCATTAAGTTATTAAGTTTTATGAAGTGCTCTTATTTGATCCAGATCTTCATCAGTTCAACAGGTTTAAAAATGTGTCATGGTTGTAGTTTTTACGGCGTGGGAGATCTGCCAAGAAAAGGTGGCCCTGAGCGATACTGAGCAGTTAGATCACGCAGGTAATCGTGCTTTTCAGAGCACAAAGTGGAAGTTAAACTCATCCCTGAATATACTGAGTGGGTTTTCTTACAGGATTCAGGAGGATTAAGTGGAGTTAACCTGTCAGACTCCTGTTGAAAGGACTCCACTGTGTGATATCTGTATGATCTGCGCCATGGCGATGCTAAAACACACTGGCAGAGGTGTAACCCATCGGGGATTTATAGGAGCTCAAATAAATGTACTTTTTCACCTCCACAGCTGTCGGCAGAGATAATTAATGGGCCTCACCATCCCTTTCACCACAGCTGACGGCGGTTTTAATTTATGACCTCGAGTAAACCAACATTTAGAACATCCATTTTAACAATTTAGACAACAGCTCCAAGTGTTTAACCATCATAATAAAAGTAAAATCTATAAACATGTGAGTGATGACTCTGTTTTTGTTCAGGTGTCTCAAAGCTGTTTGTTCATGACTGTTTTAATCATTACTGACTGATTATTGTGACGATGAGAGGCTGTTTAGTGAGAAATACTGTGAGAATATAACGAGGAGGATCACCTCAGCAGACAGACAGGTGGATTAGTTTTGTATTTTGTGTCAAACTGAGTTTATTTACAGCCTGTAGGCGGCTGCTAACCAGCTGGAATTGTGTGTTGCTGTTTCTGTTTGTATTATCTATATTCGTAAATCAATCTTTGAACTTTTTTGTGAATTTCATGTTTATATTTATTGTTGGTTGATGTTAGGAAGGGGTTTTTGCTCAGTAGAGTTTTTATTGGCGGTTATTTGTTACTGTTAGCCTTTATAGAGCTGGATTACAGTATTTCATATCTATAGAAATATTATTTGTTAATATTTCAGCCTCGATGGGATATCTGTGTAGGCAGTTTGATCTCAGCTCCAACAGTCCGATCACTGAGGTGTCCACAGACTGGACACAAACATCTGAACTGCACATGGTGGCGTCGCTGAAGGAGCACGAAGAACCATGAACACTCAAATACTGTTTTTACAGCGACTTAATAAAGAATTCTTCTGGAAAAAAGTCCCTTCAGTCTGCTTGGAAATCTTATTTATATATTTTTATTTACTTACTTTATTTTTAATTTATTTTTATCTATTTTACTTATTTTTATTCTTTATTTGTATTTTATTTATCTATTTATATAATTTTTATTTATATTCTATTTTTAATTGTATTTTATGTATTATTTTGTATTTTATTTATATATTTTTTGTTTGTTTATTTTATTTTTAATAAGTCAATTTCTATCTTTATTTTATAACTGCAATGAAACTTTTATGCTTTTATTTTGAAAGTCTCTGACTAAACCATATTCTAACTTTCTGTTTTTGCTTTTATAACTTTGGGGATTTTTTTCTAATATCTTGTGTGAAATATTTGAAACTGCTCTGTTGTAGAAATAAACGGTTTAAATAAACTCGTCTAAGTTGTCACTGAAAGATGTGCTTTAAAAGGTAAATTAACACAGTCAAGATATAAAACATACTTCATGTGGTGTTTATGAAAGCTCTTGCCTCATAGATATCTATCTGTGTTAGGCAAATAGTCTATTTGATAAAGAAATATTTGCATCAGCCAACCACCAAGTCTATCAATCAATCAAACAAATAGCAGTTTTGTAACTGATAAAATATTGGTTCTCTTTAACATCACCCTCCATTAGAAGTCATCGTTTGAGGTCTCTACTGGATCAAAAAAATTCAGGTATGACAAAAACGGAACAATCTGAATAAACTGGAAAAGGTCTGAGAGTTTTCCACCTTCAGGTTCCTTTAATAAAAACCATCAGACCTGAAGTCAGCCGTGTTTGTTCAGTCGTATTTGTGGCTCTGAATTCTTTCCCATTGTGGGATTTTTATTGGCAGCAGCAGCAGGTTCATTAACTGGCAGCAGGTGTGAGCTGTGAAGTGGTTGACACTGAATGATTGTGGTTTTTGTTAACTGATAATTAATAGGACAGCTCATCTTCAAGGCTGACAGACGAGCCGCTGAATCTGGTCACTACTGACCTCTAGTGGCCGCTCAAGAGAATGAGTTTGAAGATAAAAACTGTCAACTTAACCTTTATTAAGCTTCTGAGAAAACTGATAAAAAAGTGGAAAATCAATATTAAGCTAATTTATTTATGGATATTTGTATAGATATAGATTTATCTTTTATCAGTCATCTCTTTTACCTCTTTTATCTTATTTCTTATTTACTGTCTTTTTTAGCTTTTGTCATACTTGTACTTTTTTCTTAATTAACCTTTTAGGCCTTTTATTGTTTTATCTCTTGCTCATTTCTATTGCTATTTTATCATTACTTTTATTATCAGGATTACCAGTTATTATTTCAATATCATTGTTGATATTGCCTTTTATATTTACTATCCTGTTTCCACTTTGTCCCTCTGCATTTTCCTTTTTTCTTCACTATTTGATGTTTTTATTTTGGTCCTCTTGGTCTCATTTTATGTTGCATTGTTCTTGTTTTGTCTGGGTTCCTTATGAAAAATGAAAATGACCCTCAATTCCGTTTTTACTGAGCATTTTTCCATGTACTCTACGACTACACGTCAAAGCACTTTGTAAACTTCTGATTTTGTGCTATACAAATAAAGTTATTATTATCATTATTATAGATAGATTTTGTAGAAGTAGGCAGAGTCTCACAGAGTCTCACGTGTGTGTTTTCTGATGACATCTTTTATTTTCGCTTATGCAGATGAACAGGCACTACAGTTTTGAAAGTACAGCACTATGCTAAAAAGAAAAGAGAGAAGCCCTCCAGTCTTCCACAAAGTTTTCCCCCAACATTGCAGATCCAACTTTTCAGAAACGGGAGAAGCACTTTAGCAGTTTCTCTTGAGATGAGTTTTCCCATGATCCTTCAGTGTTATGACAGGCGTTTTCACAGTGGTTGTACCTTTACACTCTCTGAACAGCCGTGGTTCAGCTCAAAGACACTCCACTTTAATTCGTACGGCCTTCACTGGAACAAAGGGAGCCAGTGTTTCGTGTCAGCGTAAACCGAGCTGGATAAGCCGGCGGTGGATTCATCTGTGCTCTCTCTGCAGCTGAACCCTCAGAGTCTTCAGGGTGTCGGGGTGATAGATTTGATAAGGCAATATTCATTTCACCCTTCTGTGAAATTCCAGTGTTTATACAAGGAGCGGCAGTTTTTGAAAAAGCATACAGAAGCGTAAACACGGCACAGGCGACAGCTCCTCGGTGGGTTTTAAAAAACGAGCTTCTGTTCCTGCAGCAGAAAAAGGCAACAGTCTCATCAATATTTCAGCGACAGATCCTCTTTCTTCTTCTTCTTCTTGTGCAGCTTTCTCTGTCTGCGTCAGTAAGAGAACACCACCCATCCTCCACAACAAAAGGGTGTAGTTTTCACCAACACCTGTGGTCAGCAGGAGGAATGAACCAATCTCATTTAACAGAAACCCGACTGACAAACTTCATCTGATTTCAACTTTTAGGATTAAAACTCAAACACTGAACTTTAGCCGATACTCAACGCAGCGTGGTTCACGGTAAAACAGACCAATCACAGAGCTGCCAAGTCTCACGCTTTGAGTGTGACAGTCACGCAATTTGACCCACTCTCACACGCCACACTTGACATTTCTCACGCTTATTTTTCCCGGTCAATACTCTGTATTTATTTTGTTCATGATAATAAACTCGGCTCGCCGTAGTTCGAGTAACTCTGATTGACTGACCGAGATAACCAATCCCAGACCGATCCATAAGTCCTTTGTGCCGATGCTGCGTTCGAGTTACGTCAGAAGTCAGATGTTGGCGCTGAAAATGACGTCACACCAGAGTTCCCAGCGTTTCAGTTACTAAGGCTACGTTCACTCTGCAGGTTCTGATGCACGATTCGGATTTTTTTGTTAAATCCGATCTTTCTCTGCGGTCGTTCACATTACAACAACAATCATCTAATGCGAACAGAATGTGTCCGTGAAGTGACCCGCATGCTCACAAAGCACCTGTTTGTGTCGTCGAACAATGGTGACGTTTGTCGCATATTGATGACGTAAAGGTCGGATGAACGCGACCTGAGCGTCCACACTGCAGTCACATCAGATACATATCTGATTTATATCCACATACAGAAGAGGCCTGGGTCGGATCAGAACCAATCAGAACTGACCTGTTCACACTTAGATGAAAACATCAGATATGAGTCACAGATGGTTAAAACATCAGAATTGACCTGCAGTGAGAATGTAGCCTAATTCAGAAAAAAACAAAATCGCCCTACGTCTACAAAAGTTACTTTAGTGCATGCCTTATATTCGGACAAGGTAAGCTCTAAAATAACTTTCATAGATCTTGTTTCCGCCTCTGATTTTGCTTTTTTCTGACTTGGTAACTGAAACGTTTTTTTTTAAAAATGTCTTTACAACAGCACCGACATTTAAAACCAACTCGACATAATGCAGTATTGACAAATAAATATATATTTTTTAATTCTTGTTACAATTTTTATTTCTAATTTCTGGATAATTAAGACGATCATTAGGGAGAGCAGCTGACGTGGAGGTGAGGACGTCAGTCTGAGGATATAAATCGACGTTAAAAAAGTCGAACACATCAAAACGTTAAAGCTTCACTCTGGTCATTTCCTGAAACTTGGCAGCCCTGCAATCATGAGTGTCTATGTTACCAATTATAATAAATACAATAAGATATTTGATTCGATAAAGAAAGAGTTGATAGTTTGGTGGGATAAATTTAGGCCATGCACTGGATCAGTTCAGATCGGAGCGGTGAACAGTGTGTGGAGCATTAGCATGCACATAATCACGGAGAGAAGAAAACGCTGAGTCACTGACATTCACACCGAGTAAACCAGGAGCTTCATTAACTGCAGAAATGTGGAGAAATAATCAAATTATACAGGAGTAGTGAAATGAGGCTCGTCTCCACACAAAGGCGGGTTTTGTTCGTGGCTTCTGCACACGCTCAGTTAGCACATAAAGACAGAAACGCACTGACAGGTGAGAGGTCGGACAGCGGAGGCTGATGTAAACAATCCTTATTTTGGGAGAGTACAGATTTCCATTTCAAAGAGGAGCTCAGCTAAGATCTCGTTTTAAATGCTAATGCAGGACAACCCAGTCTCAGAGCAGCCGAGTCTAAAATAGCAGCAGAATTATAATCTACACTTTTATGTATATGAGATGATTCAAAGGGAAACCAGAGCGGCTCTACGTCCTCCCTGCTGTGAGTCACTCTGCAGGACTGCGGTAGTAAACGGTGGTGAAATAAACCTGATGGCAGGAGCCGTCCTTCAAGAGTCTCTGCTGTTTGAGACTAAACGTCAATCCTGTCTCTGTCAGAGGTTTCTCTTGTTTCTTCTTCAGGTACAGGAATCAGAAAACACATGTAGATAATGGAGGTAAAATAATGGATGAACTTTGATTTATGACCTTAAATGGACATGACAAACTTCGGCTTCCCGCTCAAAGTCCGGTTTGTAAGACCTCTTTGTTTACCCCGACCAACAAACCCATTAGACTTTGTCCCTCTTTGTGCTGAATAATGTACAGAATACATCTGCAGTCTAGTAACTGTAGTTGGAAATTGATGCCATGTAAAGACGTGCACAACCCCCAATTTTCACCGCATCTGGGTAACGATTTTCACCGTCCGCCGATTCCCACTGGATCAATTTGTGAGGCAAATTTCGTGGTGGATTAGGGACAGCGGGAATCACGAGAACTCACAAGAACCTGCAGATTCACGTTCAATCACGCGATAACGAGTTGTCCCTATACAGACAGACACATAGACATATAAGCAGTAGATTGTGTCCTTCCAGAGGAGGAAATCTACTTCTAGACTTCTAGAATCAGCATCTCCTCATCCATGGTGTCATCGGGGTGAAATGACGTCTAAAAACCTTTCACTTGTTCGTCTCCGTCCGAACAAATGAAAGGTTGTGTTTTATTTTGAAAAGAAGCCGGATGTTTTATTTTGTGTCTGTGCCCGACTTCCTTTCCAGCACGGGTTAATCTGTGCTGAATTTATCCGCCATGCTCCGGCGTCCGGAAAAAATAGAACTCTTGTGATCAGCTGAGGAGTCCGGCGATCGGCAGAGGAACGGAAAGAAGTCGGTGTAAATTGACACGTTAACTTGAATGGTTACGATCAGCTACGATCGGAGGATACGACCTTTTAGGAGACGATCAGGATGAAGGTGGAGATCGGGGGTAACTTGTCTACACCAGAATTACTGGTTAGCTCCACCCCCATGAAGCTTTAATCCTCAAGTACCTGGATGTAAACAAGCCCAGAGGTCAGGATCAGCACAGGTATGTGGACCGAAGGCTGGTGGTGAAACTCGGAGGATAAAAACTGTCCGTTTTGTTTCTGATGATCTTTTCTGTTTTTGTACGTCATAAAAAACAACATCGGTGTTATTTTCCGCCTGTTTCATAAAAGTGAAAAAACTCCTGACAGGAGCTTTAAGTCGCTGCTGTGAAACTGGGTCGTTTTGTGACGTTCTGAGAAGTTCAGGAGGAAAACAACGGAGAGTGATGAAGATAAAGTTCAACAGGACAGAAAATATGTCGTCTTTAAAGAGCGAGATGAGCGATCAATACTTCTCTTTAGTTTTGTGATGAGGTTAAAACTACAGCCAGCTGTGGATTAGCTTAGCTTAGCATAAAAAAGACATGATGTTGTTGTTGAGGACAAACTAACCTTCTTTAGCGTCCTATCTATACTGAAATACTGACATCTTCTGGTCCGTTTCTTCAGCTCTATCATTTCGTCTCTTTTATTTCTTTGCCAGCTGAGCTAACCCGGTCCTGGCTGTAGTTTTATACTCTTCACATCCTCCCGTCTCACTCTTTATAAAACTCTTATTATTCTTAAAGAAAAGCACATTTACCCCAAAGTCAGACTATCCCTGTGATGCTAAACATGTAAATATTTCACAAAGAAAACACTGTTCCATGAGAAAACGACTGTACAGGCATCCAGACGGTAAAAAAGATGAAAATATATACATGAAATGCACAATGCATAGCTGGGTCAGGCTATCCAGGCACAACAGAGGAAACCACGTGGATATAGAGACGAGGACAGACTGAATGGCACACGTCTGAAATCAAACACAGCTACACACCAACAGAGATTTCGTTCCGGTGTTTGGAGATGACGTGATCCTGAACAGATCTCGGGTTTTGGGTCTCGTGTCTCTGGGATGAGTGCTGAGATGGAGAGCGCTCGCCGTGCCCCGACAGGAAGAGGAAGCTTTGCTTTTCAGTCTCTGGCAATGTGCGGTTTATGTGACTGGACGGTTCAGTTCGGGTTTTTCCCTCCGACGATGAGAGCGCCCTCAGCTGGTCGAGTTAAATCGGCTCCACGTAATTGGCCGGGTACAGACCCAGCTGGCCGCTGTCGAGGCGACCTTTACACCAGCCCTGTTCGTCCTCGTCCTCCAGCTTCGTCAGTTCGTCCCCTGAGTGAAGGAAGTCAGACATTAGAGGTCCGTTTGTGGAGGTTCTGAGTACTGTTGTAAACCGGGTTCTGCGTGGAGTCGGCGGATCATTTCTCACTCACCTACTTTGAAGCTGAGCTCGTCCTGCTCCTGGCCTTGGTAGTCGTACAGCGCCCTCACCCTCACACCTTTACCCTCCTCTTCGTCAAACGGGTTCGTCCCTCCGTTGGTGTCGTTGCCTGAGTTCAGGGCCGTCTGGTCCTCGTCCGACCACTCCGTGGAGCCCGTGTACGCCTGGTTCTTCTCGTAGCTGCTGACACTAAACACCCAGATGTTTTGTCGTTTTATTACAATGTTTTAATTCCCGTTAACCATCATAATTACGGATGTTTTCAAAGCGATCAGTACCACCGAACAGACGGGTTAACCTCACCTTCCTCGGTCTTCAGCCTGAGCGTGCTCTACCGCCGTCGTAACGTGGGTCAGCGTGACTCCCTCGCTGTTTTTCTTTGACTTCTCTTTGTTGGAGATCTTATGGGAAAGGTCCGGGTTGTATTCCTGCAAAACAGGAAATACAGAGAAACACTGAGTCTCTGAGACCTGAGTCAAACTGGTCCTGCCAATACTCTGGTTTTCAGGACAAAAATAAACACGTCTATGATCATATTTCTGATTTCATCTTCACTAGAGTGTCAATATTTCCCAAAAGGTGAAAGTTTTCCTTTAATGGACGGACGTGATCTCTGATCTTGGATCTCGTACCTCAAACTGAGGCCAGTTCATGTGCATGCCGGGACCGTGAGTGTTGCTGAACCACTTCAGATCTTCCTGCGCACTGGCTGATGTGATGGTGCGTTCGAGTTCTCTGTAGACTGTAGCGTAACTGTGAAGGAACAGCAGAGGGTTAGTGTCGGGGTCATTTCAAACGGATACTTCCTCTAAAGTCAAGTCTCGAACCTTTGGTCTTCGGTCAGGTTGAGGTGGCGTTTGACATCCAGCAGCACCTCCCGCAGGAAGCTCAGCCTCTTCTCCTCAAACTGCTGGCACTGGTCGAACACCTGCTCCATGTTCTCCATGTACCCTGGAGTACACTTACTCAGCTCGTCCAGAGCCTTCTCGTACTTCTCCTTCGCCTGAGTTACAAACACACGGAGAGTCAGAAACAGCCTGAAACACACGAAGATCGATGTTGTGGATTTAAGGAATCTAAGACGGACGAATCTATAGAGAACAGAGCTGTTCGCTGTTTCTTAGATGTTCATAAACTTGTTCCGGTTCTGTCCGCTCTGGGTCGGCTTCCTGGTTCGTAAAGACGTAAATGTGAGATGATTAGATTGTGGAATCATTTTCTTAATATGCCAGGAGACTACAGTATACGCAGAAGCGGCCCAAGGAATAAGCGAACTAAGCGCCTGCTTAGGGCCCCATGGCCAGTAGGGGGCCCCCAAGAGCAATCAGAAAATATATATTAAATATTTTTTTATTTTTTGCATGTATGAATGATTCTTTCTGTACGATCAAATATTTATTATTGTGAAAATGAAATAAAGTAAAAACATTTCCGTGCTGATGTCGGCCTGTGATTCTTACAGCTGATAAATGTCAAAGCTCCGCTACCGTTCTGAGCCCCCTGCTGTGAAATGTGAACTGAGCATCTAAAGGTAGTTCTGGAACAAAACAATGTCGTAAAAAAGGACAAATCCTTCAGGAGCAGAAAAGAAAAGGACGGAGAAGAGAACCTGCTCAATAACTTCGATTAGAGAGAGGTTATTTAATCAGTTTGAGACAAAATGGTCAAATGATATTTTGTTAAAGCTCAATTACAAACATACGTCCAGATGAAGCACAGTTACGGCTCTGAAGCTTCTGTTAAAGCAAACCTCTCAATAAATCAGCGGTCTTTAATGGCTCAGCTGAGAACAGGAATCCGTCCTGTCGGCAGACTTAAAACCAGTCCTGAAGATGACAGGCTGTGTGAACTATGTGGTCTGAATGCAGTGAAAAGTGAGTCACATTTTCTGTTATATCGCCCTTATATGATGAGCTGAGATCTTTATAATTCACTGAAATGTCTGTTAAAAACCCAGAAATGTTCTGATGATGTTAGAATGAACCGACTGTTTAACTTTAATGTCTTTAAAGCCTGAAAAAAACATCAGAAAAGATTAACGTTCTGGTTTTATTGAATATGTTTCTTTCCTTTTGGCGTCCTGTAAACTCACTCAGGCTGGGCACTTCCTGTGCATGACACGTTCATAAAAGTTTCAATCAATCAATCAATCAATCGATATATCTGACTGACGCTTTTATGACACTTGACTCACTTCTTTAATAAAAATGTGATAAAAGTGAAAATGAAAGTCTTAAAGTTCAGGAGTCCTCAGAGAAGGGAGGAGCCTGTCACGTGTACATCTACCAACGCCACACCGACTTCAGCCGTGACAACCTTAAACCAACTTCGGAGGATCACGACCTGTCCTGCCTCACCTTCTGCGAGTCCTGTTTGCACTTGTCCACCTTCTCCTGGAGTTTCTTCTGCTGGTCGGCCGTCACTGAGGCTTCTCCCTTACTGTTGGCTTCTCTGGTCGACGCCAGCTTCTCCTCTTTACACGCCATGTGGAAGGACTTCTTGGCGGCCTCCAGCTAAAAGGACAAACTGAGTTAGAGAGTCTGAACTCATTAAAGTCACACGTACGTTTACATTTCACCGCTCGTCATCGATGGACTTATACGGAAGAGGATTAGGGCCACAGGAAGAAAAAAAAAGCTCAGATTTATTTTGAGAAAAAAAGTCAAAATTCTGACTTTTTTCTCAGAATAATAATTCTAAAAATTATACTGGACCTTTTTTTTTCCTGTGGCCTTAATCCTCTTCCATAGCGCTTAAATCCATCAGGGCTGCATCTTTTCTTTTGAGTTTTAGCTTCTGTAAATGGTGATACAGAAGTAAATGGGGAATTTTCTTGATATCCAAGAAATAAACTGAACGTCAGACGCTCTAAGATGAAAATTCCTCTCAGCAGCTTTAAACAGCTTCTTATGGAAAACAGAGAGAAAGAAGTTCCCGTCAAATAAAAGAAACAAATCCTCACAGTTCAATAAAGAGTCAAAATGAAAATCATTTTAGTCTAAAAATGATGAAAACTGAGACAACATGACCTTAAAAGAGCCTTTTTTTTATGATATACAGTACAGGCCAAAAGTTTGGACACACCTTCTCATTCAATGCATTTTCTTTGTTTTCATTACTATTTAAATTGTAGATTCTCAAAACTATGAATGAACACATGTGGAATCATGTGCTTAAGAAAAAAGTGTGAAATAACTGAAAACATGTTTTATATTTTAGATTTCTCAAAGTAGCCACCCTTTGCTTTTTTGATAGCGCTGCAAACTTTTGCTGTTCTCTCAATGAGCTTCATGAGGTAGTCACCTGAAATGGTTTTTACTTCACAGGAGTGCCTGAAGTAACCCTGACAAGGTACTTCTGTCATCGAGAGCAAAGGGTGGCTATTTTAAAGAAACTAGAATATAAAACATGTTTTCAGTTATTTCACACTTTTTTATAAGTACAAAATTCTACATGTGTTCATTCATAGTTTTGATGCCTTCAGTGATAATCTACAATGTAAATAGTCATATAAAAAAATAAAGAAAAGAAAAAGACATTGAATGAGAAGGTGTGTCCAAACTTTTGGCCTGTACTGTACACTCTAAGTGTTGTCAAAGTTGTCCTCATGGTGGGAAAACGCTGATTAATTGAGCTGAAAACCACAACAGCGCACACACACACACACACACACACACACACACACACACACACACACACACACACACACACACACACACACACCGAACACACACACACACACACTCTTCCTCACCTCCTTCAGCTTCTTGGCCCAGGGTTTCTGGGCCTTCTTGAAGCCCTCCTCGGCCTCTTTGGTTTCCTTGAATCCTCCCATCATCTGTTTGTGGTACGAGTCTTTCTGCCAGTTCTTCACCTTCTCAAAGTCCTCGTTGATCAGGTGGTTTTTCACGTCCTGGTGGAGCTCGCTCACCTTCTCCGCCTCAGTCATTAACGCCGTCCACGCTCGCTCGACCGTGCCGTACTGAGGTCCTGGTGGAGAAGACGGAGTAAATCAAACCGGATCAGACGGTTTTATCATCGTTTAAAAATGTTAATGACGGGGAACAGCCCTCACCTTTGTCCACCAGCTGCCTCCACCTCTTGGACCACTCGGTCAGCTGCTGGGCGTAGGCTTTCTCGATCTTGGCGCGCTCCTGGATGCAGTTCATCAGGTCATTGCAGAGCCGGTGACCGTCGTCGATCCTCTTCACCGTCCGCTTGTAATTCCCGACCTACAAAAACAAGATCTCAGGTTACTGCTTTTGATGTAAGAGACAGGAGGAGGAATCCATTAACCACAGAGAGTTCTGCCATAGGTAAGGGGTCAGGTAATAATGTCATCCAATCAAATACATTAAAGGAATACATCAACGTTACAGGTCTATAAACGAGAGACTGTCTTACTTAAGAGTGTGTGAGGGTCGATATCACTTTTATATCTATGTGGGGACTCGGCCAGCCACTGTGAGCTTAGCTCTGCATGAGTCCGGTTATTATAGGGCTGGGCGATACGGCCTCAAATCAATATCATGATAAGTTTGTACTAAAGAGCTAAAGAAGTAAGAAAAAAGAAGTAACTATTCCTATTTTTCTGTCCTTAAAGAAATACAGTATCAAGTTTGAAAAGCCCAACCCAACCTTTGACCTTTATGAATGTGAGATTCTTCCCGTCACTGCAGGAAAGTCTGACTCAGGAAACCTAACTTTGTCTAGTTTTAGTGAACCTGAACGTTTTCAGTCCAAAATTCCCCTTTTCGGTTCCACTTAAGGAACAAAAACTTAGTCATACTTTTTGAAAAGGTTCATGTCTGTAGTTCAAATTTTGACGGCAGACTAGACAGTAGGGCTCAAATCACGATATATTGATCAGTTCACCTCGATAACAATAAATAGACAATAACTACTCCACCAGCTGCTCACCCCCTCCCACATTAACTTCGTCTACTTCAGCCGCTCCAACTTTTGAACCGTCCTCCATCTCCTCACCTGTCTTTCCCTCTTTGTTACAGACTGGATGGGGCGGAGTCACGTCTCTGATGTAGGACAGCGTTTTGCCCCCAATTTCCACCGCATCCATCAATTTTCCCTGTCCGCCGATTCCTACCAGATCTGTTTGTGAGGCGAATTTTGTGGCAGATTTCGGACAGCAGGAATCATGCAAACTTATAAAGAACCCCCAGATTCACGTTCAATCACACGATAACGAGTCGTCTCTATAAAGACAGACACATAGACATATAAGCAGTAGATTGTGTCCTTCCAGAGGAGGAAATCTACTTCTAGACTTCTAGAATCAGCATCTCCTCATCCATGGTGTCATCAGGGTGAAATGACGTCTTAAAACCTTTCACTTGTTCGTCTCCGCCCGTTTGCATGGTGTGAAATACGATCCTCCTGAAACACGGAGTGTTTTATTTTGAAAAGAAGCCGGATGTTTTATTTTGTGTCTGTGCCCGACTTCCTTTCCAGCACGGGTTAATCTGTGCTGAATTTATCCGCCATGCTCCGGCGTCCAGAAAAACTAGAACTCTTGTGATCAGCTGAGGAGTCCGGCGATCCTCAGAGGAACGGAAAGAAGTTTTTTTTGAACCGAATATGTCGATATGAGCAAAATAACGTCTGTTATTGTCATAAATTTTGGTATCAGTAAATTTTTGGTTCATCGCCCAGCCCTAAGTTACTGCGTTATAAATAAAAAAGTCTTTTTACTGTTTTCTGTGGCCAAAAAAAAAGTACTGTTTACTTTATTCCTACACGGATCTCTGAGGATGTCTGAAGGAGCTCCTCTTCTAGATTTAAGGTGATGCACTGAGTAGAAAACAGGAACCAGCGTGTGTGTGTGTGTGTGTGTGTGTGTGTGTGTGCGTGCGTGCGTGTGTGAGTGTGTGTGTAGTTATGCAATGAAAGCAGAGGCTGGGTTAATGGCGTATAATTTAAAACTCTCTGTGGACGCAGGAGCAGCACCCTCCCTGAGAGCGGCGAGCTTCTCTGAGACAGAATAAGAACGAGGAGGCGGCTAAGATCACAGCTCAGCACGTTTGTTTCACGACTTTAAGACGGAGAGAAAGGGGCTGCATCTTTACCGAACCTGTGACTGACATTTACAGACACCTCAACCTGAAAATGACACTCAGTGAATCTCAAGTGTGGCTGTAATGAAAGCAGCAGCCAGGAGGGAGGAGGGATGTATTCCACACCAGCCCTCTGTCTGCAGCCAGCCGAGTCAGCGATCAGCACTGCAGCACTGATGGAGGAGGAGGAGGAGGAGGAGGAGGAGGAGGAGGAGAGGAGGGCTGGAGACAGACACCTCTGCTGCTACAGCTGATTCCTGAGCAGGAGGGACGCCATGAGAATAAAAGCAGCCGAGTCTGAGGAGAGGATTGATGATAAACCCTGAACGACGACACGATGAGACCGAGTCATGTGGTCTGTGCTCAAAGACGCAGTAATGTGAGCGTGTGTGTTCTCTGTAGTTGAACACTTAGCAGCTCTCATATATAATGTAGAGACTTCTGGGAACTTGTTGCTCAAATTACTTGGACTGTTTGTTCTCAGGGTGTCGGTGATGTAATCAGAAAAAACCATCAGAGGGCTCAGAAACCTGGAGCTCAAACAGGACATCAAATATTCATCAAACTCAACTGTTACAGAGACACTATTGTCTATAATCATTCAGTAACAATATCTGTGTTTTTAAACCGTAACTGTCCCAAAGTTTATTGTTGAATTTGTTTGTAGAATATCTATTTCTTGTTATTTATTGCTCCAGTTTGTTTTTCTTGAATTTATTACGACGTGTGCTGCTGACCTCTCAGCCCGGGTCGTTCTTGTAAATGAGATCATGATCTCGATGAGGTTTTACCCGGTTAAATAAAGGTTTTAAAAAAAACTTCAGATTCACGTGAAAGATGTTCGTCTTTTCTCCTGCAGCTGTGATTATTGTGAGCACTTTGTTAAAGTAATCGGAGAATAATCGCAGAAGTGCGATAATATCATGTGCAATACAATAATTCACACCTCATTAATCCCTCTGATTTATCCCCCACTGCACACGTTCACTCTGACAGCAGCTGCTGCATTTCTTTCGCACTTTGTAAATATTTGTTTTATACTTTTTTACATTTTTGAATCTTTATTCTATTGTATTCTTCTCCGTACTTGTTGTGTGTTATTTGTACTTCTGCGGTCCTTCTCCTCCAGGGCATTTCAATGCATTATTGACAATGTTTAACCTGAATATGACAATGAAACCAATCTAATTTCTGGTTTTGGTTACAAAAATAAATAAAATAAAATAAGTGCAGAGAATAGAATAAGAACTGCAGTCTGTCCTCAGATAGATAGATAGATAGATAGATAGATAGATAGATAGATAGATAGATAGATAGATAGATAGATAGATAGATAGATAGATAGATAGATAGATAGATAGATAGATAGATAGATAGATAGACAGACTAAAAATACTAAGTATATACAATAAATACAGACTAAATACACTAAACATCCTAAGAGATAAAAATGAGATACAAAGAACGTGGGCTATTGAAATGGGCAATAAATATGAAATGCAAAAGCCAAGAAACCCAACAAACATCCCTAACAGTTTTGGCTTTTTTTTTCTTTTCAAAATTAGAGAACATAAGACCTAATGATGTGAGAATAAGTCAACGCTGGAGGGGCTAATATGAAAGTCTTGTCATATCAGAGTCAGAGACAGGAGGGAAACTCGCCTTTTACAAGTTCAAGAGTCTGATGACGCAGAAGCTTTAAGTTTAAAGAGTCAGACCTGAAGGGCTGTGTCTGCTGCTGCATGATCTCAGAGAGAAGACTAAAAGTGTGTGTCCTGAGCTTTTGTGTTATTTTTACACACTTTAAAAAATAACCCGACAAGAACGACTGAAACTGCAGTTTTAGGTAGGAGAGATGCAAAACGAGTTTGATCAGCATCGCATTGAATTACACAGACTTTGCAAAGTTTCCTTCAAACGTCAGCAAGAAGTAACGTGACCGTCTCGACACCGTCCATGTGACTTTTACAAAACTGTGATAAACGCTGCATGTGGTTTTATCTTTAATACGAGCGAAATCACAGGTGACTAGAAAACATCAGCGCTCCGAGAGTGCGACTTTAAAGGATGAAAACTGGAGGCTAATCTTAGTGAGAATGAGGGAAGAGCTCCTGAGTTTAAAATAAGATGTTTTTAATTATTTCACATGTTGTAGTCGTTACATAACACCAGATTTATCATGTTTAATCACTGAAACGTAGCTGTTATCAATCCGAGAGTGTAAATCGATGCTGGCTAATGAAGCTGACGACAAATATAATCGATCAATCATCTCTGAATCTGTGCCCACACACACACACACACACACACACACACACACACACACAGCTCTCCCGTCTGCCGTAGACGTAGAAGACGAGGCGCAGGTTCAGTGAGAGTTCATCACCACAGCAGTCTCTGTCCTCTCTTCTGTTTAATCTGTCTGAGCTGAACTGTCTCACCTCCCAGAAGCTGTCCGTGGTCTCCTCCTGGCTGGCGGACTCGTCGTAAGCTCCAGACATGGTCCCGGATTTGGCAGGATGGCTTCAGGCTGTGTGGGTCTGCAGCAGAGTTGGGCTCCTCATGCACTGTGAGTGGAGATAAGCAGAGAAGAGGGTAAACACCGAGTTATAAATATGGTTATAAGCTGCAGACCCTGTTTCTAATACACACACAGTGTTCCTGAATATAATCACCTCTCTGCTTACACTCAACAACACGCAGATATCAGGAGGCTTACGCTCGCCGTCGACCGCTCAGTTTCAGACTGTTTATCCTGCAGCTCGAAAACGTTAATGTTGTATATTTTATATTTTGTTTTTTGTTGTTCTTCTCATTCCCACTCCGACGTCATACAGTTCACGGTGAAAGTGCACGTTACAGAAAATTACATTAAAACAGATGAAGTTGTTCTTCAGCAGATAATGTGAATATATGACTCCAGGATAAATGTCATGTTCATTACCCAGATTAAACCGTGTCAGCAGACAAAGTACAATCCAATCCTATTGATTAGCACAAGAGCTGATGAGATGATGACTTTGTTTCAGCAAACACTCATTTCATTATCTGCTGATTGGTTTCAAATGATCAATTAATTAGGACAACGATCCACAGCGGCACAGCACAGATGATGGAGCCGGAGCGTGGTCTTTATTGACTATTTAATAATAATAATAACTTTATTTTTAGAGCACTTTTAAAAACAGAAGTTTACAAAGTGCTTTGACAAACAGGTGCTGAGCACAGAAATCAGCACATGGAAATAAAAACAAACAAAAACAAAAGCTCCGTCAAAAACCTCCAAACTGAAGGACAAACTCATTTTTCATAAGAAACCCAGACAACATAAACTGAGACCATGAGGACCAAAATAAAAACATAAAATAGGAAAGAAGAAGAAATGAAATAGAAAAGGAGGGCAGAAAACAGGAGAGTAAATATAAAAGAGGATTTAATGATGGATCTTTGCACCTTTCTGTCTGTTTGTCTTCATCTTTTTTACTCTTGGCAGTTTTCAACCTTCTCTTCATAAACTCAATTATAATGTGTATTACCTAGGGGTGTCCCGATACGATATCAATACTGGATATCGGTCTGATATCAGCAAAAAAAATGAATATCGGATTATATCGGCCTGCATCTAAAATCTCAGATATCAGCACTCTGATACAAGAAGTCCATTCCAGACTCCGCTCCGGCATCCGGATCCGGCATGCAGAGCCCACATAATCACAACTTTAGAGTTTACTAAAGTACAAACAAAGTAGAGAGGAGTAGGAGTGATGTCGGCCCTGTGGCACTATCTTATATTTAAGTCTGAAAAAGACATTACAGCTGAGTGAGAAACTCGTCATGCACAAGTTTGTGCAAATATGGGATCAATATTGGTATCGGCTAATATTGACGGCTACATTATCGGTATCGTATTGGAGGTAAAATAGTTATATAGGGACATCCCCTGTATTAACACATAATGTAATTTTTGTACTGACTCAGATTTATTACTTACAGCCTGAAATCTTTAGTAAAACTGTTTTTTTTTCTATTTCATGAATTAATTAAAGCTCCAGTGAGGAGTTTTTTCTTTGTTGTGAAATAAACAGGAACTCATACTGATGCTTTTCCAGGATCTCCAAAACCAAACCATCAACACTGATGATTTTTATATTGTTGTATTTAATGCCTGAAAGACGTGTGAGGGGGGTGGGAGTCAAAAAAAACTGTTTTTACCATTTCTACACAAAAATAATCACTATAATTAAAACATTTGACTGACAAAAATCAAGATGTTTGTCTCACTGTAAAACACATCAACCCACAGGTACAGACAAACTAACTTTAAAATAACACAGAGCCAAATTAATGATCAAATATCTTCTGTAATTCTCTAAAACTCAAGATTGAATTCAAACTCCCAAAAACACGATTTTACACCAAAATAATCTGAAATCTTTATCAAAAAAAGTTTCCTGATTGTTACAATTGTTAATTTTCTTAATAAGGAGTAAAATCTAAATATCAAATAATAAAAAAATGAACATTACTGAAATAGTCCCATCAGTCAAACCTCAGCTCCAGTTATAACGTTATCTAAATCATTATCATTCACAATCTCTGACGTTAAGTTACTTCACAGGTGTCTAAAGTCCGAACTGAAGATGAGGAGATAAGTGATGAAAACAAAGGGAGGTCAAAGGTCAAAGGTCAAAGTCATGAGGTCTTTGTAGTTTAAACAACTACGTACAAAACTGAGAGTTTATGTAAAACCTCAGAGTTTCTGTCAACAGATTCGATGCCTGGGTGGTAATTTTGACCTCGCTCTTGTTAAACCGCTGCGGTGAAACTGCAGAGTAATTTTTCCCCGTTGAAGTCTGTTAATGTTTTACCAGAGCCTCGCTAAAGCGCCTCATGCTGCTGCAGAAGTTAATCGCTGTGACGCTGAAATTAGGACACAGACTGTCTCCAGAAGTAAAAGGTGATTGAAGACCATCTCAAAACGATCCATCTGTACGTTTATGACTGAGCTGCTGGACGGGCAAATTAGAAATGATGAATGAAACTTTTAGGGTCAACTGAACAAAACAACGAGAGTTCTCAAAACTCACAAAAAACAAAATGATCAAATGAAGAAACAAAGTGACCCCAAAGAGAAGATGACCGCTGAGAGGGTTAACGATTACAATTTGATGAAGTAAAACGGGGAGAGAAACTACGCACTGAGAAGCAACATGTGAGAGAAAACAACAAGAGACGAAAAACAAAACCCCCCAAAACCATAAACAAACAACAAAAGAGATTCAGAAAACAAACTACAAAACATACAGACATAATGACTGAAACAACTTTAAAGAGACAAAACTTAACAAAAGGACAAAGTAAACTGACTACTGAGAGACAAAAACACAAGGAAACAAAGTGACCAAAAGATAAATAAACCAACTACAAAGAAACATAAACACAAGTAAACAACTACAAAGGTTAAAAAAAGACAAAGTAATTAGCATCAGAGAAACATAAACGCAAGGAAACAACTACAAAGAGACAAAACTCGAAAAAAGGACAAAGTAAACTGACTACTGAGAGACAAAAACACAAGGAAACAAAGTGACCGAAAGATAAGTAAACCAACTACAAAGGGGAAAAAAAAGACAGTTATTAACTACAAAGAAACAAAAACACAAGTAAACAACTACAAAGAGACCAGAGGATAAGTAAACCAACTACAAAGGGAAAAAAAGACAAAGTAATTAGCATCATAGAAACATAAACGCAAGTAAAACAACTACAAAGAAACATAAAACATAAGTAAACCAACAACCAAGAGACCAAACTCAACAAAAGGACAAAGTAAACTAACTACTGAGAGACAAAAACACAAGTAAACAAAGTGGCCAAAAGATAAGTAAACCAACTACAAAGAAACATAAACACAAGTAAACAACTACAAAGGTTAAAAAAAGACAAAGTAATTAGCATCAGAGAAACATAAACGCAAGGAAACAACTACAAAGAGACAAAACTCGAAAAAAGGACAAAGTAAACTAACTACTGACAGACAAAAACACAAGTAAACAACTACAAAGAAACATAAAAGATATTTAAGAGGCAAACAACTGAGAAATTAAATGGCAGGCGTAAATAAATCAAAACTTCTTTAACAGTGAAGTATAAAAACAAGTACCAAAAAAAAGAGGCAAAGACAAAGACAAAGATCATTAAAGAGACAAACAGAAAAAACAACCAAAGTGGAAACACTACAGGAAGACAAACGACAAAGAGTCACTTTACAACAACAAATAGATAAAAACACTGTACTCTGTCAATCCATTTTACATCATTAGGTTATGTGTCTTTTCTTGTCTTCAGTGGGACCAAAGACCAAATATCACAGGAGAAGAACTGTTTGATGATGAAGAACCACAACACAGTCATCTGTCCGACTGACTGAAGCTCAGAGACTGAAAACATCAACATGATCCTGGTCCTGGTTCTGCTAAAGCCTCTCAGAGACCGAAAACATCAACATGATCCTGGTCCTGGTTCTGCTAAAGCCTCTCAGAGACCGAAAACATCAACATGATCCTGGTCCTGGTTCTGCTAAAGCCTCTCAGAGACCGAAAACATCAACATGATCCTGGTCCTGGTTCTGCTAAAGCCTCCTCACTTGACATTCTCACGTCTTCTTGTTCACGTCCAACACAAACTTTAATTTCACAAGTGAATACACAGTTAACCTGTCAGGAATGATAATGAATGAAGAGCTGCGTCTAATGAAACCTTTAAGGACAGAGATCCTCTTTGACTGTGGTAACCTCTTTAACTCAGGTAAATGATAGGAGCTCACAGTAAAGGAGCGTCAGAGTCAGTTAATATCACATTATTCTGTCTCAGGCTCACTCCTAAAGCTGCAGCAGACATCTATTCAGGGTGAAAGGCTCTGAAAACACTCTCAGTTTGCTGCCTGTGTTTTTGGATGATGGGTGTTCAGAAATCACGTCTTATCTGCTGATATTTAGCAGGTCTTATCTCTCTATCTCTTCAAGACGAGGTACAAAGTCCAGTTCAGTTCGCAGGATTTATCAATCATCCAACCGACTCCAACATTTTGCCAATTTTAAATCTATGTTTGAAAGGATTAAGAATGGAAAAGGTGGATAACAGAAAATCAAACGTGTCTGTCTAATGCAGATGAGGCAGGATGAACAAACACAAAACACAGCTGACAGACACACACACACACACACACACACACACACACACACACACACACACACAGATAGGATGCAAAGCCGGAATCCAAATGAACCGGATGACAAACAGGAAAATTAAACACCCGAGTTTGTTATCAGCGCGACGAAACGCCAGCTTTAGAAAGACTGAAAAAACACGGTATCATCGAGAGACTGCTTCATCATGATCATGGATAAAACTGTGAGGCATGATGGGATTTTTGGGAGGATTTACAATCTTGTTTTTAACGCAGAGGTTTGCCTTTTGTCTAGAAACCTTAACATGAGTCATGTCCTCTCTAACAGATGACTGCTTTGTGTGTTAAAGGACTAGTTCAGAATTTTAATCACAGGTTTGTGGAGATGGAGTAGAAAGATCCCTGTGGAGGTTTAAACACTTCAAAAACTACGCTGTTTGACTTTTAAAGGTGTTGTAGTCAGGATCTGAGTTAGTTCCAGTTTTTAGGAGAAATCTTGAATGTAAACTCTACCCCTCCCAACCAGTTTTCCCCTCAGCTCCTCCTCTCCCCTCCCTCAAGCCCCGCCCACAAACAGACGCTCCTGCTCGCTCGTATTGTTCCAATTAAATTCAGATATAATGCAGATAAATACTTCAGATCATTACAAATGGGGCCCAGTCAAGGTGAAAGTCAAAAGCATTGGTGCTACTGTAGATGCCAACAGACTACCAGCAAACACAATGTTTGCAGGACTTCTACAACGAGGATAAAGTGACATAGTCCAGGACCAGAGGGAGGACAGTTTAGCGATGGCGCTACAACACGCTACAGCAGGTCCGTTTGACAAGAAACACTTCTGTTACAGACACTTGTCTTACTTTGTTAAAGCGGTTTACCTGTCCAGCAGAAAGGTTACAGGGTCACCAAGATCCCCAAGCGTCCCCCATGGTTTATGTTGACCCGGCTTTTTAGCTCTTGTCCGGTCTACCTCCGTTTTAAGCGCCCGTTATTCCTCCAGAGTCTCCGGTATTTACTTTGTTTTCTTGCTTGTGTCGGCAGTCGTGGCCAAAGGAGGATTCAGACAATTTTCCGAACTTTCTGGTTGGTTTCTACTGTCCGATATTGTAGCACGCTAACTTTGTTTGGGCTCCTGAACGACACGGGGGAGCAGCATTGTTGTCATGTTGCACGCAAATGTTCGAAAAAAATAAAGCTGTCGTCTAACTTTAAGTTCCATGATGATGTTACACCTGATTTGACGGCGTTCCAGTAAACGAGTCGTAAAAACCAAGTTGGACGCCTACAGTTAACCATTGTCAGCTGTTGTTAGTTGTTAACTATATGAGTTGTAAAAAACGTATAACACCATTTTTTACTCGTACAAACACCATAGTACCGTGTTCACAGTTAGACGTTGGGCAGTTTAACATAAACCGCTTATTTAATTTCACAAAAACTAAACAGAAGTGATAATAAATCAAACATTACGAGAGTTTTTACTGTTAATCTTTACTGTTGATGCACTGTGCTGCCATCTTGGATTTTGACGCTGTCGTCAAGTCGGGGTTAATGAGGATCGTCCGAGTCAGAAATCCGACTTCAGGGGGGCTTCCAGATGAATTTCCGACTCAGAATTCAGAAATCCCGACTTCCGAGTACAACTGTGTTTCCCACATAAAGTCAAAATCTGATTCGTCATGAAGGTTAAACGTCACATTAAACGTTTACATTAAATCTAATAATTAGGACACCTGCAGACGAAGAGCGATGAGTTTCCTACGATCGACTCAAACTTTTACAGTCTCAGGGTTTGAAGCGGTAAAGACAGAGGTATAAAACAATGGAGAGAGAGGCAGCCATGCTGTGTTTTGATAGGAGGTCAGGGGGAGGGGTGGGAGCAGCATGGGTATGTGGGTCAACCATGGAGAGAGATGGAAGGAGCAACACTGCTGACAAAGACGGGCAAAGATGACAAAAGAGACAAAAGAGAAAAGACTTCAAATCTCAAATCCAGTCAATGACGGGGAATCTTCTCCAAAAGGCCAAAGTAATAAGAAACGCCCGGGCCGGATGCAGCGTGGAGCATGGCATGAGTGGGTGTTTATCACGCTTGGTTAATCCATTAACCACACGCAGAGAGGGGGCTTTTGTTCAGGAGAGAACCCCTGATCGCAGACTAAGAAAGCAGTCACTCACTATCCTCCTCCAGTTTACCATCAGGCTGACAAAGTGGAGAAAAACCTGAACAAGAGGAGCGGCATCTGTGTTTTTAAAGTGGAATATATGAGGAGTTCATAGAAAAACATCTACAGCATCACGCTGCTTTGGTTCATCCTCACAAACCAGACCGAGTATCAAAGTGCTGCAGGGATCCACGTCCCTCCAAAAACTAGTCCAAGAAAGACTGAAAACCAGCGAAACTCGCAGCGACGCAAACCAGCAGCATCGACGTGTCACGAGAGTCAGACCCCACAGACAAAGAGCAGAACTACACCCAGACAGAGAGGGAGCACAGCCCCCCGCCACAGCAACAAAAGCTTACCCCCAGTCCTCCATTAAGAGCGGCTCAGGCTGCAGCTCCCAGAACAGACACGTGGGCTCCTCCTGCTCCCTCAGCCCCTCTCCTCTCCTCCTCTCCTCTCCTCTTGGTCGTTTACTTTTTGTCTCCTCTCTCTCTGACTGTCTGACTGAGCGATGGAGAATCAGCGTGCGGAGAGGAGGAAGAGGAGCACTAATCTGTGATCTGAGATCTTTCTAACCCTCCAGCGCTGTTCAGGAAGGGCTGTGTGAGTGTGTGTGTGTGTGTGTGTGTGTGTGTGTGTGAGTGTGTGTGTTTCTCAATGAGAGAGGGATTATCCTGTGGTGCTCTGCTTGAATGGTTCAGACAGAGCAGAGAGAGAGAGAGAGAGAGAGAGAGAGAGAGAATAAAGGGGGGTGGAGTAGGTGGTCTGCTGCTGCTGTTTATGAACTGTACTGTAGATGTATGTGTGTGTGTGTGTGTGTGTGTGTGTGTGTGTGTGTGTGTGTGTGTGTGTGTGTGTGTGTGAGCTCTTCCACATGAAATCGAAGCCGTAGAGTTTCATTTCATGAAAAGATAACACAAGAATAAACTCTGCAGTAAAGCCTCCTGAAGTGAGAGTGTTCGTCTCCTCCTCTGACAGGTGTCCTTCTGCAGAGATGAGGAGAGCCTCGACACGTGACTTCATCCTCAAACCTGAGATTTAAGTCATTAAGATCAGCGCGAACAAAGAAATGCAGAAACGACCTTGATTTGGGGTTAAGAGCCTGATGCAGCGGACCACAATGCCGTGCTGTTTTTGTTCCTGATGTGACTGGATCAGTCGTAAAATTTTACAGCGAACCCCAAATCCCCAAAGTCGACACTAGAGTTTACATGATTAATGTAATCACAGACGCTCCAGGGGGTGTGAGATTGTGCGATTATATAACAGCACAAAGGTGTTGTGATCTGAATACATGATGGTGTGTGTGTGTGTGTGTGTGTGTGTGTGTGTGTGTGTGTGTGTGTGTAAATATCAGAGCCTCTCCTCTGATTGTTTGGAGTCTGTTTGGTTACACCCATCTGTCTGATATGTTCTGTTATTGTGAGTGATTTTAACAGTGTTTTATTCTATTCTTTAGTGTTTCCTGTTTTATTTTGTAGGAGTCCATCCTTGTGTTTCTCGTCTTGTTTAACTTCACCTGTGTCTCACTGTCTCACCTGTTGCTCGTTTCCCTCTGTGTGTGTATATTTAAAGTCCCAGTCTGTGTCCTAAATGGATCTCTAACCCCTATAAAGGCGACTATTTGGCGGTTAGCGCCATTTTGAGGGCTGTCCGAAACCTGAGTGATCAATTCCAGTGCCCCATATAGGCGACTCAAAATTTCCCATAGAGCATTGCAAAATGCAGTGACCATCCGATGGTCACTCACCGGTGGTGGGCATCCTGTCACGCATTGCGTCTCCAGTGGCAACGTCACAGTGGTAGAGTCCGAAGCCTCCGGTGACTGAGTTCACGACATAGTCAGCTACATATTTAAACCCCGTATGAGGGTTTGGGATTCGTTTTGGACACAGACTCTGTCTTCCTCTGTGTCTTTGTTGGTTCATCCCTGTTTGGTAATTTTTCAGTTGGACATTTATATGAAGTTTTTTTGTTCACTTTCATTTAATTTATTTTAAATAAATCTTTTTTTTTTTTGTTCTGCATTTTGAGTCCTTTCCCTTTTTATTTTACTACGGACCAGGACACTATCATCTGTTCTGACTTTGTGTGTGTGTGTGTGTGTGTGTGTGTGTGTGTGTGTGTGTGTGTGCGCGCGTGCAGCATCTTCGTTTGGTCACATGAATATCCAAAAAGCAGAGTGACCAACATTCATGAAGATGAGCTGATGCACGAGGATGAAGCCGACACTGACCAGGCGACCGTGCCAAAAACTAAAACATTAAAAACAGATTTTAAATGAGATTCAATAAAAATATGATAATCCAGACTGAACAGTAGCGTCCCTGTTAGGTCCTGTGTGTTGAAGCTCGGGTGCCGCCCCTCTCCTCTAACATCAGCAGCTCAAATCAAAGTGAAACTAAATGTTGGAGCGCGAGGAAGTTGCAGCTACCGCTCAGATTAATGGCGGACACGTATCTTCAACACATTGTGCAACAGCAGTAGAAACGAGGAGAGCAGGAGGAGGAGACAGACGTCTGTGTCTGAAAAGCCGAGGGACAGAATGTTTGCAACAAGAGAGAGAGGGAGAGAGAGAGGCTGCAACGCTAACGAGCTAATGAGCTAACGAGTGGAGACATGGATCTGAGTCATAATAAAATACAAGCCCAAGTATCAACATTTTTAAACACATGATATAAAAGCTTTAAAAAACTAAAATCCTTCATTTTTATATGAAACGAGATTAAAATAAGTGAGTAAAATCACTAAAATTAAGTCAAAGTTCTTAAAGTGAAGAGAAGAACTGATGCATGGTCCCTCTAAGTCGCAGTTCATCTGACTGTTTTAAAAACGTATATCATCCAATAAGACAAAATAATCATGATTCTGACTCTTGAAGCCCTTCAGTAAATGTTGAACAGAGAGAAGAAGCGCTGTTACAGACTTGTGAAGGTAAAGTCACAATACTGAGTGTCAGCACGAGTAATTTATATCAGCACTTTAGACAACACAAACTAAAGTCTGATGAAAGTCTGTGAAGGTCCGGATAGATAAAGACAAAGAGAGAGACCACGAGAACAGGGTCGAGGGTTCGCCTGGTTTCAACAGCTTAAACCAGAAAGTACAGAAACGATGACTCTGCAGTAATGAGGACCTTCACAGGAGAAAATGTGACACCTATCCCACAGGAGCTTTAATATCGGCTTTAAACTGAGAAAACGATCAGTTATCACCTCTGCATGTTAGTAAGAAGTAAGTCCACTCATTAATTATTCTGCGATATCGTCCTTTTTACTCTTCTGTCAGACTGATCTCCAGTGAACCACATCCACACAGAGCAGCTATCTAACCCTGAAGTCCAGGTCAGGGTGCAAAGCTCAGTTTTCATATCAGGTTATATTGCTTTGTGCAGGTTGTGTGTCGTATAAACATCAAGAATCTGACTAATCGGTTTTTTATTGATTTAGACTCAGAGTGCTGCAAATCTAAGCGGCAACATGTGAGAGCTTCCCACCCTGACAACCATGTCACAGCAGGACGGCCTCCATGTTTATAAGAAGACACAAATACAGATGATCTCTGCTGCGTTATTAGACCTCTCCTTTAAAAGTGAGTTTAGCAGTCTGAGAGCCTCCGACAGATAACCACGTGAAAAAATACACCAACCAGAGAACGAGCTGAGTCCGTCCCACACGCCGTTTTTCAGAACTGCTGCCTGTAAAAATTAATAACCCCCAAAAAAGGGATGTAATAAAGTTTAATCACGCTCAGAGCTGACCTGCTGAGGCGTCTCTGTCCGCATATTTGAGATGAGCCATTATCGTCATCATCGCAGTGAAAGGACTGAAATCTGGTGTTTTAATGTTGTTCCTCCGTGATTTTTAAGAGCTACACTTTTTAAAAACACGTGTTCAGAAAGAAGCTCCAGAACTTTTCCTGAAATCTTGGAGACAAAAGAGGCGAGACCTTCAATCCCACTGTCCTTCTGTTGACTGGAGTGTAGTAGGGAGTGGACTGACAAACATGAGATCACCACCTTCAGACTGAGCGAATGAAAGGTGGAGCTGACACCGATATACATGAGCGGTCTGGAATTCGAAGGCCGTATGGGCGGGACTGTGCTGTTGACATGGCGGCCATAAAATGATTAATAATTACACGACGACTTGTCATAAAGTTTAGAAACGACAGAGCTGCTCTGTGAGGAACAGCAGGGCCAGAGATACTCGGGATATCTGATTTCTTAACTCTGCGCTGGAAGAACCTGAATTTACAACAAACACGATCCCAAACACCCTGACGTGTAAACGTCTGTCATCAGCTGCTGCTCCAAACGCCTGCTAACCACACCGACACGGTGCCACAGGACGGTTCTGCAGACTACCATCATTTAAAGAGGTTTGGTCAGGAAGCATCAGGACCATCATGCCCCCCTCGCCTCATCCTGGTTCCCCACCCTCTTGGCTCACTCCCTGATCTCTCCTGCCTCCCTTATCCTGCTCCGGTTTCTGCTGCTCTCTGAGCGGATGATGACCTCGGCCTTCTCTCAGTCCCTGATGTGGTCTAACATGGCTGACTTGAAGTCCTCCTGGTCTCCTCTTCCTTTTTGTTTCTGGCTTTTCTCTCTTCGTTCTTCTGTGACTGTCAGACAACAGCGGACACTTCAGGAAGGACAACCAGACCTCTCTAAATCTGCTGACAGACACCACAACAACATCACATGACTCTTCTGAAGGAAGACGTTTGGAGTCAAAACAAGTCAAGGTCAAAAAGGGAAACCACACTTGACTGGTTACACAAAATGTTTACCTCTTTAAATCATTTGTAGAGTTATTTTAACCGACACTAAAGTTCCTCACTGGATCTTTCAAATATCATGTTACATTAGATTCACCCTGAAAGACCTTCACAGTTACAGAAGGTCAAAAAACAACAATTCACCTCAACAAAGGCTGCTGTTCTTTATTAAAAAAGCTCATTAAAACCAGTTAAAGCTGAAAAATCATTAACTGTTAATGAACGTTGTAAAAGCCGATATTAAAACCATGAAACACAACTTCATATCTCTCTCTGGTATCTTCCTGGAGTGTTTCTCTGTCCTCTGAACACAAACAAAGCGTTCGCTCTGAGATCTCGGCCACATTATTCAAATGCAGCATTTTTCCTCTCTCTCTCTCTCCCTCGGGACAAACTGCGTCGCTGCTGCCGCCCTCATCAGTCAAAGACCTTATATATAGAGCCACATCCATCAATAATGCAAACCGCCGTGTAAACAGATAGAGAGGTGATCAATGGAAGTTGAATGGAGAGAGAGACTCTTAAAGGTTTGATGTAATCTCACGTCACATCTGGATTATAAAAACCAGATCGATACACAGACAGGCCTGAACACGGAGAAGTGTGTGTGATGTGGTCGGCACCTTGAAATCACTAACAACCCCGACCAACCGCCCTGGCTTTGCAAAAGAGGAGTCAGGAACGTGAAACAGAAAAAGCCTTTAAACAGCTGTTCATATGATCCACGAAGCCTCCATGAAAGCGTCTTCACTCTCTGCTGCTCTGGTGGTGTTTCTTAAGATTGGCCGCCACGCTGCGTTTGCTGTTGTGTAATTTCTCCCTGACAATGATGTGAATTAGAAAGTAGGACGCTGATTGGATCAGAACAGGATCAGAGTATCAAACACAGTTAAAAACAAGACTGCAGAGGTCTGTATCCAGAAAACAGAAGGTCTTTCCCCTTCAGCTGACAATGATCGGTCTAAATCAGCCAGATGAGAAAATATGTGAATTTGGTCTTTGTGTCTATTAAAGGTCTGGAGACACTAAGTGCAGACTAAGTGCAGAAATGCCCCACGATCCCCACGAGGTTTACACTCTGTATATAAACAGTATATTACTGTTTTACTTGAATGGAATCGACCACTTTACCGCTAAAACAAGGAGGTAGGAAGCTGTGAAACAGTGGTGGATGATATTCCAGTATGCAGATGGCATCAATACACAACAAATGTTTTTAAACCGCTTTAGTTTATTTATATTGGGCACATGCAGAAAAAAGTTTTAATTACTGTTTACTGTTAATTTTCTTTCTGTGTCACTAACCAATCAGAATCAGAAGGGGGCGGGACTCCTGGTATAAACTTTGTCAACAAAAATGGAGGAGGTCTGTTTGGAGGAGAAACCCCATCTGTTTTCTTTAGAGGTATGATTTTCAGGTTAATGCTATCATACAATTTTTATCTATTTCTATGTTCTCTGAAAAACTCCTCTGGATAAAAGACATAAAGGATGGGGGTGGGAATCAGCTGTGGCCCCACAATACGATATTATCACGATAGTTGGGTCACAATACGATATTATCATGATAGTTGGGCCACGATACGATATTATCACGATACTTGGGTCATGATACGATATCATTGCGAGTTTTAACATTTTGCAATACAGTGAGTATTGTGATACCATTTATTGTGATTTATAAAATTTTTCCAACTGTTAAGCTTATTTAGCATTTGTCTTGTCTTTATGTTTGTCTAATTTACACAGTATTTTGTTTTCCTGTAGCATGTCTTACTAACCCTTTTATATATTTGTTGAACTAACTTTCTCCTGCTCGATGATTTCACCTCTGCCAACTTCACTGGACAAACAGTTGATTTTATTTTACCATTATCGTAGATTTGACTTCATATTAGCAATTATTTGAAAAAATCGATACTCTGTAAATGAGATGATATGACCTATTACCAGACAAAATATCGCTACACGATGCTGTATCGATTTTTTTCTCCCAACCCTAATATGAGACCTACAGAGAATTTCAAAGCTGGCTGAACAGTCATAACCAACACAACTTTCATAACCCAGGAACAGAAGAAACTGTTGTAAAACACTCTGAGATTTGGATTGAGGGCAAATGTGCAAACTGCCAAAAAATGCAGTTGATGGACACAGGCCCTTATTATTCGTACTGATCTCTGTGTCCCCTCTGGTGAAGCTCTTAACAGTATGTCACCGAAATAGCAGAAATATGTGAAACGCATTAAAGGATCTGAACTGAACATGTAGACACAAGACTTACTTTTGGTTTCTTACAGGACAAAACTCTCACGGTAAAAAAAGAAGAGAGCGAATGTGCAACTCTCCCACAGATATAAGATTCCTATCAAGACACAGTCTCAGGACAGACAAGATCTGATGCATCAACTTTGAAAATAAAGACATTCGTGATTCTGCGGTTACTAAAGGTCCGTAATACTAAACTCTTTCCAGTTTTCACCTCCACTTAGATAAGAAACAGATCAAAGTCTACATACAGGTTTTAAATCCCACTAAAAAACATACAAGACAAGAAAGACAAATGAAGAACTACAACTTTCAGTATTACATATGGAGGTCTAAAATAAGACACTATATAGACATGTCTGTGCAGATCAGAGCGGGTTACTGAACCTGGTCTCTCCTCAGCGGCCACTCGGTCCTCTGCAGCGTCACCAAAAGTATTTTCTGACAGCCTTCAGGTGAACTGACACCTGAAACCATGACACATCCTGTAGCCTGGCACGCCTTTTACACACACACACACACACACACACACACACACACACACACACACACACACACACACACGGAGCAGGACTGAACTTTGACAGATCCTTGAACAGACACATTAGACCATCAATAATTAGCTAGCTGCAGAGAGGGCGGGGACTGAAGGCTCGCTCTTGCTCCTCAGAGGGTCGCTGCTGTGTGGTCGGGCAGAGGAGACTCAGAGACGCAGCAAAAGGGACAGAAAGTCACCCATCAGGAAGATAAAGGCTGACAGGAGGATCAGAGGGAGGAGACACAGGTGGTTAGATAAAGACGTTCTGCGGGGGACAGACATCAGGGCATCAGGTCAGCTGAGACGCATCCTCCGAATCGATACCCCAGCGCTGATGCAGAAGGCTGCGTGCAAAGACTGAATAATGTGGGAGAGAAAATATGACGCCACCCAGAGTCAATATTTTCAAAAATAATCCATGAGGAAGAAAACTCCTCGATATAACGGATCAACTTTGGCAGATTTGAACATCACAGAAACGACAGGATCTGAATGCCTCTAAACATTAGAGCTGAAATACTCCAACTCTGACAGTGAGGATCAAATGGACCAGAGCAGACAGATAAGCATCCTCTGATAATAGACAGAGACACTATAACAAGCTGACCAGGACTGTGGTCTGAAAGAAGCTCCAAAGTCATGAAAAAGTCCAATAAAACCAGTAATTAAGTAAGTAAATAAAACCCTCTCTGCAGACAGATGCTGGCCTCTTCAGAACATGCCATCTGTGTATCATCCAATCATGTTCTCCCAGGGGGGTCTTACCCCATTTGACCCCAGTGTTATATCCCATTATAGCAGGAAGTAATAAATGATCCCTGTGCTGCCCGAACACGCTGAAAGGGCTGCCGCTCTACTCTTGTTACTCGTGGAAAACACGATCTTATAATGGAGACAACATCATGACAACATCCTCTCTGGGGGTCATGAGAGGTCAAGTCCCTCCTACACCCCTACATTTCACTGATCACACAAACCATGTGACCACTTTTATCACTTCAGCTGAACGGCAACAATAAGTTTGTCAGACTTCGAAAAATAACAGTGTTTTCATAGGAAAAGCATCAGGGCCTATGTCCACCGACAGCGGCCTATGTGCTGGCAGCATCTTATTTTCTATACACCGCCATATTTCAGCATTGCAGCGACAGCAGTCCAAGCCCAAGAACGATGTCTGTATGATCTAAATTTGAGGTTGTGGGTGCGGCCTTGCCAGCTCAAAAATGCTGTCAGTGGACACAGGCCCTTATGATTTGCTCAAATCAAAGAGGTCACTTTTTCATGTATGTGCTTTTATGCAGAAAAACATGATGTGTAACAGTGTGTGTGGTGTTAGTCATATCCTGTCAGACCCACCTGATAAATCAGGCTGAATTTATGTGCCTTTACTTCATACAAAGTCGTGTACTAGACAATAGGGCTGGGTGATATGTCCTCAAATCAATATCACAATATATTGATCAGTTCATCTCAATAACGATAAATGGACGATAACTACTCCACAAGCTGCTCACCCCCTCCCACATTAACTTCGTCTACTTCAGCAGCTCCAACTTTAGAACCGTCCTCCATCTCCTCACCTGTCTGTCTCTCTGGACCGGATAGGGCGGAGTCACGTCTCTGACGTAGGACAGCTTCTGAAAGAGACATGAGACCATAGCCTACCTACACACATCCAAAACTTAGATTTCTTTTATTTTTTTGACACTGATTACACCGATATGGGCAAAATGACGTCAGTTATTGTCGTAAATTTCAGTATCGGTAAATTTTCCGTTTATCGCCCAGCCCTAGTCAGTGTGGTGTTAGTCATATCCTGTCTTTTTACTTCATAAAAAATGGTTTACTACACAACATAAGCGGCTTAATTTGCTACCATCTGACGTTCAACAAAAAAATGAAGATTATCATTAGCACAGCTTTGGATTATGGGTATTAAATTAATTCAATGTCGTGTAAAACAAACAAAAAAAAAAACACCAATACTTTTTTTAACAGGAGATAAAACGATCAGGACTGAAAGCTCTCCTTAGGAGCTCTTTCTGAGCTTCTGATCTCGTCTTTCAGAAGCTGTTTCTCCTGATCTTGGAAACATGATGGGGATATTTATAGCATCTCAGTTTCACTTTGGTTTTAGAATATACTGCAGCCACTTCGTTATGGAGAGCAGCCGCTGGGACTTGAAATATATCGCAGGAACTGTGTGATGGTTAAGGTAAATTTCCCAAAAATGACCAGAACAGCTGTTTTATTTTCACTTCTCATGTAGCTGTACATAAATCTGACAACATTTAAACTCCGACAGACCAGGAAAGAAGAGAATAGAGCAGCTACATTTGTATGCTCTGGTTAAGTTGTGGAGCACCTTACTATTCTGTGTATTCTGCACCGATATCTCACACCTCAGGGTTGCAAGAATTTACGGTAATCAATACTCAAGGACAAGCTGGTGGACCTTCTGTGCTCTCCACCCCAGTTAGCTTGTAATCAATAAAGTTTTTTGCTCGTCCTCAGGCCGGAGCCGAGAGGCGGTGCAGGACAGGGATTTAATTGAAGCCCTGCTGGTTCAGCTGCTCCACTGAATGTGTGAACACAAACTCAGTGAAGCTGATACACTGGGCAGGAAAATGGAAGTGACTCATTTAGAGACAGTGCAGCTGCTAAAGGCTACAACCACACACACACACACACACACACATACACACACACACACACACACACACACTCATAATGCACAAAAAGCCTCTGTTTTTGTTGCTGTGAATGAGGAGCCTTCAGGCTGTTATAGGTCCACGGAGGAAACAACATCAGTGATGCACCGTCACACTATGAGAGCTCTCAATTACTCAAGTCTACGACACATTACGGGAAACAACACACGGGAAAAGTGCAGAGAAATGTGGCTGAAATATTTGGTCAGCATATCGAAAAGTTAGGTGTGGTTATAAATGGGTTTATTAAACGTTCAAACCCACAAAAAACAACAACATAATTCTGTTTAAGCCACTCAAATAGGATAATCTGCTGCTGAAGAGATGTCTTAAACAGTTGTCAAACATGTTAGTCTGCGCCATGTTAACAGATGGTAAAACTATGAATAACTCATATTTCTAAAACCTCCAAATGCCGGTCTTTTGTTGTGTCTCAGCTTTAGCCCGACCACTGTGCACTTAAAAGGGTTAACGGATTATTCTGATTAAGCTCTTTCTCCAGTCTCAGAACTATTATAAGTGATTTTTATGACATATCATGTTCACTGCAGCCTATCAGTATTAACTAATCCCATTTGCACACTGATGGCACACCCCTGGGGTCAGTTTTGGGATTAAGTGCCCAGCTTCTAATATCAGTCAATAGTTATTAGTTATTGATGACATTTGGTAATATATCGATATCTCTGTGTTCTCTTATGTCTGTGTCGTCAACATTTGAACATTTTTGAGCGGTCCGCTCTTTCTGACTGTAAACAAAGCCGTTCTCCACCTCCTCTAACCTGATTGGTTGTGAGGCAGACGCTGCTCCCCCGTGTCGTTCAGGAGCCCAAACAAAGTTAGCGTGCTACAATATCGGACAGTAGAAACCAACCAGATAGTTCGGAAAATTGTCTGAATCCTCCTTTGGCCACGACTGCCGACACAAGCAAGAAAACAAAGTAAATACCGGAGACTCTGGAGGAATAACGGGCGCTTAAAACGGAGGTAGACCGGACAAGAGCTAAAAAGCCGGGTCAACATAAACGATGGGGGACGCTTGGGGATCTTGGTGACCCTGTAACCTTTCTGCTGGACAGGTAAACCGCTTTAACAAAGTAAGACAAGTGTCTGTAACAGAAGTGTTTCTTGTCAAACGGACCTGCTGTAGCGTGTTGTAGCGCCATCGCTAAACTGTCCTCCCTCGGGTCCTGGACTATGTCACTTTATCCTCGTTGTAGAAGTCCTGCAAACATTGTGTTTGCTGGTAGTCTGTTGGCATCTACAGTAGCACCAATGCTTTTGACTTTCACCTTGACTGGGCCCCATTTGTAATGATCTGAAGTATTGATCTGCATTATATCTGAATTTAATTGGAACGATACGAGCGAGCAGGAGCGTCTGTTTGTGGGCGGGGCTTGAGGGGAGAGGAGGAGCTGAGGGGGAAACTGGTTGGAGGGGTAGAGTTTACATTCAAGATTTATCCTAAAAACTGGAACGTCATCAGATCCTGACTACAACACCTTTAAGGTATGTGGGCGGCCTGATCTGTGACTGAATCCTGGCCTTTCACTAGACTCCACTCAGCCACAGCTGATCCAGACTTCAGCTCTGTTAGAGATCTACTTCCATAAAGTTATAATGTTCAACCACCTGGATGTAAACAAACCCAGATCACATCTTGTTGCATTGGCACAGCTAGGCAGCACTTTGAGCGAGAGAATTAAGTTGTATAAAGGCTGAGTTTGCTTAAACTCGACCAGACACGTGGATACTAACCAGCAGGGGAGATCAGAAGTTGGTGGTGCTCGCTCTGCTAATGTTAGACACTCTCTGCAAACTAATTCAACATTCATGGACAGATTAGGGAGTCATTTGTTGAATGAATGGAGCTCAAATTTGAGTGTTTTCTTACTTTTAGACGAGCTGGTTCATGGGAATTTGAATTTCTGGACACTTTTCTCTTCAGAACATCTTGACTCTCTACTTTGAAACATCTGTTTTTCCTCAAACATGACAGTAAACAGATAATCTGTCTCTGGAGTGAATGTCTGTAAAACGAGGAGCTGGAAGATGTTACTGAGAACTTCAGGAAATTATAATTGGCAACATCTCTTAAGTTCAGGATTGACTGAGCGAATTTTAGCAGCGATGAAGATCATGAAAGCTCCAAAACAGCCACAATTGTTCAGTTTGATGTGGGACTCGAGTTTACATTTTCGGTAAAATAAAAACAGTCCTCACGAGTTTCCTTTTTTTTTTTTGCTGTTGTTGTGACCTCGCCTGTTATCATGCTGGCGGTCTTCCTTTATGTTGCAGGCCATGACACACTACATTTAACAACATCTAGTGTGTATTATTTGTATTCATTCATGAATCTATCTGCGTTATCATCAGTTGGGAAATTATCTTTCACTGCAGTCTGGCTGCAAAAATCGCTCTCTCAAACATCGCTCTCGCTGTTGCACACACACCACACAAGCCCCATCTTTAACAAACCCGGTAACCATGGCAACATCAAGCCCTGGTCTTTCCTCCTCCCCCCCCTGGCTGTGAAGCTCTTCACTGACACTATAAATCTGACACACTCCGGTCCAGGAGGAGCAGAGCAAACCCTCAGCCAGCAGCCTCTGATAGCCTCTCCTTGTTCCTCTTCAGCTGTGAGACGCTTAAGTCCAGGGAAACACACTGATTCATTATCCTCAGGGAAGTAGAAACATGCATGGACTCACAGGATGAAGAGTCATAATACTCTTTCCCATGATACTCGCTTAATGACGCTCTCAGCAGCAGCAGCAGCTACACGTGTACCACTTACATATTTTCTACTTACGACACACAATTAGGTTTGAAAATGCCGCCTCCAAATTAGGGAAAAGACTTATTTATGTAAAACCATCTATGAAATCCTTAAAAGACTGTAAGGAAAAGCCCATGTCTGTCCGTGATGTGCTGTGAAATTATAGAAAATGACCATCCCAGTTTCCTGAGTCTCAAGAACTCCAGTCTGAAAAATCTACATGATGAGAAATCCACTCTGAAAGCAAAACAGCAAATCCTTACGATTAGCTCCCCTGAAGCAATTTCACCTAAACTTATTCCAGTCTATAAGTCCTTTTTAACTGACTGTTCATTATACAGCAGCTGAGGAATTAAAAACAGCAAATCAGAACAGTCCAAGTTATTAACTCTTTTACTGATTAATCATGGCAGTGAAATTCTCATATTTAACAGGAGTTCATATTTGAGATCAGTCTTGGGCCTGACCTGGTACGAGGAGTCTCCCTCTTCATCTCGCAGTGGCCTGAAAGCACCTCTGTACACAGAGCTGAACGGCTGCCTGCACAGCTGCTGATCTACAGCCTGCTGCTGCTGCTGAGATCCTGCTGACTCAGACTCTGTAGGTCTCTGCAGCAGGTTCAGACGGTGCAAACACAACAGAGGAATTCTAACAGTGTCTGGAGAGAGGTGCCCAACTTCTCCTGGATGTAACGTCATAGAGTAGATTTGCCGTTCATGATTGATTTTCTAAATCCATATTAGTTAGGAGTTGGAGAGCACCAGCAGCTTCGTCTGGATTAAAAGTGATCAGTTTAAGTCTCGGCTTCATTTCTGAATAAACTGCATGATACCGAATGTGAGATGATGCAGACTCACCCTAGCTTCTCCTTTCTAGTCGCAGAGCTGCCTGCCATCCTTCACAAAAACAAAAGACAGAATTTCTCTCTCTCCCAATACTGTTATCTCATTTCTGTCTGCTGCACAGTCGCTCTACTCTGACCATGACTCTTTCTCACCTCTGTAAACCTCCATCACGGTCAAACTCTCTCATTCTTCTCACATCAACTGGGTGGAGATGACAGAAGATGAAAGATCCAGGACTTTGGCTCAGGTGATCACGGACGTTTGACTGAGTAAACATCAAAACCTCGAGAAACTGTAGCACAGATTGATCAACAACAATAGAAAACTATCCTCCTTTCCAAGTGAATATTACACATCTATAAAAATCTGCTCATTCAGCAGCAAAGAGGTCGTGTAAACGGGAAGGATTTGACTAGAAAGCATCTTATTTAGCGCTGTGGTTGTTCTCAGAGGAAATGAGAAGTTTAATTGAATTAATCCAAAAGCCCAAAAGACGTTGGGGGCTGTATTTTTGGTTACAAAGGGGACTAATAGAAAATAGTTAGTACTTTAATTGCTTTCAATCTTCTACTGACAGGCTGAGCTTCATGCGACATGCAAAGCTTGTACGAGCAAATGGAAAAACACAATGGTTTCCAAAGCCCAGTGGGAATACCACGGTTCCATCCATTTACACAGAAACAGAATCAAAAGGGGTCGGGGCTTTAGTGTAATTAATTACATTAGCAACCCCGGCTCATCTGCTTCTGCTGCTCCAGAAACAGGGAGGAGTTGAACCCGGCGCTGCAAATCAAATGACTGTCCCTCATTTGTCACATGAAGTAATCCAATTAGAGACTCACTCCAATTCAATTCTCATGTGACTCCAGCCTCTCTCTCTCTCTGAATGACCAGCAGCCATGAGACATTTCTCTGAAATACTAATGATACAATTTAGATGACATACTTCAGCATGCAATTAATTCTCCAGACTAAATGGACGACATGTTTGAGGCTTTATAACAGTCTGTCTGCTGTTGCATAAACTAATATGGGAAAGAAAATTGATTGAAATTCTTTATTCCAAAATTGAAAACAGTTAATTTGTTAGTTACTGCATGTTCTTTGAACCCAGATGTTAGGAGAACTTTCTTTAGCCAATCCCATCAGCCTTTAGAGTGGTGGAGACATGCAACTCAAATACCATGGATACGCTGGTGTTAGATTGCTGGAGCTGGGGGCCTCCGACAACCGTCCTCAACCAAAAACCTTGTGCACATTTTTGACATCATGTTCTGCCATGGTATTTCCCTCTATGGACTCTCCATATGTTCACCTAAGGCTCCTTAAAATATGTTCTCCTCTATTCTTACCTTACATGGACTTTCTTAGGGTCAACTAAATGCCAGCAGAATGTTTGGAAATGTGGACGACTATAAATACTTGAACAGTCTCAGACCATAATAGTCTTTGTTACACTTGTAGCATGATGAAGCTCTAACCCAGATCTGCAACCACTAAAGTTTGTCAAACTGACCATTCGTGTGGACCTTCCATTCTTTCAAGTGTGAACCTGGGCCAGGCATCCTTACCACAAGATGATCCTCATTACAACAGAGCTGTGTTTGTTGGAGCTTTGCAGATTGATGAGATAGATCCTCTGAAACTGGATAAAAATTATTTCTTTGTTTGAGCCAAGAAGTTGGATTTTTCTCATTCTTGTTGATAAAAAAATTTTTTTTTAAAGTCAGTATAGCTTTTGTAAGTTGACAACTAAAAGCACGTGCTCAGTGTCATAGAGTTAACCTAGTCACGCTTACAACCTCCAGCTTTAATACAATGGATGTAAGAAATATATCAAAAATCAAGCGTTCAATTCATCTGAATAGGATCGAAAATGTTCAGGTGTAAAGCAGCAGTGGCTGCCAACCCCTGACCTCATGTCCAGTGAGATTTAATTATACTTTTTCTGTACATAATGGGAAGATTTGGGGCTGTTATCATGTGGTTTGAAAGAAAATCAATCCGAAGCAAAACTGGAACTGAAACTGGAATTCATGCATGAAGAAAAAAAAAAAGCGGGATGGCCCTTTAAGACGTGAGTAAGAACGCAGTGTTATTTGAATAAATTAACTGCAGGCATGTATTAAACACGTGCTTCATACCCTGTTTGATTAAATATCTCTGAGCAGCAGTTTTACATTACAAATGCAGGGTTTGCAGAAGCCTGTTGTAGTGTGTGTAACAGTGTGTCAGCCAGAGTTCAGAACCGTGGACAGAGCTCTGCGTGAGTGTGTGTGTGCGTGTGTGTGTGTGTGTGTGTGTGTGTGATCAGATGGGGGTCAGCACCTCACAGCAGCCTGGATCCACCACCAGCTGCTCTTCCAATGATAAATCAGAGAAATGTGCTGCTTTGGAGGAAACGCAGTCTTCCCCAGAGACAAGATTTGAACCTCAGACACCCCCTACCCTCTGCTGCTGCTTTTACACACGACGTTTCTGCAAATCAAACTTCAACAAATTCTGCTGAAATCAGTTCCCTATGTCAAATTCTAAGTCAGGAAAGAACTCTGACTTACATATATTCAACACGAGAATCATGTTAACAGGAAAACAGGTTTAATCCAACTAAGATCCCCAGCATCTCTGCTTTGAACTGCAAATTTGATTCAAACAAGTAATTATTATATATCAACTTAAATGAGTGTAAAAATGAACTTTAAATGCTGCAGATACTGGTTTAGTCCCAGTAACACCAGCACTGCCTGAAACAACCTGCTTTTCCAGCCGTTAGAGGATGTACCGGCTCAGCAGTATTAGAATGAGCGACTTTATTCATACAAAGCGACTGATGGGAGGGAAAAGAAACGACGAGTGGAAGTCTAGATTTACATACCGAGACGATTTTAATCCGGCTTGGAATATTTTACGGAGTAATCATTGTCCTCATCCGCAGGGTCTTCCTTCGTGGAGCCGCCGGTAGATGGACCGCTGAGAGGATCCGCCAGATGGGGGAGGGTCCGTCAGTTTGAGTCGAGACAACCACGAGCATAGATATCTGTAAGAAAGACTAGATAACTCTAGGAGGCGGAGTCACTGGCGGCCATCTTACTCCAGTAAACCATTCTGGTGGAAGGTGAGTAATCTGCATGATCAAAGATACTCTTAAATCGCTGAAATCTTGGCAGATTTACAAATGGTTTAGTTTATTACAGACCTAAATGATGTGGCTATGAGTCGGGATGCTTGGACACGTTGAAATGGCAGATTTGAGAAAAAAAAAGACTTAAACATGAAGCACAGTTGTTTGAGTTATTTGCACGCAAAGACTAACTTTGAGTCACTTTGTATGAGTTGTTAAGGCTGAGACCACAGTTGAGACTTTAATTTCTTGTATGACAGCCTATTATTTAATTGTTTTGTGGATGTGTTTGTGTTTATCAGCTGTCTAACTTGGCTAACAGACTCGCTGTGAGTGAGACCAAGTACATATTACAAAGTTGACCCAGTAATTTGACATCAGTGAAAGAGGCAGAAATGTTCTTTTGATTCAACATAACTGAAGTTACACATAATTTCCAAACTGTTTGGTTTGTTAAAAACATCTCAAATGGAAACATGAGGCAGAAATATATCTTAAAAATACATACATATGTTACTGTTATACGTTGTTTAAGTTATCCCTTAAATAGAACTATGACTAATATGACATACATGGAATCAGTAAATGTTCTATATATAAATGATTTAATATAACTGCCTTGTGTGTAGGCCTATAGCTGTTGCTCTACCTATCTGTTTAATGTTAATTTATGTAAATCCATGGTTAAAATTATTCTTGAGTGTGCAGGAACATAACTGAAACTCTGAGGTGTGTTACAAACCAAATTGTTTGAAAATCGGTTTAAATTAATCAGTATATGATTATTTAAATTCTACACGAACCATAGACTGGAATGTTAGGAGCGGACGAGCTGCCTGAAGCAAGATGGCCGCCATGCACGGAGGTCGAGCTCCATTGGCTAACAGCGTGCATAAGCCATCTAGCGTTTACAAATATATCTATGGTTAGAGTCACCAAATGTCCCCGCCCCCAGGCTTACGTCACGACTGACATGACGAAAAGCGGAGAACGCCACAGGGTTTTTTTTTCCACTTTCAATTCTGCGACTTTGCCTTCGTACAATAGATTAACAAAACAAAAGATACAGACACAAAATAATACAGATTTACAAGCGCATGGGGGTTAAAGGGATAATCCAGCGTAAAATTAATTTAACACTGAGTTAGACTACCCCTCCAGAAATGAATGTTGTCAACCGCTTGCTTTATTAGTTATACCAACTTAGTAACGACCGCAGGATAGCAATACACAGCGGTCTGAGGAGCCATAAACAAACCTCAACCAAAACGCCACTCTATAGCCACAAATAATGCTCAGAACAGCACCTAACTTCATCAACAGGACATATAGGGTCACAGACATAGTACTAGACACCAAACATCTTTTTAGCTTTGACTCATTTCTTTAACAAAGAGACTAAACACAACTCACCTACTCTCTTCCAGCAGACGCTTGTTTGTACAGAGACCTCAGGCCAGTCCATTACGGACTACAGCGGGGTGAAGCAGCTCAAGGAAGAACATTTATGATCATTTCTTCTAGCCTGGCTGGGCCGTCCTGTTGCGTGAATCACTTGATGTTCCTTCCCACCACAGTCTGGACTTCGGCCCATAGAGAGCGTGTATTCCCGATCAGAAAATAACCAGGCCAATCAGAGACTGTGTTTCCACTGGTACCCAAACAACAGGGAAAGGCAGCCCCTGATTGGTCCATGTGTAGTGGTGACGTCTAATACATGCTGCGGGACTTTTCAAAGCGCCGTTCATTCAGAACGCCGTTAATTCTGCAGTTCACTCTGCAAAGTCGGCAGAAATCGTTTATATTCGACATCTTCTGCAGATATAGGGGCTGCCCTATAGACTTTGAGAATACAGATGTAAACTTACCTGTTGTTTCAGGGGAGAGCTGTCAAAATAAGAGGAAATCGCATGATGTCATATCCTTTTCATATTCAAGTGCTGGGCTCCGATTGGTTATTTCTTATGGCTTTGAAACATCGTCGTCTGTCTGGCTCATAGACTATATCTAGAACAGACGCCGTCTGCCTCCTCGCTGGGTGAAGCCACTCTGAGAACAGCGCCCTCTGTTGACGGGTTGCAGTATAGGTCATTAATCCCACCTCCCTATGGAGCTGTGGACAAACTTTATAAATGAATGACACAGAATATAAATGTTTCTCCCCCTGGTTGTGATGTTGACATGTAGTTACTGTCAGACTGGTTTGTGTTCAAGTCCTCTTTTTTCTGTACAGCTCCATTTTTAAAAGTTATTAGGGGGTTCATGTTTGCTATGATTGACACTTGATACAGACTATTGGTGTACGAAGATTGTATAGCTCACCTGGGGATACACTGTTTGAGCCGAGCGTCATCACAGCGAGTCTCCCGCAGAATGCGAACAACGCTACTGCGCAATGTTGTTTTTAGGAAGTGGAGAGAAAACACGGAATTACCGAGAACTTTTGTGCTTCAAACCCGTATACTGGCGGAAGGCAGAACCAAGTTGTCCAGAAGATACACAGTCCACGTTGGGTTAGGGTGTAATCCCCTGTAAAATGTCAATGGTTTACTGTAAAATGTAATAATGACAATAAATAAATAAATGCATTCCAGTTGTACTCAGAAGTCAGGACGATCGTCACCAACCCCTTCTTGACGACAACATCATAATCCAAGATGGCAGTGCATCAACAGTAAAGAGTAACAGTAAAAGCTCTCGTTATGTTTTATTTATTAGCACTTCTGTTTTGTTTTTGTGAAATTAAATCAGTGGTTTATGTTGTACTGCCCAATGTCTAACTGTGAACACAGTGTTCTGGTGTTTGTAAGAGTAAAATACTGTGTTCTGTGATGTTTACAACTCATAAAGCTAACAACAACTGACAGCTGTTAACAACAACTAACAACAGCTAACAGCAGCTGACAATTATTAACAACAGCTAACAGCAGGCGTCCATCTTGGTTTACCAACTTGTTTACTGGAACGTCGTCAACTCAGGTGTAACGTCATTTCCAGCTCCCACATCTGACTTCCGAGGTAACTGGAACACAGTATTAGGATTAGGATTAGGAGATTCAGAATAATAAGAGGAGGAATAATGTTCTGTGATGTTCTGTTTAACGTACGGAGCCGACAGCCCGCGCTCGGTTTGAACGTATGATGACGTTTCACAGCCAATCAGAGGCGAAGGAGGGCGGGACCTTCCCCTACCATCCCACGAAAAAATGTTATATCACGTCCAGGTGTACCGGTCGAAGAGGCTACCTTTATTTCCTAGCCCCAGATAACAGGACAGCGATACCTAAAGCATACAAAGTGAACTTGTGTTATCACTTCAACATCAACTTTGTAAAGTGAGGTGAAGGAGGAGTTTGTGTGACACCACAATCACACTGTGTGCAAAAATAAAAACCTGTTCAACCAAATATTCACATTTATTGGGGTATGAGGAGAGGAGTGCTCATCTGGTAGTTTGTTGGTTTGACCAGCAGGTGGAGCTGCTGCATTAACAATAAACTGAGACTCAACCAAACAAACAAGTTCCTGTTTTATTGAACTTTGAATTTGGACTCAGGAGAGGAAGATGTTTGTCAAGAATACTGAACTTAAAAGATGATCAAAAACTGTCAGTAAATGAGGAGAAGAATCTGTGATCTGGTGGTTTAGGTTTCAGTGAAAACAGTCAGAGTGAAAGTGAAAGTATGTGAGCTGAAAAACAGACTCCATTTTGAGAAAAGAAGAGAGGAGAGGACGAGGAGACAGGGTGAGTGTTTACTCTGTTCTAGTTTTAATGTCAAACTCTTTATCTGTTTTATCTGTTAATGAAAAATGATTTACTGACTAAAACACTTAAAAACTGCAAAACAAAGAAACCTGAGCAGACAAAGAGATGGATCAGTTCTTCATACAGAAACTGTGTACGTGCAGTTCTTCCTCCTCTTTGTTTAGACTTGTCTTTTTGGTAAAAATATGAATCAGAATCTTTTTAGCCTCTCATTTCAAATTTAATCCAGTCTCCTTAAGTTTTTTTCTGAGAGTTCAGGGACCTCACAGCTGATTTTGTTTGGACCATGAATCAGACAAGGATCAGAGAGAGGCCCTGCAGGGTGGGGAGACATCAGAAGTTCTCTGATATTAAACCTGTTAAACTCTTAAAGAGGGGGATTAAACTTTTTTCCAGACTCTCTACTTCCTTTCTGATTCCTCTTTTATTTCTGAACTCTCTCTTCCTGTTTGTGTCTCACCTGTTTGTCTTCTTTGTCCTCAGGTTGTATAACTCGGTTTCAGCCTCCATAAATTTGCACAACAGAAGATGGAGAAGATGAGTGTTGGTGTCGAGGAAGAGGAGGGCAGAGCAGAGTCTGATATGTTTGACTGTCTGTCTATGAAGAGTGACCGGTCTAAAGGTCATCCACTGGTCTTCAGTAAAGAACCAGGACCCCCAGAGGAGGACAGAACAAAGTCTGTTATCTCCAGCTGTCTGTCTATGAAGAGTGACCGGTCTAAAGATCCTCCACCGCTCTTCAGTAAAGAACCAGGACCCTCAGATTCACAGTAAGAGAAACACTTTTCAATCACCAAACTCTCAAACAACATCTGACGTTTCAAATACAAAACTTTAAATCCTGACCCCTCTGTTTTCTCCTCTGTTCTCAAAACACTGATTTTCCTCTTGAACCTGCCAACCTGGATAAAATTCAATTCAATCCAACTTTATTTATAAAGCCCATTTCATGCAAAAGGCAGACTCAATGTGCTTCGCAACAGGTGTACATAGTTAAAAACAGTTATACAAAAATCTAATAGCAATCAGTGTAAGAGTGTAAGTGCAAGTCAATCAACTTCACCGCGAATGCTACAGAAATCTGTTTTTAAAGATGGCTACTGATGTGTCTAACTGTGTCAGGCAGGGTGTTCCATTTTTGTGGGGATTTAACACTCAAAGCTGCCTCCCCTTATTTGGATCTGGTGTGAGGGATGAGTAAGTTGCCACTGCCTGTTGACCAAAGTGTTCTTGCTGGGGTGTAGGTGATGAGCATATCTGTGATGTACTGAGGTGTAAGGCCATGTAGTGCTTTGTAAACCAGGAGGAGTATTTTGAAATCGATTCTTGTCCTAACGGGTAACCAATGTACAGATTTGAGAACGGGTGTGATGTGTTGATATTTTTTGGTACCAGTGAGAATACATGCAGCTGCATTTTGAATTAACTGTAACCTCTGAAGACTTGATTTTGGGAGTCCAGTGAATAAATCGTTACAGTAATCCAGTCTACTTCTTATAAATGCATGGATGAATTTTTCTAAGTCTGATTTTGACAGAAAGCCCCTCAGTTTGGAGATATTTTTGAGATGATAGAAGGATGATCTTGAATTAAATCTTGTAATGGATAAAAGGCTGGTAAAGAAAAAGTCACTGAGCACAGATTTACTTATTATTCCTAATGTTGATAAAAATGAAGGTCGTATAAAACAGCATTTGAAAAGGATTCTGACTTCTTGTATTTTCTGATTTGGTTCCTGTGTTTGGGACGTTGTGAGCCTGTTAGTCTTTGGACTGTGGTGTATAGACCCCAGAAAACAGTCTGTGGGTCACAAAATACCAGAAGACCAAAGAAGAAATAAATCCTGAGAAATAAAAACATAATTCAGAGCATCTGTCTGTTATTAGACCTTTAGATCTGATTGGTCAAAAAAAAAGTTTTAAACTGTCAGAGAAAATCTCTCTACCTTCAAAAATCACAGTTTAGTTTTTTCTCTTGTCACGACACTTTCAGACAGCAGCAGCTGAATATTTTACAGGAGATTGTTTTATGTTAGAGAAAAGAGAAACTCTGGTTTAATAAATGTTTCTTATTCTGTATCTTTCAAACATGAAATAATAAAGAAATGTTCTTTATTTCCACAGAGAGACACAGAGATGTGACTCTGTGGAGGAGCAGCTGTCCAGATGTTCTTTATGTCAGGATGTCCTGAAGGATCCAGTCTCTACCCGCTGTGGACACCAGTCTCCTTCTTCAGGACACACCTCCTGTCCCCAGTGTGGAAAAAGAACCAGAACAGTTCTTGTTTTTCAGACAGACAGCCAGTCCAGCTCTGATCGAAGTAAGTCTGAACACCTTTAAACCCTAAATTATACAATTTCTGCCTGAATTATTTTGCTTATTTTAGCCATAAAATTGGCAGAAAATGTCCTATGAGTGAGTGCTTTTTTATTCATTGGCTTTCAACCCTGCATGAGACTCGGCTCCTGTTTTAGTGTTTTATGGTTTGTTTTTAGTTATTTGTTTCTATGTTTTTAAATTAGTTTTTAAAATTATTCAAACTATATTTTACTTTTTAATATCTGCTTTTATTTTTTCCACTGTTTTAATTGTTTTTTTATGTCTATGCTTTTTTGTCTATTTATGTACAGCACTTTGGTTGGCTGTGGTTGTTTTTAAGTGCTTTAGAAATAAAGTTGAGTTTTACCCATTTTTCCAGAACACTTAAAACTTTCAATATCTGGCTGTCATTTACGATTTACTGTCTGTTAAAAAACTTTAACATTTTAAGATAAAGAAAAACACAAAAACGGAATACGATTTTTTGAGTTTTAATGAGAAAAAACAGAAAATATTCATGAACAACAGATTTTTCATTTGAAATAAAAAAAAATTAAAGAGTATCAAACATATTTACAACAAAAACTTTGGAGTGCTGTCTCTCCAAGTGCAAAAACAGGCTAAATAAATACAACTATGTCCAGGCGTTTCTCCCCGTTTCTCCTCTCTCACTCAGAGGTCTTTGTGAAACTGTCAGAAGCTGTTCCTTTCTGTCTGCAGACACAGACCCACATCACACCCCTCACACTTCCAGACAGTTCTCCTTATGACAAAGTTTGCAGCGTCGTCTCCTCATGCTAGTTCTTTGAGACTTCAGCTGTCCATGGCTTGTTTGGGCACGTAGCTATACTCTACTATAAACAGTGCGCATTTCTGCGAAGTGGATGTAATTCTCGGGGGGCATGTGTTTCTCGGCAACACATCAACGGCTGCAAATGAGAAACCAACAAGAGAAAACCGCCGAAGATGAAAACTTTCTAGTAAAAAGAAAAGCCACGTCACTAACCATTGAAGACGAATACTCGTTGATTAAAAGAAAAGCAACGTCACTTACCATTGAAGATGAATACTCGTTGATTAAAAGAAAAGCAACGTCACTTATCTGTAATTATTTCGGTAACAAAAAGGATGACGTCACCTAACACCTGTTCTGTGTCGGCAGGGCCTTTCATCTGTTTCCACAATAACGTCCCAGCAGAACAATAAAAACTAAAAATATCTCTAAGACGGACAGAAGCCATTCTACTAACATTCACTAAAAGAGGGAAGATCAGTGCAGGTTAACTGTCCTCAAGATTTCAGCAGAAAGTCAGATTCAGATCATCTGCTGAAAATTCCTCTATTTTTTAATATCGCTTATATATCACAGGGTTGAACAACTTTTTAATGTTAGTGTTTTCTAATATCATGCTGTCTTAATAGGCACACGTTAATACAAGCTTACTGCCTTAGCATGGTATTCTAATAAAGTCACAACAGGTTATAAGTGTTGATTTACTCATAAAATAACGTAAATAAACTAAAAACGACACAGAGAGCGCTTCATTCATCCAGAAACCAACACAGAAAATCAACCAGTCAAACTTTACCTTTCTCTGTCTGAAGTTGCTCTGAAAGCTTCTCCATCGGTCCCAAAGTCGTCTGAAAACCTCAGTGGAGGTTTTCTCACTCAGGAAGGATTTATCACAGACATTTTCCTTTGAAATAATCCCTTTTTTGTCACTTTTCTCTCTTTTTGCTCCGTTTCTCTGCTCCGTTGTTTGTCTATCTACTGCTTTCTTTGTGAGGGGGAAAGGGGACGGAGAGACAGATTTCCTCTCTAAACAGCAGGAGTGAAATTACCGTAATAACCGTTTATTGACCGTGTGGCGCAACTTCTCAGCTTTCAGAAACCGTTGGAGATTTTTTTTTGATAGAACAAACTACCGCAAAGTTACGGTAATTGAAAGAGCGCCTGTGTAAAGGTGTCGGCGCCGACAGACTGTGAGGAAAAGTCTGTGTGGATGAAAACTCAGCTGACTGATTTTCACAAAGACGTTTCAGTGTTGAGAAGTTTGGTTCATTTTATTTTTCTTCTCTTTCAGAAGATGGCCTCCCGCAGGAGGTTTTAGATGAACATAAGATCAGTCTGAAGAGGAGATGTGAACGTGTGAATGAAGGAAGTGATGAAACAGGAAGTAGTCAAACCCTCCTCAACAGGATCTTCACTGAGCTCTACATCACAGAGGGACTGAGTGAAGAGGTGAACACCCAACATGAGGTGAGACAGCTGGAGACTACTTCAAAGATGAAGACCCTCCATGACACGTCCATCAAGTGTCATGAGATCTTTAAAACCTTACCTGACCAACAGAAGAAGCTCATCAGAGTGGTTCTGACCAACGGCGTGGCTGGTGTTGGAAAAACCTTCTCAGTGCAGAAGTTCACTCTGGACTGGGCAGAGGGTTTGGAGAACCAAGACCTCCATCTGGTGGTCCTGCTTTCATTCAGGGAGCTGAACCTGATCAGAGATGAGCGCTTCAGTCTTCTGAGTCTGCTCCATATTTTCCATCCAACCCTAGAGAAGGTCACAGCAGAGACGCTGGCTGCCTGTAAACTTCTGTTCATCTTTGACGGTCTGGATGAAAGCAGACTGTCTCTGGATTTCACAGACTCTGAGGTGGTGTCTGACGTCACACAGAAGTCTTCACTCAACGTTCTGTTAACAAACCTCATCAAGGGGAACCTGCTCCCCTCAGCTCTCATCTGGATAACTTCTCGACCTGCAGCAGCCAATCAGATCCCTCCTTCACATGTGGACAGGATAACAGAAGTACGAGGCTTCAATGACACCCAGAAGGACGAGTACTTCAGGAAGAGGTTCACAGATGAAGATCTGTCCAGAAGAATCATCTCACACATCAAGTCTTCCAGGAGCCTCCACATCATGTGTCAGATCCCGGTCTTCTGCTGGATCACTGCTACAGTTCTGGAGGACATGATGAGCAGAGAGCAGAGAGGAGAGCTGCCCAAGACCCTGACTGACATGTACTCACACTTCCTGCTGGTCCAGACTCAGAGGAAGAAGCAGAAGTATGGAGGAGGACATGAGACAAGTCCTCAGGAGCTGATGGATGCTGACAGTGACGTCCTCCTGAAGCTGGGGAGGCTGGCCTTTGAACATCTGGAGAAAGGAAACATCATGTTCTACCAAGAAGACCTGGAGCGGTGTGGTCTGGATGTCTCAGAGGCCTCAGTGTACTCAGGAGTTTGTACAGAGATCTTCAGAAGAGAGAGTGTGATCTTCCAGAAAACTGTTTACTGTTTCGTTCATCTGAGCGTTCAGGAGTTTCTGGCTGCAGTCTACATGATCCACAGTTTCACAAACAGGAACACAGAAGCTCTGGAGACTTTCCTAAGAGGCAACGAAGATGAAGATGAAGATGAAGACGAAGATGAAGATGAAGAAGAAGACGAAATGTTTTCTTCAGCGATGGTTTCCAGATCTTTTAAAAACCCGGATAACTCTTTTTCATCTCTGGATGTCTTCCTGAAGAGTGTCATGGAGAAATCCCTTCTCAGTAAAAACGGTCACCTGGACCTGTTTGTTCGCTTCCTTCATGGACTCTCTGTGGAGTCAAACCAGATACTCTTTGGAGGTCTGCTGGGTCACACAGACAACAGTCGAAAAATGATCCAAAGAGTCATCAACAATCTGAAGGAGATGAACAGTGAAGATATCTCTCCTGACAGAAGCATCAACATCTTCCACTGTCTGATGGAGATGAACGATCTGTCAGTTCATCAGGAGATTCAAGAGTTCCTGAAGTCAGAGAACAGATCAGAGAGACTTTCAGAGATCCACTGCTCTGCTCTGGCCTACATGCTGCAGATGTCAGAGGAGGTTCTGGATGAGTTGAATTTAAGGAATTATAACACATCAGACCAGGGACGACTGAGACTGATCCCAGCTGTGAGGAACTGCAGAAAGGCTCAGTAAGTCCAGGTTTTATTCTCAGAATAGTGTAAATGATCCCTGTAGTTCTTCTAATGTCCACGTTACTGATGATGTTCTTCTTCAAATAGAAATCCACTCAAATATCAGGGAGGGGGTTTCTTTAGCAAAAACATGATCCTGGTGTCTAAAGTCCTGTTAGCCCAGGATGAGGTCTACCTGTGGACCCCTGAGAACTTGTCCTGATTGTGAAGGACCTCTTTGTTTTGAATCGTGTCTGTAATGAATAAAGTGGAACTTTGAGGACAAATCAGCGACCATATCTGAGGACACACAGAGGTCTTCTGATGATGGTATCAGTCCAGATCAACATCTCAGTCAGTTGTGGTGAACTTGAGTTTGAAGAAGGTGTCTGCAGCTTCTTCCTGCTGGTTTTCAGGTTGGAAATGATGAATCAGTTGTAAATGAGGGTGTTGACAGCATTGATGGTGAAAATAGAACTGGATCATTTTCTACACAGTGGCAGAACTGTCTCTGTACCATCATGTTCATCATATTGTCCATATTGATCCTCCATGTTGATATTATCTGGACTCATTATTTGATACCTCACTTCATGATTTAGTGTAAACATTTAAAAAAGAGAAGAAAACATGTTCAAAGATGAATCTCTTTTATTTCCTCTGACTCTAAATTTTTCTTTCTGCATCAAACACACAAACTAGAAAAATTCAATCTGTGATTTTTATAGGAGTCATGAGAACGTACACCCCCAGAGTTCAAATAACCTCAACCCTAACTTTGACCACAGTTCTTTAAGTTTTACTTTGTTTTTATCGTTTAACTATCATGAAGTATTGGACGATAATGTGCCGAGAGAGAGAGACAGAGAGAGAGACAGGGAGAGAGACAGGGAGAGAGACAGGGAGAGAGAGCGAGAGAGAGAGATGACCATAGCCCAAAGACAGAGGTACAATAGGTCTTTGTCACTGTCTCTTAAAGGTCTCTCTGGATTCATCAGGCTTTATAAACTTGTTTCTGCTGGTGAAGGGAATGTTACATGGAGAAAAAACTTTCATTGTGAAAACAAAAAAATCTTCAAATGTTCAGAGTCAAACCAGCTCTAACCTGCTAAAAAAATGATTTTATCTGAACCAATCAGAGAAAAAGGAGCTGCTGCTATGATTTAGTGAGTCGTCCTCTGATTGGTCAACAGTCAGTGTCTATGGAAAGACTTACATTACAGCAGGATGTCAACATTAAACACTGAGAGGAGCACTGATCCTCCAAGAGGTACTTTGGATACTAACCAATCACATACCAGGACCAACAACCTGGTTCTCAGTCCCCTTCTCCAACCAGAACTCAAACATCAAATTACCCTTTAATTCAATATTGTTTGATATTTATGTTGTTACAGACTTTCATTCTGTGGACTCTCAGAGACTCACTGTGAAGTTGTGGCCTCAGCTCTGAAGTCCAACCCCTCCCATCTGAGACATCTGGAGCTGAGCTTAAACTCTCTGCGGGATTCAGGAGTGAAGCTTCTCTCTGCAGGACTGGAGAGTCCAAACTGCAGACTGGAGACTCTGATGTGAGACACCATTTCCTTCTGATCTAACAATAAGATGTGACAGCTGCTGCCTTAGATTTTTCTCTGTGGTTTTTCCATCAACTTTGGTCGAGCAGTTTGAATTTGTCGTTGTAAAACTTCAACACAGGAAGAAAAATCCGACATTTCAGAGTTGACTTTGAGGAGAACGATGGATGTAGAAAGGAAGCAGGAGAAAATCAGTCCCACAAATATTATACATGCTTGTAGAGGGCAGGAGCAGCACAGACTAAAGGCTGATATTGAACTGATCCACAGTTAATGTGATCACTAATGAATGAATGAAGTGTCAGAGAAATGATGAGCTGCAGATTGAAACCTGAAGAACAAAGTTAATCCAACTCTGGAGATTTCATTTGGAAACTCTTGAAAACTTGAATTTCTTCTTTGCTCAGTCGTGTTCAAATGTAAAAACCAGATCCAGATTATCATTAACATCATTAACATGATGATGTGTGGTCTCTGTTTGGCAGAGCGCTGATGTTACAGTCTGAGAGCACATTCAGGTTCAGCTTCACATGGGCTGGATCTGCTCAATACAAACTCTTGAGACCAGCCTGGTTGAGGGAGGTGGGCTCAGTGTCCTGGGTGACTCTCTCTGAGCTCTTCTTGGTTGAGAGTATTTCTGGTTTGTCTCTGACTTCCATGAACTCAGATCTGGAGGATTGCTGGCTGGTCCGGTCCAGTTCTGACAGTAGAGACAACACAGTCAGTTATTCTGGGTTGAGTGTTCTTGTTGAAGATCAGTGTACAGTGAGGGATGAAGGCAGACAAAGATCCTCCTGTTTCCTCCATGTCACAGTTCAAGTTCATTTTGAAGACTTTGATTGATCCGAGCACTGAAGAGGAACAGGAAACGTGGAGTAGAGAGTGAGGGGGGACTTACAGCAAAGGATCATGGGAGTCCAACCAGAAACTGCTGCAACAAGGACTCCACCTTCTGAACAGCTGAACCTCTAATCCAAACCAGTGCTCCATCACATTTGATGTCTTGTCTGTTATTTTACATGGAGGGTCAGAGCAGACCAGATCATGAGCTCTGACAGACTGGATCTGGTCCAAAGGTCTCCTGTTGGAGTTCTCTAAGCTCCATATTTTAAACCTGAACACCTGAAGTTTGATTATTAATTATTTTTATCTTCATTCTCTTTCCTTTTTTCAGACTGAGGAGCTGCAGTTTGTCAGAGATCAGCTGTTCTTCTCTGGCCTCAGCTCTGAAGTCCAACCCCGACCATCTGAGACATCTGGACCTGAGCGGAAACGATCTGCAGGATTCAGGAGTGAAGCTGCTGTGTGAATTTGTGCAGAGTCCAAACTGTAAACTGGAGACTCTGAGGTGAGACTTTTTCCTCCATTCAAACATGATCATGATTTGTTTGTGATGATGACACTAAATTGCTGACTCAGGACTGAAATACTGACCCAGACTGAACACCTTCAGTCCAGAGTAGATTTTCTGCATCAGTGGATTATTTGATTGACTCCAGTTCGATCACTGCTGAGCTCCAGTGAATTAAAACCTGAACACAAGAAGAAAACTCTTTGTAGAGTTCACAGTGAGAAGCACATTCAGACAGAAAACAGAAGCAGGGGGAGATTTGTCAGATGAGAACCACTCAAACTTTTGTTCAGGACAAGATCAGGGAACAGAAAAAACTCAGAGTTTAGTTTCTGACACTGATGAAAGTCCAGCTCTGTTACTTTGAATTTTGTTTTTAAATCTTTGTGTGAAAATCTGAATTTTATGGTTTATCTGCACTTTTCTGAAGTCTTACTGTGTTTCTCTTATTATTATATATATTATATATATACTCATTATTTCCTCTTTATTTAGGTTGAGGAGCTGCAGTTTGTCAGAGATCAGCTGTTCTTCTTTGGCCTCAGCTCTGAAGTCCAACCCCTCCCATCTGAGACATCTGGACCTGACTGAAAACAATCTGCAAGATTCAGGAGAGAAGCTGCTGTGTGATCTTCAGAAGAGTCCAGACTACATACTGGAGTATCTGCTGTCAGTATAGAGTTGGAGTTAGTCTGTGCTGATCTCTCCTGTTCCTCTCCACACAGTATCACAGCAGATATTCAGTATTTCCTGCTGACTCTTCGACCCTCTCAGAGGATTCTTTCTTTAGTGAAGCTGTGAGAACAGAAATCATCAAACCAGGAGTGTAAGAGTGTCAGTGATGAAAAAAGTGTCTCCTCGTCTCTATATTTCAGATCAAATGTAGAAATGAGACATAATGAAACAGAAATGTTCAGTTTCTGCTCTGAAGTCCAGTTTATAGTTCTCTGTATTCAACACAGACTTTATTTCTCTGCTAACTTGTTGATTTTGAGCTCTAAGTCTGAAAACAGACAGCTGTTCTTTATACTTGTTATTTTCACAGCAGGTTTGTTCGATCAGCTTTAACACATTTGACAGGAATGATTTCTTTATTTTGATGATGTTGGTTTATTTGTGAGGAAACCTGCTGCTTTACACCATCACTTCTGGTCTGAGCAGGACTGAGACCTGCTGGTCTGTAAACTGGATGTTCTTCAGTCCAGCTGATGAAGTGAGTCTCAGAGTGGAAACACTGATCATCTGTTTTTCTCTCCTCAGCTGGGAGTTTTAGCTGTCAGAGTGAATAAGAAGAGGATCATGTGTTTCCTGACGATCAGAGAGGTGGAGGCAGCAGCAGTGAGGGTGAGGTGAGTCTCTGACTGAGAGACTGACTGACCAATCACAGCGGGCGGAGAGGACTCTGGGAGCTGCACTTTGACCTGCTCTGAGATCAGCTCAGGACCTGGACTCTGGATATTTGATCTTTTCCCTCATATTCTGGGATCAAACAGTCTGAACAGGTTTGTTTTGTTGATGGAAACATGATCATAAATTTACACTTTGATTGGATTACTTTGTTTTCACCATGATGCAGCGCCACCCAGTGGAAATATAAAGAGGTGGAGTTGATTTATTCCCTCATATTTCTGCAGCAGGAGTTGATACCATGTGTGAGAGTAGATCAGTCAGAAGTTCTGATTAAACCCAAAGGTTTTTTCTTTCCTTTGCACCGTTAGAGACCGAATATAAACTGAAGGGAGAGGAAGAGAAGTGAGGAGAGATGGAGGTGAAGGGAGGAGGAGGACAGGGTTTGGGGTTTTAACAAAAATCTGAAGCTTTATTCTTTCACTTGATTATTTTTATTCATCCGTTTTCTTCTTCATTTTCTGAAATGATGGTAAATATTGACTGGAGGTAAATTTATCTTATTTAATATTATTAGACACTATTTTCCGTCTCTTTACATGTTTTTGTTCTCATATCATCTTTGTGCTCATCAATAATCGATTCCCTCCTGTTTGAACAAATACAATTATTAAACCATAAATGAGACCTGAGAGTAAAATTAAAATGTGTGAAATATAATCAGTCAAAGGAAATATTCTTGAACAAAAACAAAAACATAATTTTTACTTTTTTATGATGGAGAAGTTTTCCTCTGACAGACAAAAATAACCGTATTGACTGGAGTCTGGAAAAAGTGAGATCAGCATCTATTCAGGGTGAAGTCATTAATGTGGTCGATGCTGTTTTATAAACTCAGTGTTGTTGATTACAATCTCAGCTTCATAAACTGATGCTACAGTGGAGTGACTTCCTGTAAAATCCACTGGCTTTGTGAGACCGTCAGCTTTCAGGAGATCAGTTTGTGTTTCTGTGACACTCCAAAGCTTTTCTATCCCACAGAGAAGATCGGTGTGTTTCCAGAGACCTTCCTGATCCCATCCCTCCAAAATAAAAATAATCTGATGGTTTATGGATTCATTTCAGTAACAAAGTGTCATTTCTGTTGTTAGCCAATCAGAGGCTGTATCTGCCATCAGCTGACCTGTAAAGGTCCAATCAGAAGTCAGGACAGCTCATGCCACAGTCTGCTCACACTACAGACACATAAAACATAGAACTATTGTAAACAGATTTGTCCTCTTCAGTTTATCTACTATCAATAGATCTGTGCTCTGTCTGTGTAACACTATGTTGGTTCTTCATTTACACCAGATCATTTTTTATTTCATTTCACTGTAACAATGCCATTTAAAGATAATAAAAACTTTATTTGAACCAAAACATGTTAAAAACGTCAACTCGGCTCGTTTCATTCACTGTGTGCAATTGATTATTATTATTTTTCATTCAAACAGAAACTAGATTTGGTCTTTAAAAAGTCCTCAAAGTGAGTCTGAAAAGTAGAGGAAGGTTTTATCATCAGGGTGCAGCACAGTTGTTTCATGTGTTTTCATTTGTGATATTCTCTCTAAGGTGGGTTATTGTTCATTTAAAGTATGTGGAGGACAAATCCACACATCTAACAAAGAAGGTAAAATATAAAGATAGGAGATTTCTGCATGACATCAACGATATCCTGGATTTAGTTTTCTAAGCAACAGGTGGTCGTCTTTTATCGGGGGTACTTTGATCCAGAAATCTGAAAAGGGGTTACTAAAGCAAAAGAAGAAAAACCAGAGACTGTATATAGAATGGACAGAGTCTGCCTCCTCGCTGGGTGAAGCCACTCTGAGAACAGCACCCTCTGTTGATGGGCTGCAGTATAGGTCATAAATCCCGCCTGCGCCAGCAAAGCTTATGGAGCTGTGGACGAACTTTAGAAATTTATTACACAGAACATAATTTTTTCTCCCTCCTGGTTGTGATGTTGACATGTAGTTATTGTCAGACTGGTTTGTGCTCAAGTCCTCTTTTTTCTGTGAAGCTCCATTTTTAAAAGTTATTAGGGGGTTCATGTTTGCTATGACGTTTCACAGCCATAAGGAATAACCAATCGGAGCCTAGCACTTCTAGCCAATCAGATGCGAAGGAGGGTGGGACCTTTCCCTACCATCCCACGAAAAAAAAAAACAAACACGTCCGGGTTTGCCGACCTTTATTTCTGAGCCCCAGATAACAGGACAGAGATACCTAAAGCATACAACGTGAACTTGTGTTATCACATCAACATATTTGGCTCCTACACTGAATATAATGTTGGACAGTGATCTTTGTAAAGTGAGGTGAAGGAGGAGTTTGTGTAGTGACAACACAATCACACTGTGTGCAGAAATAAAAACCTGTTCAACCAAATATTCACATTTAGTTGGGGTATGAGAAGAGGAGTGCTCATCTGAAGTTTGTTGGTTTGACCAGCAGGTGGAGCTGCTGCATTAACAATAAACTGAGACTCAACCAACCAAACAAGTTCCTGTTTTAGTGAACTTTTACTTTGGACTCAGGAGAGGAAGGTGGCTGTCAAGAATACTGAACTTAAAAGATGATGAAAAACTGTCAGTAAATGAGGAGAAGAATCTGTGATCTGGTGGTTTAGGTTTCAGTGAAAACAGTCAGAGTGAAAGTGAAAGTATGTGAGCTGAAAAACAGACTCCATTTTGAGAAAAGAAGAGAGAGGAGAGGACGAGGAGACAGGGTGAGTGTTTACTCTGTTTTAGTTTTAATGTCAAACTCTTTATCTGTTTTATCTGTTAATGAAAAAATGATTTACTGACTAAAACACTTAAAAACTGCAAAACAAAGAAACCAGAGCAGACAAAGAGCTGGATCAGTTCTTCATACAGGAAGCTGTGTACGTGCAGTTCTTCCTCCTCTTTGTTTAGACTTGTCTTTTTGGTAAAAATATTAATCAGAATCTTTTTAGCGTCTCATTTCAAATTTAATCCAGTCTCCTTAAGTTTTTTTCTGAGAGTTCAGGGACCTCACAGCTGATTTTGTTTTGACCATGAATCAGACAAGGATCAGAGAGAGGCCCTGCAGGGTGGGGAGACATCAGAAGTTCTTGGATATTAAACCTGTATAACTCTTAAAGAGGGGGATGAAGCTGTTTTCAGACTCTGTACTTCCTTTCTGATTCCTCTTTTATTTCTGAACTCTCTCTTCCTGTTTGTGTCTCACCTGTTTGTCTTCTTTGTCCTCAGGTTGTATAACTCGGTTTCAGCCTCCATAAATTTGCACAACAGAAGATGGAGAAGATGAGTGTTTGTGTCGAGGAAGAGGAGGGCAGAGCAGAGTCTGATATGTTTGACTGTCTGTCTATGAAGAGTGACCGGTCTAAAGATCCTCCACCTGGTCTTCAGTAAAGAACCAGGACCCCCAGAGGAGGACAGAACAAAGTCTGTTATCTCCAGCTGTCTGTCTATGAAGAGTGACCGGTCTAAAGATCCTCCACCGGTCTTCAGTGAAGAACCAGGACCCCCAGAGGAGGACAGAACAAAGTCTGTTATCTCCAGCTGTCTGTCTATGAAGAGTGACCGGTCTAAAGATCCTCCACCAAAATTCAGTGAAGAACCAGGACCCTCAGATTCACAGTAAGAGAAACACTTTTCAATCACCAAACTCTCAAACAACATCTGATGTTTCAAATACAAAACTTTAAATCCTGACCCCTCTGTTTTCTCCTCTGTTCTCAAAACACTGATTTTCCTCTTGAACCTGCCAACCTGGATAAAATTCAATTCAATTCAACTTTATTTATAAAGCCCATTTCATGTACAAGGCAGACTCAATGTGCTTCACAACAGGTGTACATAGTTAAAAACAGTTATACAAAAATCAATTAGAAATCAATGTAAGAGTGTAAGTGCAAGTCAACTTCACTGCATGCACACTTAAACTCGTACATGCGCACGCACTCACACATGGACACGTGCACACGTACACACATACACACACAGTTTAAAAGAATGCTATAGAAACCTGTTTTTAAAGATGGCTACTGATGTGTCTAACTGTGTCAGGCAGGGTGTTCCATTTTTGTGGGGCATAAACACTCAAAGCTGCCTCCCCTTATTTGGATCTGGTGTGAGGGATGAGTAAGTTGCCACTGCCTGTTGACCGAAGTGTTCTTGCTGGGGTGTAGGTGATGAGCATATCTGTGATGTACTGAGGTGTAAGGCCATGTAGTGCTTTGTAAACCAGGAGGAGTATTTTGAAATCGATTCTTGTCCTAACGGGTAACCAATGTACAGATTTGAGAACGGGTGTGATGTGTTGATATTTTTTGGTACCAGTGAGAATACATGCAGCTGCATTTTGAATTAACTGTAACCTCTGAAGACTTGATTTTGGGAGTCCAGTGAATAAACTGTTACAGTAATCCAGTTTACTTCTTATAAATGCATGGATGAATTTTTCTAAGTCTGATTTTGACAGAAAGCCCCTCAGTTTGGAGATATTTTTGAGATGATAGAAAGATGATCTTGAATTAAATCTTGTAATGGATAAAAGGCTGGTAAAGAAAAAGTCACTGAGCACAGATTTACTTATTATTCTTGATGTTTATAAAAATGAAGGGCATATAAAACAGCATTTGAAAAGGATTCTGACCTCTCGTATTTTCTGATTTGGTTCCTGTGTTTGGGACGTTTTGAGCCTGTTAGTCTTTGGACTGTGGTGTATAGACCCCAGAAAACAGTCTGTGGGTCACAAAATACCAGAAGACTAAAGAAGAAATAAATCCTGAAAAATAAAAACTCATTCAGAGCATCTTTCTGTTATTAGACCTTTAGATCTGATTGGTCAAAAAAAAAGTTTTAAACTGTCAGAGAAAATCTCTCTACCTTCAAAAATCAAAGTTTAGTTTTTTTCTCTTGTCATGACACTTTCAGGCAGCAGCAGCTGAATATTTTACAGGAGATTGTTTTATGTTAGAGAAAAGAGAAACTCTGGTTTAATAAATGTTTCTTATTCTGTATCTTTCAAACATGAAATAATAAAGAAAAGAAATGTTCTTTATTTCCACAGAGAGACACAGAGATGTGACTCTGTGGAGGAGCAGCTGTCCAAATGTTCTTTATGTCAGGATGTCCTGAAGGATCCAGTCTCTACCCGCTGTGGACACCAGTCTACTTCTTCAGGATACACCTCCTGTCCCCAGTGTGGAAAAAGAACCAGAACAGTTCTTGTCTTTCAGACAGACAGCCAGTCCAGCTCTGATCGAAGTAAGTCTGAACACCTTTAAACCCTAAATTATACAATTTCTGCCTGAATTATTTTGCTTATTTTAGCCATAAAATTGGCAGAAAATGTCTTATGAGTGAGTGCTTTTTTATTCATTGGCTTTCAACCCTGCATGAGACTCGGCTCCTGTTTTAGTGTTTTATGGTTTGTTTTTAGTTATTTGTTTCTATGTTTTTAAATTAGTTTTTAAAATTATTTTAACTCTATTTTACTTTTTTAATATCTGCTTTTATTTTTTCCACTGTTTTAATTGTTTTTTTATGTCTATGCTTTTTTGTCTATTTATGTACAGCACTTTGGTTGGCTGTGGTTGTTTTAAAGTGCTTTACAAATAAAGTTGAGTTTTACCCATTTTTCCAGAGCACTTAAAACTTTCAATATCTGGCTGTCATTTACGATTTACTGTCTGTTAAAAAACTTTAACATTGTAAGATAAAGAAAAACACAAAAACGGAATACGATTTTTTGAGTTTTAATGAGAAAAAACAGAAAATATTCATGAAAAACAGATTTTTCATTTGAAATAAAAAAAAATTAAAGAGTATCAAACATATTTACAACAAAAACTTTGGAGTACTGTCTCTCCAAGTGCAAAAACAGGCTGAATAAATACAACTGTGTCCACGCGTTTCTCCTCGTTTCTCCTCTCTCACTCAGAGGTCTTTGTGAAACTGTCAGAAGCTGTTCCTTTCTGTCTGCAGACACAGACCCACATCACACCCCTCACACTTCCAGGCAGTTCTCCTTATGACAAAGTTTGCAGCGTCGTCTCCTCATGCCGGTTCTTTGAGACTTCAGCTGTCCATGGCTTGTTTGGGCACGTAGCTATACTCTACTATAAACGGTGAGCATTTCTGCGAAGTGGATGTAATTCTCGGTTGGCATGTGTTTCTCGGTACAACATCAACGGTTGCAAAATGAGAAACCGACAAGAGAAAACCGCCGAAGATGAAGACTTGTTGGTAAAAAGAGAAGCCACGTCACTAACCATTGAAGATGAATACTCGTTGATAAAAAGAACGTCACTAACCATAGAAGATGAAGACTCGTTGATTAAAAGAAAAGCCACGTCACTTATCTGTAATTATTTCGGTTACAAAAAGGATGACGTCACCTAACACCTGTTCTGTGTCGGCAGGGCCTTTCATCTGTTTCCACAATAACGTCCCAGCAGAACAATAAAAACTAAAAATATCTCTAAGACAGACAGAAGCCATTCTACTAACATGCACTAAAAGAGGGAAGATCAGTGCAGGTTAACTGTCCTCAAGATTTCAGCAGAAAGTCAGATTCAGATCATCTGAGGAAAATTCCTCTATTTTTTAATATCGATTATATATATCACAGGGTTGAACAACTTTTTAATGTTAGTGTTTTCTAATATCGTGCTGTCTTAATGGGCACACGTTACTACAAACTCACTGCCTTAGCATGGTATTCTAATAAAGTCACAACAGGTTATAAGTGTTGATTTACTCATAAAATAACGTAAATAAACTAAAAACGACACAGAGAGCGCTTCAATCATCCAGAGACCAACACAGAAAATCAACCAGTCAAACTTTACCTTTCTCTGTCTGAAGTTGCTCTGAAAGCTTCTCCATCGGTACCAAAGTCGTCTGAAAACCTCAGTGTAGGTTTTCTCACTCAGGAAGGATTTATCACAGACATTTTCCTTTGAAATAATCCCTTTTTTGTCACTTTTCTCTCTTTTTGCTCCGTTTCTCTGCTCTGTTGTGTGTCTATCCGCTGCTTTCTTTGAGAGGGGGAGAGGGGACGGAGAGACAGGTTTTCTCACTTCCCTAAACAGCAGGAGGGTTATTACCGTAATAACCGTTTATTGGCTGTGTGGCGCAACTTCTCACCTTTCAGAAACCGTTGGAGTTTTTTTGACAGCACAAACTTTCCCACAGTTACGGTAATTTAAAGAGCGCCTGTGCAAAAGGTGTCGGCGCCGACGGACTGTGAGGAAAAGTCTGTGTGGATGAAAACTCAGCTGACTGATTTTCACAAAGACGTTTCAGTGTTGAGAAGTTTGGTTCATTTTATTTTTCTTCTCTTTCAGAAGATGGCCTCCCGCAGGAGGTTTTAGATGAACATAAGATCAGTCTGAAGAGGAGATGTGAACGTGTGAATGAAGGAAGTGATGAAACAGGAAGTAGTCAAACCCTCCTCAACAGGATCTTCACTGAGCTCTACATCACAGAGGGACTGAGTGAAGAGGTGAACACCCAACATGAGGTGAGACAGCTGGAGAAAACTTCAAAGATGAAGACCCTCCATGACATGCCCATCAAGTGTCATGAGATCTTTAAAACCTTACCTGACCAACAGAAGAAGCTCATCAGAGTGGTTCTGACCAACGGCGTGGCTGGTGTTGGAAAAACCTTCTCAGTGCAGAAGTTCACTCTGGACTGGGCAGAGGGTTTGGAGAACAAAGACCTCCATCTGGTGGTCCTGCTTTCATTCAGGGAGCTGAACCTGATCAGAGAAGAGCGCTTCAGTCTTCTGAGTCTGCTCCATGTTTTCCATCCAACACTAGAGAAGGTCACAGCAGAGACGCTGGCTGTCTGTAAACTTCTGTTCATCTTTGACGGTCTGGATGAAAGCAGACTGTCTCTGGATTTCACAGACTCTGAGGTGGTGTCTGACGTCACACAGAAGTCTTCACTCAACGTTCTGTTAACAAACCTCATCAAGGGGAACCTGCTCCCCTCAGCTCTCATCTGGATAACTTCTCGACCTGCAGCAGCCAATCAGATCCCTCCTTCACGTGTGGACAGGATAACAGAAGTACGAGGCTTCAATGACACCCAGAAGGACGAGTACTTCAGGAAGAGGTTCACAGATGAAGATCTGTCCAGAAGAATCATCTCACACATCAAGTCCTCCAGGAGCCTCCACATCATGTGTCAGATCCCGGTCTTCTGCTGGATCACTGCGACAGTTCTGGAGGACATGATGATCAGAGAGCAGAGAGGAGAGCTGCCCAAGACCCTGACTGACATGTACTCACACTTCCTGCTGGTCCAGACTAAGAGGAAGAAGCAGAAGTATGGAGGAGGACATGAGACAAGTCCTCAGGCACTGATGGATGCTGACAGTGACGTCCTCCTGAAGCTGGGGAGGCTGGCATTGGAACATCTGAACAGAGGAAACATCATGTTCTACCAAGAAGACCTGGAGCGGTGTGGTCTGGATGTCTCAGAGGCCTCGGTGTACTCAGGAGTTTGTACAGAGATCTTCAGAAGAGAGAGTGTGATCTTCCAGAAAACTGTTTACTGTTTTGTTCATCTGAGCGTTCAGGAGTTTCTGTCTGCAGTCTACATGATCCACAGTTTCACAAACAGGAACACAGAAGCTCTGAAGACTTTCCTAAGAAGCAACGATGATGAAGATAAAATGTCTTCTTCAGAGATGGTTGACAGATTTTTTCAAAACCTGGATTATTTTTTCTCATCTCAGGATGTCTTCCTGAAGAGTGTCATGATGAAATCCCTTGTCAGTAAAAACGGTCACCTGGACCTGTTTGTTCGCTTCCTTCATGGACTCTCTGTGGAGTCAAACCAGAGACTCTTAGGAGTTCTGCTGGGTCACACAGACAACAGTCCAGAAATGATCCAAACAGTCATCAACAATCTGAAGGAGATGAACAGTGAAGATATCTCTCCTGACAGAAGCATCAACATCTTCCACTGTCTGATGGAGATGAACGATCTGTCAGTTCATCAGGAGATTCAAGAGTTCCTGAAGTCAAAGAACAGATCAGAGAAGGAACTCTCAGAGATCCACTGCTCTGCTCTGGCCTACATGCTACAGATGTCAGAGGAGGTTCTGGAGGAGTTGGACTTAAAGAATTATAAAACATCAGACCAGGGACGACTGAGACTGATCCCAGCTGTGAGGAACTGCAGAAAGGCTGTGTGAGTCCAGGTTTTATTCTCAGAAAAGTGTAAATGATCCCTGTAGTTCTTCTAATGTCCACGTTACTGATGATGTTCTTCTTCAAATAGAAATCAAATATCAGGGAGGGGGTTTCTTTAGCAAAAACATGATCCTGGTGTCTAAAGTCCTGTTAGCCCAGGATGAGGTCTACCTGTGGACCCCTGAGAACTTGTCCTGATTGTGGAGGACCTCTTTGTTTTGAATCGTGTCTGTAATGAATAAAGTGGAACTTTGAGGACAAATCAGCGACCATATCTGAGGACACACAGAGGTCTTCTGATGATGGTATCAGTCCAGATCAACATCTCAGTCAGTTGTGGTGAACTTGAGTTTGAAGAAGGTGTCTGCAGCTTCTTCCTGCTGGTTTTCAGGTTGGAAATGATGAATCTGTTGTAAATGAGGGTGTTGACAGCATTGATGGTGAAAATAGAACTGGATCATTTTCTACACAGTGTCAGAACTGTCTCTGTACCATCATGTTCATCATTCAGTATTCATAATCAATACAACCATGAAAACTAACATCATTTTCCACCACTCACTGGAGATTATCTGCTGGACTAGAACATATGAATGATGAGAACACAGGAGGTATTTGGACAGCAGCTCCATGAGTCTGAAAAAAGTGGTGGAGATAGGATGTTAATGTCTCTCTCTCTCTCTCTCTCTCTCTCTCTCTCTCTCTCACTCTCTCTCTCTCTCTCTGTCTCTCTCTCTCTGCCCACGGTGCTGCAGGTTGGCACTTACACTAGTCTGCCTCATAACACCTCATAGCATGTGAAAACAGCCGTGCTCTTCCACTGTATATATGGACACCATGTCTCTAAGGAGAAGCAGTGTGACTGCATCATCATCATCATCATCATCATCAGTTTTCCATGTTGTCCCTTTGTTGTCATGGTGATGCAGAGTGAAGATGATTCCTCTCATGTTGAGATGTTGGTGGGCTGTAACTCGGCTGCACGCCTCTGTTTCAGATGTTGATGTAAATTGGTCAGACTGCTGCCTTCTGCTGAAACAGCCTGTAAACAAACACTGCAGCAGACTGGGGTTTGATCCAGGTCTGAGTCTGAGAGACTGAACCAGGTCTAAAGGACTAACAAGGACTCTTTTAGGGAGCAGAAAAGTCTGTTTTTGGTCATAACTAGCATGGCTGTGATTAGGTTGAATTAATACAGGTACCCATATTGATCCTCCATGTTGGTATTATCAGGACTCATTATTGATACCTCACTTCATGATTTAGTGCAAACATTTAAAAAAGAGAAGAAAACATGTTCAAAGATGAATCTCTTTTATTTCTTCTGACTCCAGATGTTTCTTTCTGCATCAAACACACAAACTAGAAAAATTCAATGTTATTTTTATAGGAATCATGGGAATGTACGCCCCCTAGAGTTACATGGAGAAAAAACTTTCATTGTGAAAACAAAGAAATTTTGAATTCTTCAAATGTTCAGAGTCAAACCAGCTCTAACCTGCTAAAAAATGTTTTTATCTGAACCAATCAGAGAAACAGGAGCTGCTGTGATTTAGTGAGTCGTCCTCTGATTGGTCAACAGTCAGTGTCTATGGAAAGACTTACATTACAGCAGGATGTCAACATTAAACACTGAGAGGAGCACTGATTCTCCAAGAGGTACTTTGGATACTGACCAATCACATACCAGGACCAAAAACCTGGTTCTCAGTCCCCTTCTCCAACCAGAACTCAAGAATTCACTCAATCATAATGATCCAGCTGCACTAACATGAAGACAACACTGTTAGAGAACAGAATGACTAAAATAAGTCATGGAGTCATTTGTCTTGAACATCAAAACAGTTTTTTTTTTCTTCTAAACTTTGACTTCCTGTCTTCTCTCATGGCTGTGGTCCTGATATTAGTATCTGTCTGGTTAAAAACAGGCCGTCTGTCAAACCAAAGATCATGTTTGTTTTTGGTGAGGAGAAACATCAAATTACCCTTTAATGAAATATTGTTGATATTTATGTTGTTACAGATTTTCTCTCTGTGGACTCTCAGAGACTCACTGTGAAGTTGTGGCCTCAGCTCTGAAGTCCAACCCCTCCCATCTGAGATATCTGGACCTGAGTAACAACGAGCTGAAGGATTCAGGGGTGAAGCTTCTCTCTGCAGGACTGGAGAGTCCAAACTGCAGACTGGAGACTCTGAGGTGAGACACCATTTCCTTCTGATCTAACAATAAGATGTGACAGCTGCTGCCTTAGATTTTTCTCTGTGGTTTTTCCATCAACTTTGGTCGAGCAGTTTGAATTTGTCGTTGTAAAACTTCAACACAGGAAGAAAAATCCGACATTTCAGAGTTGACTTTGAGGAGAACGATGGATGTAGAAAGGAAGCAGGAGAAAATCAGTCCACAAATATTACACATGCTTGTAGAGGGCAGGAGCAGCACAGACTAAAGACTGATACTGAACTGATCCACAGTTAATGTGATCACTAATGAATGAATGAAGTGTCAGAGAAATGAGGAGCTGCAGATTGAAACCTGAAGAACAAAGTTAATCCAACTCTGGATATTTCATTTGGAAACTCTTGAAAACTTGAATTTCTTCTTTGCTCAGTCGTGTTCAAATGTAAAAACCAGATCCAGATTTGTCTGCAGTTTTCACTTCAGTTTGTTGAACATGAACATCATCTTGTCCAGTTGGTCCATAAAAACCTCTCTGATCAATGATCTGTTGGTTTATTTAAGAGTAGTTTGGCAGTTGTTGACAGCAGACGGACAGACCCCTGAATAAACTCCTGACTGTTTTCATCTTCATGAAGAATTCAGGACTACAAAAGAACCTTTGAGATTTCTCACATGAGTTTCTCAGGATCTCACTAAAGTTTTCTGTTTCTTTAAAATTTTCTTGACTGATAAATTCCTCAGGATCTTCAAAAAGTTTAGAGAAGATTTTACAAAGTTCCTGAAGATCAACTCTGAAAAAGTTCTTCTTCCGTGTCCTTCAGGGGCTCAAGAACATTGAATCATTAAAAACAGGAACAGTTTCTTCAGAGGTTCCATGATTTTTTTCTTTTTTCAGACTGTGACAGGTGTTTATTAGTCTTTTTGACACATTACAATAATGAGGATAAAGTCATGGACTAAACTTGGGCTCCCAGTTTCCTTGTTGTTGTTTCTTCAGCTAGCATCATTGTTTTCATCACAGTTATTAAAGTAATAATGATGCTTCATAAATTCAGAGTCACAAAAAAACACCAAACAAACCAAATCTGAAAAAAATTCACTTTTTCATCAAATGAGTTTAATCGGTCAGAACATGAGGTTTGAGTTTTCATGAGGAGGAAACGAGAAAGATCTGCTCTGACAGTGAGAAACACAGACGCCTGAATCTACACTGACAGACAGACAAACACAGACAGAGAGACACAGACAGAGAGACACAGACACAGACACACAAATACAGACACACAGAGACACAGACACACAGACTAACAGAGATTTTCTTCTTCGTCTCTTTGCTGTGATGACTGAAGTCACAAAAACAAAGTTTTCTTCGTCACTTTTATGATTGAACCAAATAAGTTAAAGAACCAAACTCTCAGATTTTCTTCTTCTCAATATTATTTGAACCATTTTGATTTTTCTCCTGATCAATATTCAATGATCAGATTGATCAGGTTCCTGTTTTGGCTCCACTGCCTCTTTTCTGCAGCTCAATAACTGCTCATATGGTTTGAAAGGTTCCTGCAGTAAAAACCCGATTAGAGAGTGGACTAAATGAAATGTGAGTGAACTCAGCCATCAGTGAATCAATGACAAAGTGAGAGGAAGAGTGGATCTGTCTGCTCTCTGACCTTGTTGATCCTGATGAAGGTGAGGGAGAAGAGTAAAGCAGTAAAGGTGATGTTGTTGCAGACAGAGTCAGCTGACCTGTCTCATCAGAGTCTCATCCATTCTCTGTTTGGCAGAGCGCTGATGTTACAGTCTGAGAGCACATTCAGGTTCAGCTTCACATGGGCTGGATCTGCTCAATACAAACTCTTAAGACCAGCCTGGTTGAGGGAGGTGGGCTCAGTGTCCTGGGTGACTCTCTCTGAGCTCTTCTTGGTTGAGAGTATTTCTGGTTTGTCACTGACTTCCATGAACTCAGATCTGGAGGATTGCTGGCTGGTCTGGTCCAGTTCTGACAGTAGAGACAACACAGTCTGTTATTCTGGGTTGAGTGTTCTTGTTGAAGATCAGTGTACAGTGAGGGATGAAGGCAGACAAAGATCCTCCTGTTTCCTCCATGTCACAGTTCAAGTTCATTTTGAAGACTTTGATTGATCCGAGCGCTGAAGAGGAACAGGAAACGAGGAGTAGAGAGTGAGGGAGGACTTACAGCAAAGGATCATGGGAGTCCAACCAGCAACTGCTGCAACAAGGACTCCACCTTCTGATCACCTGAACCTCTAATCCAAACCAGTGCTCCATCACATTTGATGTCTTGTCTGTTATTTTACATGGAGGGTCAGAGCAGACCAGATCATGAGCTCTGACAGACTGGATCTGGTCCAAAGGTCTCCTGTTGGAGTTCTCTAAGCTCCATATTTTAAACCTGAACACCTGAAGTTTGATTATTAATTATTTTTATCTTCATTCTCTTTCCTTTTTTCAGATTGTATAAATGCAGTTTGTCAGAGATCAGCTGTTCTTCTCTGGCCTCAGCTCTGAAGTCCAACCCCTCCCATCTGAGACATCTGGACCTGAGCTTAAACGATCTGCAGGATTCAGGAGTGAAGCTTCTGTGTGACTTTCTGCAGAGTCCAAACTGTAAACTGGAGACTCTAGAGTGAGACTTTTTCCCTCCATTCAAACATGATCATGATTTGTTTGTGATGATGACACTAAACTGCTGACTCAGGACTGAAATACTGACCCAGACTGAACACCTTCAGTCCAGAGTAGATTTTCTGCATCAGTGGATTATTTGATTGACTCCAGTTAGATCACTGCTGAGCTCCAGTGAATTAAAACCTGAACCCAAGAGGAAAACTCTTTGTAGAGTTCATAGTGAGAAGCACATTCAGACAGAAAACAGAAGCAGGGGGAGATTTGTCAGATGAGAACCATTCAAACTTTTGTTCAGGACAAGATCAGGGAATAGAAAAAACTCAGAGTTTAGTTTCTGACTCTGATGAAAGTCCAGCTCTGTTACTTTGAATTTTGTTTTTGAATCTTTGTGTAAAAATCTGAATTTTCTGGTTTATCTGCACTTTTCTGAAGCCTTGCTGTGTTTAGACTGAAATATTTACCTCCCAAACACGTGATATTTTTTATCTGCATCTACAATCAGTAAAAAAGTCTCTGAGTTTTTTATTTCACTATTTAATGTGTTTTTGAATTCACTGTTTCAAACTGACTTCCTGTTTGGTTCAGCTCTTTGGAGCGTCACTTTTCTTTGATTCAGACTTTCCAAACCTTTCCCCTGAACTCTACAGATTTAAGACATCAGGTTTCAAACTGGATCATTTTTGTCTAAAATCTCATTATTTCCTCTTTATTTAGGTTGTGGCGCTGCAGTTTGACGAAGATCAGCTGTTCTTCTCTGGCCTCAGCTCTGAAGTCCAACCCCTCCCATCTGAGACATCTGGACCTGACTGAAAACAATCTGCAAGATTCAGGAGAGAAGCTGCTGTGTGATCTTCAGAAGAGTCCAGACTACATACTGGAGTATCTGCTGTCAGTCTAGAGTTGGAGTTAGTCTGTGCTGATCTCTCCTGTTCCTCTCCACACAGTATCACAGCAGATATTCAGTATTTCCTGCTGACTCTTCGACCCTCTCAGAGGATTATCTCTTTAGTGAAGCTGTGAGAACAGAAATCATCAAACCAGGAGTGTAAGAGTGTCAGTGATGAAAAAAGTGTCTCCTCGTCTCTATATTTCAGATCAAATGTAGAAATGAGACATAATGAAACAGAAATGTTCAGTTTCTGCTCTGAAGTCCAGTTTATAGTTCTCTGTATTCAACACAGACTTTATTTCTCTGCTAACTTGTTGATTTTGAGCTCTAAGTCTGAAAACAGACAGCTGTTCTTTATACTTGTTATTTTCACAGCAGGTTTGTTCGATCAGCTTTAACACATTTGACAGGAATGATTTCTTTATTTTGATGATGTTGGTTTATTTGTGAGGAAACCTGCTGCTTTACACCATCACTTCTGGTCTGAGCAGGACTGAGACCTGCTGGTCTGTAAACTGGATGTTCTTCAGTCCAGCTGATGAAGTGAGTCTCAGAGTGGAAACACTGATCGTCTTTTTTTCTCTCCTCAGATGGTGATAACATCCGTCAGAGTGATTAAGAAGAGGATCGTGTGTTTCCTGACGATCAGAGAGGTGGAGGCAGCAGCAGTGAGGGTGAGGTGAGTCTCTGACTGAGAGACTGACTGACCAATCACAGCGGGCGGAGAGGACTCTGGGAGCTGCACTTTGACCTGCTCTGAGATCAGCTCAGGACCTGGACTCTGGATATTTGATATTTTCCCTCATACTCTGGGATCAAACAGTCTGAACAGGTTTGTTTTGTTGATGGAAACATGATCATAAATTTACACTTTGATTGGATTACTTTTTTTTACCATGATACAGCGCCACCCAGTGGAAATATAAAGAGGTGGAGTTGATTTATTCCCTCATATTTCTGTAGCAGGAGTTGATACCATGTGTGAGAGTAGATCACTCAGAAGTTCAGATAAAACCCAAAGGTTTTTTCTTTCCTCTGCACCGTTAGAGACCGAATATAAACTGAAGGGAGAGGAAGAGAAGTGAGGAGAGATGGAGGTGAAGGGAGGAGGAGGAGGACAGGGTTTGGGGTTTTAACAAAAATCTGAAGCTTTATTCTTTCACTTGATTATTTTTATTCATCCGTTTTCTTCTTCATTTTCTGAAATTATGGTAAATATTGACTGGAGGTAAATTTATTTTATTTAATATTATTAGACACTATTTTCCGTCTCTTTACATGTTTTTGTTCTCATATCATCTTTGTGCTCATCAATAATCGATTCCCTCCAGTTTGAACAAATACAATTATTAAACCATAAATGAGACCTGAGAGTAAAATTAAAATGTGTGAAATATAATCAGTCAAAAGAAAGATTCTTGAACAAAAACAAAAACATTATTTTTACTTTATTATGATGGAGAAGTTTTCCTCTGACAGACAAAAATAACCGTATTGACTGGAGTCTGGAAAAAGTGAGATCAGCATCTATTCAGGGTGAAGTCACTAACGTGGTCGATGCTGTTTTATAAACTCAGTGTTGTTGATTACAATCTCAGCTTCATAAACTGATGCTACAGCTCATGTCACAGTCTGCTCACACCACAGAAACATTAAACATAGAACTATTGTGAACAGATTTGTCCTCTTCAGCTAATCTACTATCAATAGATCTGTGCTCTGTCTGTGTAACACTATGTTGGTTCTTCATTTACACCAGATCATTTTTTATTTCATTTCACTGTAACAATGTCATTTAAAGATAATAAAAACTTTATTTGAACCAAAACATGTTAAAAACGTCAACTCGGCTCGTTTCATTCACTGTGTGCAATTGATTATTATTATTTTTCATTCAAACAGAAACTAGATTTGGTCTTTAAAAAGTCCTCAAAGTGAGTCTGAAAAGTAGAGGAAGGTTTTCTCATCAGGGTGCAGCACAGTTGTTTCCTGTGTTTTCATTTGTGATATTCTCTCTAAGGTGTGTTATTGTTCATTTAAAGTATGTGGAGGACAAATCCACACATCTAACAAAAAAAGGTAAAATATAAAGATAGATTTCTGCATGACATCAACGATATCCTAGATTTAGTTTTCTAAGCAACAGGTGGTCGTCTTTTATCGGGGGTACTTTGATCCAGAAATCTGAAAAGGGGTTACTAAAGCAAAAGAAGAAAAACCAGAGACTGTATATAGAATGGACAGAGTCTGCCTCCTCGCTGGGTGAAGCCACTCTGAGAACAGCACCCTCTGTTGATGGGCTGCAGTATAGGTCATAAATCCCGCCTGCGCCAGCAAAGCTTATGGAGCTGTGGACGAACTTTAGAAATTTATTACACAGAACATAATTTTTTCTCCCTCCTGGTTGTGATGTTGACATGTAGTTATTGTCAGACTGGTTTGTGCTCAAGTCCTCTTTTTTCTGTACAGCTCAATTTTTAAAAGTTATTAGGGGGTTCATGTTTGCTATGACGTTTCACAGCCATAAGGAATAACCAATCGGAGCCTAGCACTTCTAGCCAATCAGATGCGAAGGAGGGTGGGACCTTCCCCTACCATCCCACGAAAAAAAAAAAACAAACACGTCCGGGTTTGCCGACCTTTATTTCTGAGCCCCAGATAACAGGACAGAGATACCTAAAGCATACAACGTGAACTTGTGTTATCACTTCAACATCTAACTAAATATATGTTGGACAGTGATCTTTGTAAAGTGAGGTGAAGGAGCAGTTTGTGTAGTGACAACACAATCACACTGTGTGCAAAAATAAAAACCTGTTCAACCAAATCTTCACATTTATTGGGGTATGAGAAGAGGAGCGCTCATCTGAAGTTTGTTGGTTTGACCAGCAGGTGGAGCTGCTGCATTAACAATAAACTGAGACTCAACCAAACAAACAAGTTCCTGTTTTAGTGAACTTTGAATTTGGACTCAGGAGAGGAAGATGGTTGTCAAGAATACTGAACTTAAAAGATGATGAATAACGGTCAGTAAATGAGGAGAAGAATCTGTGATCTGGTGGTTTAGGTTTCAGTGAAAACAGTCAGAGTGAAAGTGAAAGTATGTGAGCTGAAAAACAGACTCCATTTTGAGAAAAGAAGAGAGAGGAGAGGACGAGGAGACAGGGTGAGTGTTTACTCTGTTTTAGTTTTAATGTCAAACTCTTTATCTGTTTTATCTGTTAATGAAAAAATGATTTACTGACTAAAACACTTAAAAACTGTAAAACAAAGAAACCTGAGCAGACAAAGAGCTGGATCAGTTCTTCATACAGGAAACTGTGTAACTGCAGTTCTTCCTCCTCTTTGTTTAGACTTGTCTTTTTGGTAAAAATATGAATCAGAATCTTTTTAGCGTCTCATTTCAAATTTAATCCAGTCTCCTTAAGTTTTTTTCTGAGAGTTCAGGGACCTCACAGCTGATTTTGTTTTGACCATGAATCAGACAAGGATCAGAGAGAGGCCCTGCAGGGTGGGGAGACATCAGAAGTTCTTGGATATTAAACCTGTATAACTCTTAAAGAGGGGGATGAAGCTGTTTTTAGACTCTGTACTTCCTTTCTGATTCCTCTTTTATTTCTGAACTCTCTCTTCCTGTTTGTGTCTCACCTGTTTGTCTTCTTTGTCCTCAGGTTGTATAACTCGGTTTCAGCCTCCATAAATTTGCACAACAGAAGATGGAGAAGATGAGTGTTGGTGTCGAGGAAGAGGAGGGCAGAGCAGAGTCTGATATGTTTGACTGTCTGTCTATGAAGAGTGACCGGTCTAAAGGTTTTGATATAAACTTCAGTAAAGAACCAGGACCCCCAGAGCAGGACAGAACAAAGTCTGTTATCTCCAGCTGTCTGTCTATGAAGAGTGACCGGTCTAAAGATCCTCCACCAAAATTCAGTGAAGAACCAGGACCCTCAGATTCACAGTAAGAGAAACACTTTTCAATCACCAAACTCTCAAACAACCTCTGACGTTTCAAATACAAAACTTTAAATCCTGACCCCTCTGTTTTCTCCTCTGTTCTCAAAACACTGATTTTCCTCTTGAACCTGCCAACCTGGATAAAATTCAATTCAATCCAACTTTATTTATAAAGCCCATTTCATGCAAAAGGCAGACTCAATGTTCTTCACAACAGGTGTACATAGTTAAAAACAGTTATACAAAAATCTATTAGAAATCAATTTAAGAGTGTAAGTGCAAGTCAACCAACTTCACCGCGAATGCTACAGAAATCTGTTTTTAAAGATGGCTACTGATGTGTCTAACTGTGTCAGGCAGGGTGTTCCATTTTTGTGGGGCATAAACACTCAAAGCTGCCTCCCCTTATTTGGATCTGGTGTGAGGGATGAGTAAGTTGCCACTGCCTGTTGACCGAAGTGTTCTTGCTGGGGTGTAGGTGATGAGCATATCTGTGATGTACTGAGGTGCAAGGCCATGTAGTGCTTTGTAAACCAGGAGGAGTATTTTGAAATCGATTCTTGTCCTAACGGGTAACCAATGTACAGATTTGAGAACGGGTGTGATGTGTTGATATTTTTTGGTACCAGTGAGAATTCATGCAGCTGCATTTTGAATTAACTGTAACCTCTGAAGACTTGATTTTGGGAGTCCAGTGAATAAACTGTTACAGTAATCCAGTTTACTTCTTATAAATGCATGGATGAATTTTTCTAAGTCTGATTTTGACAGAAAGCCCCTCAGTTTGGAGATATTTTTGAGATGATAGAAAGATGATCTTGTAATGGATAAAAGGCTGGTAAAGAAAAACTCACTGAGCACAGATTTACTTATTATTCTTGATGTTGATAAAAATGAAGGTCGTATAAAACAGCATTTGAAAAGGATTCTGACTTCTTGTATTTTCTGATTTGGTTCCTGTGTTTGGGACGTTTTGAGCCTGTTAGTCTTTGGACTGTGGTGTATAGACCCCAGAAAACAGTCTGTGGGTCACAAAATACCAGAAGACCAATGAAGAAATAAATCCTGAAAAATAAAAACATAATTCAGAGCATCTGTCTGTTATTAGACCTTTAGATCTGATTGGTCAAAAAAAAAGTTTTAAACTGTCAGAGAAAATCTCTCTACCTTCAAAAATCACAGTTTAGTTTTTTCTCTTGTCACGACACTTTCAGGCAGCAGCAGCTGAATATTTTACAGGAGATTGTTTTATGTTAGAGAAAAGAGAAACTCTGGTTTAATAAATGTTTCTTATTCTGTATCTTTCAAACATGAAATAATAAAGAAAATAAATGTTCTTTATTTCCACAGAGAGACACAGAGATGTGACTCTGTGGAGGAGCAGCTGTCCAAATGTTCTTTATGTCAGGATGTCCTGAAGGATCCAGTCTCTACCCGCTGTGGACACAGGTTCTGCAGACAGTGCCTCGCCTCATTCAGGGACCAGTCTACTTCTTCAGGACACACCTCCTGTCCTCAGTGTGGAAAAAGAACCAGAACAGTTCTTGTTCTTCAGACAGACAGCCAGTCCAGCTCTGATCGAAGTAAGTCTGAACACCTTTAAACCCTAAATTATACAATTTCTGCCTGAATTATTTTGCTTATTTTAGCCATAAAATTGGCAGAAAATGTCCTATGAGTGAGTGCTTTTTTATTCATTGGCTTTCAACCCTGCATGAGACTCGGCTCCTGTTTTAGTGTTTTATGTTTTTTTTTTTTTTTTTATGTCTATGCTTTTTTGTCTATTTATATACAGCACTTTGGTTGGCTGTGGTTGTTTTAAAGTGCTTTACAAATAAAGTTGAGTTTTACCCATTTTTCCAGAGCACTTAAAACTTTCAATATCTGGCTGTCATTTACGATTTACTGTCTGTTAAAAGAGTGCTTTAACATTGTAAGATAAAGAAAAACACAAAAACGGAATACAATTTTTTTTGAGTTTTAATGAGAAAAAAACAGAAAATATTCATGAAAAACAGATTGTTCATTTGAAATAAAAAAATTAAAGAGTATCAAACATATTTACAGCAAAAACTTTGGAGTGCTGTCTCTCCAAGTGCAAAAACAGGCTAACTAAATACAACTGTGTCCAGGCGTTTCTCCTCTCTCACTCAGAGGTCTTTGTGAAACTGTCAGAAGCTGTTCCTTTCTGTCTGCAGACACAGACCCACATCACACCCCTCACACTTCCAGACAGTTCTCCTTATGACAAAGTTTGCAGCGTCGTCTCCTCATGCTAGTTCTTTTAGACTTCATCTGCCCATGGCTTGTTTGGGCACGTAGCTATACTCTACTATAAACGGTGAGCATTTCTGCCAAGTGGATGTAATTCTCGGGGGGCATGTGTTTCTCGGCAACACATCAACGGCTGCAAATGAGAAACCAACAAGAGAAAACCGCCGAAGATGAAAACTTTTTAGTAAAAAGAAAAGCAACGTCACTTACCATTGAAGACGAATACTCGTTGATTAAAAGAAAAGCAACGTCACTTACCATTGAAGATGAATATTCGTTGATTAAAAGAAAAGCCACGTCACTTATCTGTAATTATTTCGGTAACAAAAAGGATGACGTCACCTAACACCTGTTCTGTGTCGGCAGTGTCTTTCATCTGTTTCCACAATAACGTCCCAGCAGAACAATAAAAACTAAAAATATCTCTAAGACAGACAGAAGCCATTCTACTAACATTCACTAAAAGAGGGAAGATCAGTGCAGGTTAACAGAGAGCCCTTCATTCATCCAGAAACCCACTCAGAAAATCAACCAGTCAAACTTTACCTTTCTCTGTCTGAAGTTTCTCTGAAAGCTTCTCCATCGGTCCCAAAGTCGTCTGTAAACCTCAGTGGAGGTTTTCTCACTCAGGAAGGATTTATCACAGACATTTTCCTCTGAAATAATCACTTTTTTTTTGGTAATTTTTCTCTCTTTTTGCTCCGTTTCTCTGCTCTGTTGTTTGTCTATCTACTGCTTTCTTTGTGAGGGGGAGAGGGGACGGAGAGACAGATTTCCTCTCTAAACAGCAGGAGTGAAATTACCGTAATAACCGTTTATTGGCCGTGTGGCGCAACTTCTCACTTTTCAGAAACCGTTGGAGATTTTTTTTTGATAGAACAAACTATCCCAAAGTTACGGTAATTTAAAGAGCGCCTGTATAAAGGTGTCGGCGCCGACGGACTGTGAGGAAAAGTCTGTGTGGATGAAAACTCAGCTGACTGATTTTCACAAAGACGTTTCAGTGTTGAGAAGTTTGGTTCATTTTATTTTTCTTCTCTTTCAGAAGATGGCCTCCCGCAGGAGGTTTTAGATGAACATAAGATAAGTCTGAAGAGGAGATGTGAACGTGTGAATGAAGGAAGTGATGTAACAGGAAGTAGTCAAACCCTCCTCAACAGGATCTTCACTGAGCTCTACATCACAGAGGGACTGAGTGAAGAGGTGAACACCCAACATGAGGTGAGACAGCTGGAGACTACTTCAAAGATGAAGACCCTCCATGACACGCCCATCAGGTGTCATGAGATCTTTAAAACCTTACCTGACCAACAGAAGAAGCTCATCAGAGTGGTTCTGACCAACGGCGTGGCTGGTGTTGGAAAAACCTTCTCAGTGCAGAAGTTCACTCTGGACTGGGCAGAGGGTTTGGAGAACCAAGACCTCCATCTGGTGGTCCTGCTTTCATTCAGGGAGCTGAACCTGATCAGAGATGAGCGCTTCAGTCTTCTGAGTCTGCTCCATGTTTTCCATCCAACCCTAGAGAAGGTCACAGCAGAGACGCTGGCTGTCTGTAAACTTCTGTTCATCTTTGACGGTCTGGATGAAAGCAGACTGTCTCTGGATTTCACAGACTCTGAGGTGGTGTCTGACGTCACACAGAAGTCTTCACTGAACGTTCTGATAACAAACCTCATCAAGGGGAACCTGCTCCCCTCAGCTCTCATCTGGATAACTTCTCGACCTGCAGCAGCCAATCAGATCCCTCCTTCACATGTGGACAGGGTAACAGAAGTACGAGGCTTCACTGACGACCAGAAGGACGAGTACTTCAAGAAGAGGTTCAGAGATGAAGATCTGTCCAGAAGAATCATCTCACACATCAAGTCCTCCAGGAGCCTCCACATCATGTGTCAGATCCCGGTCTTCTGCTGGATCACTGCGACAGTTCTGGAGGACATGATGAGCAGAGAGCAGAGAGGAGAGCTGCCCAAGACCCTGACTGACATGTACTCACACTTCCTGCTGGTCCAGACTCAGAGGAAGAAGCAGAAGTATGAAGGAGGACATGAGACAAGTCCTCAGGCACTGATGGATGCTGACAGTGACGTCCTCCTGAAGCTGGGGAGGCTGGCCTTTGAACATCTGAAGAAAGGAAACATCATGTTCTACCAAGAAGACCTGGAGCGGTGTGGTCTGGATGTCTCAGAGGCCTCGGTCTACTCAGGAGTTTGTACAGAGATCTTCAGAAGAGAGAGTGTGATCTTCCAGAAAACTGTTTACTGTTTTGTTCATCTGAGCGTTCAGGAGTTTCTGTCTGCAGTCTACATGATCCACAGTTTCACAAACAGGAACACAGAAGCTCTGAAGACTTTCCTAAGAAGCAACGATGATGAAGATAAAATGTCTTCTTCAGAGATGGTTGACAGATTTTTTCAAAACCTGGATTATTTTTTCTCATCTCAGGATGTCTTCCTGAAGAGTGTCGTGGAGAACTCCCTTCTCAGTAAAAACGGTCACCTGGACCTGTTTGTTCGCTTCCTTCATGGACTCTCTGTGGAGTCAAACCAGAGACTCTTAGGAGGTCTGCTGGGTCACACAGACAACAGTCCAGAAATGATCCAAACAGTCATCAAGAACCTGAAGGAGATGAACAGAGAAGATATCTCTCCTGACAGAAGCATCAACATCTTCCACTGTCTGATGGAGATGAACGATCTGTCGGTTCATCAGGAGATTCAAGAGTTCCTGAAGACAAAGAACATATCAGAGAAGAAACTCTCAGAGATCCAATGCTCTGCTCTGGCCTACATGCTGCAGATGTCAGAGGAGGTTCTGGATGAGTTAGACTTACAGAAGTATAAAACATCAGACCAGGGACGACTGAGACTGATCCCAGCTGTGAGGAACTGCAGAAAGGCTGAGTAAGTCCAGGTTTTATTCTCAGAATAGTGTAAATGATCCCTGTAGTTCTTCTAATGTCCACGTTACTGATGATGTTCTTCTTCAAATAGAAATCCACTCAAATATCAGGGAGGGGGTTTCTTCAGCAAAAACATGATCCTGGTGTCTAAAGTCCTGTTAGTCCAGGATGAGGTCTACCTGTGGACCCCTGAGAACTTGTCCTAATTGTGGAGGACCTCTTTGTTTTGAATCGTGTCTGTAATGAATAAAGTGGAACTTTGAGGACAAATCAGCGACCATATCTGAGGACACACAGAGGTCTTCTGATGATGGTATCAGTCCAGATCAGGTGAACTTGAGTTTTAAGAAGGTGTCTGCAGCTTCTTCCTGCTGGTTTTCAGGTTGGAAATGATGAATCAGTTGTAAATGAGGGTGTTGACAGCATTGATGGTGAAAATAGAACTGGATCATTTTCTACACAGTGGCAGAACTGTCTAACCTTCAAAGAAATGTTTTTATCTGAACCAAACAGAGAAAAAGGAGCTGCTGTGATTTAGTGAGTCGTCTTCTGATTGGTCAACAGTCAGTGCCTTACATTATAGCAGGATGTCAACACTAAACACTGAGAGGAGCATGAGTCATGGAGTCATTTGTCTTGAACGTCTGAACAGTTTTTTTTTTCTTCTAAACTTGGACTTCCTGTCTTCTCTCATGGCTGTGGTCCTGATATTAGTATCTGTCTGGTTAAAAACAGGCCGTCTGTCAAACCAAAGATCATGTTTGAGTTGTTTTTGGGGAAGAGAAACATCAAATAACCCTTTAATAAAATATTGTTTGATATTCATTTTGTCACAGATTTAATAACTGTGGACTCTCAGAGACTCACTGTGAAGTTGTGGCCTCAGCTCTGAAGTCCAACCCCTCCCATCTGAGACATCTGAACCTGAGAAACAACAGACTGCAGGATTCAGGAGTGAAGCTTCTCTCTGCAGGACTGGAGAGTCCAAACTGCAGACTGGAGACTCTGAGGTGAGACACCATTTCCTTCCGATCTAACAATAAGATGTGACAGCTGCTGCCTTAGATTTTTCTCTGTGGTTTTTCCATCAACTTTGGTCGAGCAGTTTGAATTTGTCGTTGTAAAACTTCAACACAGGAAGAAAAATCCGACATTTCAGAGTCGACTTTGAGTAGAACGATGGATGTAGAAAGGAAGCAGGAGAAAATCAGTCCCACAAATATTATACATGCTTGTAGAGGGCAGGAGCAGCACAGACTAAAGGCTGATATTGAACTGATCCACAGTTAATGTGATCACTAATGAATGAATGAAGTGTCAGAGAAATGATGAGCTGCAGATTGAAACCTGAAGAACAAAGTTAATCCAACTCTGGATATTTCATTTGGAAACTCTTGAAAACTTGAATTTCTTCTTTGCTCAGTCGTGTTCAAATGTAAAAACCAGATCCAGATTTTTCTGCAGTTTTCACTTCAGTTTGTTGAACATGAACATCATCTTGTCCAGCTGGTCCATAAAAACCTCTCTGATCAATGATCTGTTGGTTTATTTAAGAGTAGTTTGTCAGTTGTTGACAGCAGACGGACAGACCCCTGAATAAACTCCTGACTGTTTTCATCTTCATGAAGAATTCAGGACTACAAAAGAACCTTTGAGATTTCTCACAGGAGTTTCTCAGGATCTCACTAAAGTTTTCTGTTTCTGTAAAATTTTCTCGACTGATAAATTCCTCTGGATCTTCAAAAAGTTTAGAGAGGATTTTACAAAGTTCCTGAAGATCAACTCTGAAAAAGTTCTTCTTCCGTGTCCTTCAGGGTTCAAGAACATTGAATCATTAAAAACAGGAACAGTTTCTTCAGAGGTTACATGATTTTTTTCTTTTTTCAGACTGTGACAGGTGTTTATTAGTCTTTTTGACTCATTACAATAATGAGGATAAAGTCATGGACTAAACTTGGGCTCCCAGTTTCCTTGTTGTTGTTTCTTCAGCTAGCATCATTGTTTTCATCTCAGTTATTAAAGTAATAATGATGCTTCATAAATTCAGAGTCACAAAAAAACACCAAACAAACCAAATCTGAAAAAAATTCACTTTTTCATCAAATGAGTTTAATCGGTCAGAACATGAGGTTTGAGTTTTCATGAGGAGGAAACGAGAAAGATCTGCTCTGACAGTTAGAAACACAGACACCTGAATTTACACTGACAGACAGAGAGACACAGACAGAGACACAGACAGACACAGACAGAGACACACAAACACAGACTAACAGAGATGTTCCTCTTCGTCTCTTTGCTGTGATGACTGAAGTCACAAAAACAAAGTTTTCTTCGTCACTTTTATGATTGAACCAAAGAAGTTAAAGAACCAAACTCTCAGATTTTGTTCTTCTCAATTTTATTTGAACCATTTAGATTTTTCTCCTGATCAATATTCAATGATCAGATTGATCAGGTTCCTGTTTTGGCTCCACTGCCTCTTTTCTGCAGCTCAATAACTGCTCATATGGTTTGAAAGGTTCCTGCAGTAAAACCCGATTAGAGAGTGGACTAAATGAAATGTGAGTGAACTCAGCCATCAGTGAATCAATGACAAAGTGAGAGGAAGAGTGGATCTGTCTGCTGTCTGACCTTGTTGATCCTGATGAAGGTGAGGGAGAAGAGTAAAGCAGTAAAGGTGATGTTGTTGCAGACAGAGTCAGCTGACCTGTCTCATCAGAGTCTCATCCATTCTCTGTTTGGCAGAGCACTGATGTTAGAGTCTGAGAGCACATTCAGGTTCAGCTTCACATGGGCTGGATCTGCTCAATACAAACTCTTGAGACCAGCCTGGTTGAGGGAGGTGGGCTCAGTGTCCTGGGTGACTCTCTCTGAGCTCTTCTTGGTTGAGAGTATTTCTGGTTTGTCTCTGACTTCCATGAACTCAGATCTGGAGGATTGCTGGCTGGTCCGGTCCAGTTCTGACAGTAGAGACAACACAGTCTGTTATTCTGGGTTGAGTGTTCTTGTTGAAGATCAGTGTACAGTGAGGGATGAAGGCAGACAAAGATCCTCCTGTTTCCTCCATGTCACAGTTCAAGTTCATTTTGAAGACTTTGATTGATCCGAGCGCTGAAGAGGAACAGGAAACGAGGAGTAGAGAGTGAGGGAGGACTTACAGCAAAGGATCATGGGAGTCCAACCAGCAACTGCTGCAACAAGGACTCCACCTTCTGATCACATGAACCTCTAATCCAAACCAGTGCTCCATCACATTTGATGTCTTGTCTGTTATTTTACATGGAGGGTCAGAGCAGACCAGATCATGAGCTCTGACAGACTGGATCTGGTCCAAAGGTCTCCTGTTGGAGTTCTCTAAGCTCCATATTTTAAACCTGAACACCTGAAGTTTGATTATTAATTATTTTTATCTTCATTCTCTTTCCTTTTTTCAGATTGTATAAATGCAGTTTGTCAGAGATCAGCTGTTCTTCTCTGGCCTCAGCTCTGAAGTCCAACCCCTCCCATCTGAGATATCTGGACCTGAGTCACAACAAGCTGCAGGATTCAGGAGTGAAGCTTCTCTCTGCAGGACTGGAGAGTCCAAACTGTAAACTGGAGACTCTGAGGTGAGACACCATTTCCTTCTGATCTAACAATAAGATGTGACAGCTGCTGCCTTAGATTTTTCTCTGTGGTTTTTCCATCAACTTTGGTCGAGCAGTTTGAATTTGTCGTTGTAAAACTTCAACACAGGAAGAAAAATCCGACATTTCAGAGTCGACTTTGAGTAGAACGATGGATGTAGAAAGGAAGCAGGAGAAAATCAGTCCCACAAATATTACACATGCTTGTAGAGGGCAGGAGCAGCACAGACTAAAGGCTGATACTGAACTGATCCACAGTTAATGTGATCACTAATGAATGAAGTGTCAGAGAAATGATGAGCTGCAGATTGAAACCTGAAGAACAAAGTTAATCCAACTCTGGATATTTCATTTGGAAACTCTTGAAAACTTGAATTTCTTCTTTGCTCAGTCGTGTTCAAATGTAAAAACCAGATCCAGATTTGTCTGCAGTTTTCACTTCAGTTTGTTGAACATGAACATCATCTTGTCCAGCTGGTCCATAAAAACCTCTCTGATCAATGATCTGTTGGTTTATTTAAGAGTAGTTTGGCAGTTGTTGACAGCAGACGGACAGACCCCTGAATAAACTCCTGACTATTTTCATCTTCATGAAGAATTCAGGACTACAAAAGAACCTTTGAGATTTCTCACAGGAGTTTCTCAGGATCTCACTAAAGTTTTCTGTTTCTGTAAAATTTTCTCGACTGATAAATTCCTCTGGATCTTCAAAAAGTTTAGAGAGGATTTTACAAAGTTCCTGAAGATCAACTCTGAAAAAGTTCTTCTTCCGTGTCCTTCAGGGTTCAAGAACATTGAATCATTAAAAACAGGAACAGTTTCTTCAGAGGTTACATGATTTTTTTCTTTTTTCAGACTGTGACAGGTGTTTATTAGTCTTTTTGACTCATTACAATAATGAGGATAAAGTCATGGACTAAACTTGGGCTCCCAGTTTCCTTGTTGTTGTTTCTTCAGCTAGCATCATTGTTTTCATCTCAGTTATTAAAGTAATAATGATGCTTCATAAATTCAGAGTCACAAAAAAACACCAAACAAACCAAATCTGAAAAAAATTCACTTCTTCATCAAATGAGTTTAATCGGTCAGAACATGAGGTTTGAGTTTTCATGAGGAGGAAACGAGAAAGATCTGCTCTGACAGTGAGAAACACAGACGCCTGAATCTACACTGACAGACAGACAAACACAGACAGAGAGACAGACACACAAACACAGACACACAGAGATTTTCCTCTTTGTCTCTTTGCTGTGATGACTGAAGTCACAAAAACAAAGTTTTCTTCGTCACTTTTATGATTGAACCAAAGAAGTTAAAGAACCAAACTCTCAGATTTTGTTCTTCTCAATTTTATTTGAACCATTTAGATTTTTCTCCTGATCAATATTCAATGATCAGATTGATCAGGTTCCTGTTTTGGCTCCACTGCCTCTTTTCTGCAGCTCAATAACTGCTCATATGGTTTGAAAGGTTCCTGCAGTAAAACCCGATTAGAGAGTGGACTAAATGAAATGTGAGTGAACTCAGCCATCAGTGAATCAATGACAAAGTGAGAGGAAGAGTGGATCTGTCTGCTGTCTGACCTTGTTGATCCTGATGAAGGTGAGGGAGAAGAGTAAAGCAGTAAAGGTGATGTTGTTGCAGACAGAGTCAGCTGACCTGTCTCATCAGAGTCTCATCCATTCTCTGTTTAGCAGAGCGCTGATGTTACAGTCTGAGAGCACATTCAGGTTCAGCTTCACATGGGCTGGATCTGCTCAATACAAACTCTTGAGACCAGCCTGGTTGAGGGAGGTGGGCTCAGTGTCCTGGGTGACTCTCTCTGAGCTCTTCTTGGTTGAGAGTCTTTCTGGTTTGTCTCTGACTTCCATGAACTCAGATCTGGAGGATTGCTGGCTGGTCCGGTCCAGTTCTGACAGTAGAGACAACACAGTCAGTTATTCTGGGTTGAGTGTTCTTGTTGAAGATCAGTGTACAGTGAGGGATGAAGGCAGACAAAGATCCTCCTGTTTCCTCCATGTCACAGTTCAAGTTCATTTTGAAGACTTTGATTGATCCGAGCGCTGAAGAGGAACAGGAAACGAGGAGTAGAGAGTGAGGGAGGACTTACAGCAAAGGATCATGGGAGTCCAACCAGAAACTGCTGCAACAAGGACTCCACCTTCTGATCACCTGAACCTCTAATCCAAACCAGTGCTCCATCACATTTGATGTCTTGTCTGTTATTTTACATGGAGGGTCAGAGCAGACCAGATCATGAGCTCTGACAGACTGGATCTGGTCCAAAGGTCTCCTGTTGGAGTTCTCGAAGCTCCATATTTTAATCCTGAACACCTGAAGTTTGATTATTAATTATTTTTATCTTCATTCTCTTTCCTTTTTTCAGATTGTATAAATGCAGTTTGTCAGAGATCAGCTGTTCTTCTCTGGCCTCAGCTCTGAAGTCCAACCCCTCCCATCTGAGACATCTGAACCTGAGAAACAACACTCTGCAGGATTCAGGAGTGAAGCTTCTCTCTGCAGGACTGCAGAGACCAAACTGCAGACTGGAGACTCTGAAGTGAGACACCATTTCCTTCTGATCTAACAATAAGATGTGACAGCTGCTGCCTTAGATTTTTCTCTGTGGTTTTTCCATCAACTTTGGTCGAGCAGTTTGAATTTGTCGTTGTAAAACTTCAACACAGGAAGAAAAATCCGACATTTCAGAGTTGACTTTGAGGAGAACGATGGATGTAGAAAGGAAGCAGGAGAAAATCAGTCCCACAAATATTACACATGCTTGTAGAGGGCAGGAGCAGCACAGACTAAAGGCTGATATTGAACTGATCCACAGTTAATGTGATCACTAATGAATGAAGTGTCAGAGAAATGATGAGCTGCAGATTGAAACCTGAAGAACAAAGTTAATCCAACTCTGGATATTTCATTTGGAAACTCTTGAAAACTTGAATTTCTTCTTTGCTCAGTCGTGTTCAAATGTAAAAACCAGATCCAGATTTGTCTGCAGTTTTCACTTCAGTTTGTTGAACATTAACATCATCTTGTCCAGTTGGTCCATAAAAACCTCTCTGATCAATGATCTGTTGGTTTATTTAAGAGTAGTTTGGCAGTTGTTGACAGCAGACGGACAGACCCCTGAATAAACTCCTGACTGTTTTCATCTTCATGAAGAATTCAGGACTACAAAAGAACCTTTGAGATTTCTCACAGGAGTTTCTCAGGATCTCACTAAAGTTTTCTGTTTCTTTAAAATTTTCTCGACTGATAAATTCCTCTGGATCTTCAAAAAGTTTAGAGAGGATTTTACAAAGTTCCTGAAGATCAACTCTGAAAAAGTTCTTCTTCCGTGTCCTTCAGGGTTCAAGAACATTGAATCATTAAAAACAGGAACAGTTTCTTCAGAGGTTACATGATTTTTTTCTTTTTTCAGACTGTGACAGGTGTTTATTAGTCTTTTTGACTCATTACAATAATGAGGATAAAGTCATGGACTAAACTTGGGCTCCCAGTTTCCTTGTTGTTGTTTCTTCAGCTAGCATCATTGTTTTCATCTCAGTTATTAAAGTAATAATGATGCTTCATAAATTCAGAGTCACAAAAAAACACCAAACAAACCAAATCTGAAAAAAATTCACTTTTTCATCAAATGAGTTGAATCGGTCAGAACATGAGGTTTGAGTTTTCATGAGGAGGAAACGAGAAAGATCTGCTCTGACAGTTAGAAACACAGACGCCTGAATCTACACTGACAGACAGACAAACACAGACAGAGAGACAGACACACAAACACAGACACACAGAGATTTTCCTCTTTGTCTCTTTGCTGTGATGACTGAAGTCACAAAAACAAAGTTGTATTCGTCACTTTTATGATTGAACCAAATAAGTTAAAGAACCAAACTCATAGATTTTCTTCTTCTCAATATTATTTGAACCATTTTGATTTTTCTTCTGATCAATATTCAATGATCAGATTGATCAGGTTCCTGTTTTGGCTCCACTGCCTCTTTTCTGCAGCTCAATAACTGCTCATATGGTTTGAAAGGTTCCTGCAGTAAAACCCGATTAGAGAGTGGACTAAATGAAATGTGAGTGAACTCAGCCATCAGTGAATCAATGACAAAGTGAGAGTAAGAGTGGATCTGTCTGCTGTCTGACCTTGTTGAGCCTGATGAAGGTGAGGGAGAAGAGTAAAGCAGTAAAGGTGATGTTGTTGCAGACAGAGTCAGCTGACCTGTCTCATCAGAGTCTCATCCATTCTCTGTTTGGCAGAGCACTGATGTTAGAGTCTGAGAGCACATTCAGGTTCAGCTTCACATGGGCTGGATCTGCTCAATACAAACTCTTGAGACCAGCCTGGTTGAGGGAGGTGGGCTCAGTGTCCTGGGTGACTCTCTCTGAGCTCTTCTTGGTTGAGAGTCTTTCTGGTTTGTCTCTGACTTCCATGAACTCAGATCTGGAGGATTGCTGGCTGGTCCGGTCCAGTTCTGACAGTAGAGACAACACAGTCAGTTATTCTGGGTTGAGTGTTCTTGTTGAAGATCAGTGTACAGTGAGGGATGAAGGCAGACAAAGATCCTCCTGTTTCCTCCATGTCACACTTCAAGTTCATTTTGAAGACTTTGATTGATCCGAGCGCTGAAGAGGAACAGGAAACGTGGAGTAGAGAGTGAGGGAGGACTTACAGCAAAGGATCATGGGAGTCCAACCAGCAACTGCTGCAACAAGGACTCCACCTTCTGAACACCTGAACCTCTAATCCAAACCAGTGCTCCATCACATTTGATGTCTTGTCTGTTATTTTACATGGAGGGTCAGAGCAGACCAGATAATGAGCTCTGACAGACTGGATCTGGTCCAAAGGTCTCCTGTTGGAGTTCTCTAAGCTCCATATTTTAAACCTGAACACGTGAAGTTTGATTATTAATTATTTTTATCTTCATTCTCTTTCCTTTTTTCAGACTGAGGAGCTGCAGTTTGTCAGAGATCAGCTGTTCTTCTCTGGCCTCAGCTCTGAAGTCCAACCCCGACCATCTGAAACATCTGGACCTGAGCAGAAACAATCTGCAGGATTCAGGAGTGAAGCTGCTGTGTGACTCTCTGCAGAGTCCAAACTGTAAACTGGAGACTCTAGAGTGAGACTTTTTTCCTCCATTCAAACATGATCATGATTTGTTTGTGATGATGACACTAAACTGCTGACTCAGGACTGAAACACTGACCCAGACTGAACACCTTCAGTCCAGAGTAGATTTTCTGCTTCAGTGGATTATTTGATTGACTCCAGTTAGATCACTGCTGAGCTCCAGTGAATTAAAACCTGAACCCAAGAAGAAAACTCTTTGTAGAGTTCACAGTGAGAAGCACATTCAGACAGAAAACAGAAGCAGGGGGAGATTTGTCAGACGAGAACCATTCAAACTTTAGTTCAGGACAAGAAATGGAAAAAACTCAGAGTTTAGTTTCTGACTCTGATGAAAGTCCAGCTCTGTTACTTTGAATTTTGTTTTTGAATCTTTGTGTGAAAATCTGAATTTTCTGGTTTATCTGCACTTTTCTGAAGCCTTGCTGTGTTTAGACTGAAATATTTACCTCTCAAAGACGTGATATTTTTGGTTCAGCAAAGTGAAAATATTCTGAACATCCTTTGTTTCCCATCCGTCCTGAAGTCGCTGACATTTTCTGAAAATATTGAGCTGCATCTACAATCAGTAAAAAAGTCTCTGAGTTTTTTATTTCACTATTTAATGTGTTTTTGAATTCAGTGTTTCAAACTGACTTCCTGTTTGGTTCAGCTCTTTGGAGCGTCACTTTTCTTTGATTCATACTTTCCAAACCTTTCCCCTGAACTCTACAGATTTAAGACATCAGGTTTCAAACTGGATCATTTTTCTCTAAAATCTCATTATTTCCTCTTTATTTAGGTTGTGGCGCTGCAGTTTGACGAAGATCAGCTGTTCTTCTCTGGCCTCAGCTCTGAAGTCCAACCCCTCCCATCTGAAAACTCTGTGGCTGTATGGAAACAATCTGCAGGGTTCAGACGTGGAGCTGCTGTGTGATCTTCAGAAGAGTCCAGACTACAGACTGGAGGATCTGGAGTCAGTATAGAGTTGGAGTTAGTCTGTGCTGATCTCTCCTGTTCCTCTCCACACAGTATCACAGCAGATATTCAGTATTTCCTGCTGACTCTTCGACCCTCTCAGAGGATTATCTCTTTAGTGAAGCTGTGAGAACAGAAATCATCAAACCAGGAGTGTAAGAGTGTCAGTGATGAAAAAAGTGTCTCCTCGTCTCTATATTTCAGATCAAATGTAGAAATGAGACATAATGAAACAGAAATGTTCAGTTTCTGCTCTGAAGTCCAGTTTATAGTTCTCTGTATTCAACACAGACTTTATTTCTCTGCTAACTTGTTGATTTTGAGCTCTAAGTCTGAAAACAGACAGCTGTTCTTTATACTTGTTATTTTCACAGCAGGTTTGTTCGATCAGCTTTAACACATTTGACAGGAATGATTTCTTTATTTTGATGATGTTGGTTTATTTGTGAGGAAACCTGCTGCTTTACACCATCACTTCTGGTCTGAGCAGGACTGAGACCTGCTGGTCTGTAAACTGGATGTTCTTCAGTCCAGCTGATGAAGTGAGTCTCAGAGTGGAAACACTGAACGTCTTTTTTTCTCTCCTCAGATGGAGTTAACATCTGTCAGAGTGAATAAGAAGAGGATCGTGTGTTTCCTGACGATCAGAGAGGTGGAGGCAGCAGCAGTGAGGGTGAGGTGAGTCTCTGACTGAGAGACTGACTGACCAATCACAGCGGGCGGAGAGGACTCTGGGAGCTGCACTTTGACCTGCTCTGAGATCAGCTCAGGACCTGGACTCTGGATATTTGATATTTTCCCTCATACTCTGGGATCAAACAGTCTGAACAGGTTTGTTTTGTTGATGGAAACATGATCATAAATTTACACTTTGATTGGATTACTTTGTTTTCACCATGATGCAGCGCCACCCAGTGGAAATATAAAGAGGTGGAGTTGATTTATTCCCTCATATTTCTGCAGCAGGAGTTGATACCATGTGTGAGAGTAGATCAGTCAGAAGTTCAGATTAAACCCAAAGGTTTTTTCTTTCCTTTGCACCGTTAGAGACCGAATATAAACTGAAGGGAGAGGAAGAGAAGTGAGGAGAGATGGAGGTGAAGGGAGGAGGAGGAGGACAGGGTTTGGGGTTTTAACAAAAATCTGAAGCTTTATTCTTTCACTTGATTATTTTTATTCATCCGTTTTCTTCTTCATTTTCTGAACTGATTGTAAATATTGACTGGAGGTAAATTGACCTTATTTTATATTATTAGACATTATTTTCCGTCTCTTTACATGTTTTTGTTCTCATATCATCTTTGTGCTCATCAATAATCGATTCCCTCCAGTTTGAACAAATACAATTATTAAACCATAAATGAGACCTGAGAGTAAAATTAAAATGTGTGAAATATAATCAGTCAAAGGAAAGATTCTTAAACAAAAACAAAATCATTATTTTTACTTTATTATGATGGAGAAGTTTTCCTCTGACAGACAAAAATAACCATATTGACCGGAGTCTGGAAAAAGTGAGATCAGCATCTATTCAGGGTGAAGTCATTAATGTGGTCGATGCTGTTTTATAAACTCAGTGTTGTTGATTACAATCTCAGCTTCATAAACTGATGCTACAGTGGAGTGACTTCCTGTAAAATCCACTGGCTTTGTGAGACCGTCAGCTTTCAGGAGATCAGTTTGTGTTTCTGTGACACTCCAAAGCTTTTCTATCCCACAGAAAAGATCGGTGTGTTTTCAGAGACCTTCCTGATCCCATCCCTCCAAAATAAAAATAATCTGATGGTTTATGGATTCATTTCAGTAACAAAGTGTCATTTCTGTTGTTAGCCAATCAGAGGCTGTATCTGCCATCAGCTGACCTGTAAAGGTCCAATCAGAAGTCAGGACAGCTCATGCCACAGTCTGATCACACTACAGACACATAAAACATAGAACTATTGTAAACAGATTTGTCCTCTTCAGTTTATCTACTATCAATAGATCTGTGCTCTGTCTGTGTAACACTCTGTTGGTTCTTCATTTACACCAGATCATTTTTTATTTCATTTCACTGTAACAATGCCATTTAAAGATAATAAAAACTTTATTTGAACCAAAACATGTTAAAAACGTCAACTCGGCTCGTTTCATTCACTGTGTGCAATTGATTATTATTATTTTTCATTCAAACAGAAACTAGATTTGGTCTTTAAAAAGTCCTCAAAGTGAGTCTGAAAAGTAGAGGAAGGTTTTATCATCAGGGTGCAGCACAGTTGTTTCCTGTGTTTTCATTTGTGATATTCTCTCTAAGGTGTGTTATTGTTCATTTAAAGTATGTGGAGGACAAATCCACACATCTAACAAAGAAGGTAAAATATAAAGATAGGAGATTTCTGCATGACATCAACGATATCCTGGATTTAGTTTTCTAAGCAACAGGTGGTCGTCTTTTATCGGGGGTACTTTGATCCAGAAATCTGAAAAGGGGTTACTAAAGCAAAAGAAGAAAAACCAGAGACTGTATATAGAATGGACAGAGTCTGCCTCCTCGCTGGGTGAAGCCACTCTGAGAACAGCACCCTCTGTTGATGGGCTGCAGTATAGGTCATAAATCCCGCCTGCGCCAGCAAAGCTTATGGAGCTGTGGACGAACTTTAGAAATTTATTACACAGAACATAATTTTTTCTCCCTCCTGGTTGTGATGTTGACATGTAGTTATTGTCAGACTGGTTTGTGCTCAAGTCCTCTTTTTTCTGTGAAGCTCCATTTTTAAAAGTTATTAGGGGGTTCATGTTTGCTATGACGTTTCACAGCCATAAGGAATAACCAATCGGAGCCTAGCACTTCTAGCCAATCAGATGCGAAGGAGGGTGGGACCTTCCCCTACCATCCCACGAAAAAAAAAACCAAACACGTCCGGGTTTGCCGACCTTTATTTCTGAGCCCCAGATAACAGGACAGAGATACCTAAAGCATACAACGTGAACTTGTGTTATCACATCAACATATTTGGCTCCTACACTGAATATAATGTTGGACAGTGATCTTTGTAAAGTGAGGTGAAGGAGGAGTTTGTGTAGTGACAACACAATCACACTGTGTGCAAAAATAAAAACCTGTTCAACCAAATCTTCACATTTAGTTGGGGTATGAGAAGAGGAGTGCTCATCTGAAGTTTGTTGGTTTGACCAGCAGGTGGAGCTGCTGCATTAACAATAAACTGAGACTCAACCAAACAAACAAGTTCCTGTTTTAGTGAACTTTGAATTTGGACTCAGGAGAGGAAGATGGTTGTCAAGAATACTGAACTTAAAGGATGATCAATAACGGTCAGTAAATGAGGAGAAGAATCTGTGATCTGGTGGTTTAGGTTTCAGTGAAAACAGTCAGAGTGAAAGTGAAAGTATGTGAGCTGAAAAACAGACTCCATTTTGAGAAAAGAAGAGAGAGGAGAGGACGAGGAGACAGGGTGAGTGTTTACTCTGTTTTAGTTTTAATGTCAAACTCTTTATCTGTTTTATCTGTTAATGAAAAAATGATTTACTGACTAAAACACTTAAAAACTGTAAAACAAAGAAACCTGAGCAGACAAAGAGCTGGATCAGTTCTTCATACAGGAAACTGTGTACGTGCAGTTCTTCCTCCTCTTTGTTTAGACTTGTCTTTTTGGTAAAAATATTAATCAGAATCTTTTTAGCGTCTCATTTCAACTTTAATCCAGTCTCCTTAAGTTTTTATGAGAGTTCAGGGACCTCACAGCTGATTTTGTTTTGACCATGAATCAGACAAGGATCAGAGAGAGGCCCTGCAGGGTGGGGAGACATCAGAAGTTCTTGGATATTAAACCTGTATAACTCTTAAAGAGGGGGATGAAGCTGTTTTTAGACTCTGTACTTCCTTTCTGATTCCTCTTTTATTTCTGAACTCTCTCTTCCTGTTTGTATCTCACCTGTTTGTCTTCTTTGTCCTCAGGTTGTATAACTCGGTTTCAGCCTCCATAAATTTGCACAACAGAAGATGGAGAAGATGAGTGTTGGTGTCGAGGAAGAGGAGGGCAGAGCAGAGTCTGATATGTTTGACTGTCTGTCTATGAAGAGTGACCAGTCTAAAGGTTTTGATATAAACTTCAGTAAAGAACCAGGACCCCCAGAGGAGGACAGAACAAAGTCTGTTATCTCCAGCTGTCTGTCTATGAAGAGTGACCGGTCTAAAGATCCTCCACCAAAATTCAGTGAAGAACCAGGACCCTCAGATTCACAGTAAGAGAAACACTTTTCAATCACCAAACTCTCAAACAACAACAATTGACGTTTCAAATACAAAACTTTAAATCCTGACCCCTCTGTTTTCTCCTCTGTTCTCAAAACACTGATTTTCCTCTTAAACCTGCCAACCTGGATAAAATTCAATTCAATTCAACTTTATTTATAAAGCCCATTTCATGTACAAGGCAGACTCAATGTTCTTCACAACAGGTGTACATAGTTAAAAACAGTTATACAAAAATCAATTAGAAATCAATGTAAGAGTGTAAGTGCAAGTCAACTTCACTGCATGCACACTTAAACTCGTACATGCGCACGCACTCACACATGGACACGTGCACACGTACACACATACACACACAGTTTAAAAGAATGCTATAGAAATCTGTTTTTAAAGATGGCTACTGATGTGTCTAACTGTGTCAGGCATGGTGTTCCATTTTTGTGGGGCATAAACACTCAAAGCTGCCTCCCCTCATTTGGATCTGGTGTGAGGGATGAGTAAGTTGCCACTGCCTGTTGACCGAAGTGTTCTTGCTGAGGTGTAGGTGATGAGCATATCTGTGATGTACTGAGGTGCAAGGCCATGTAGTGCTTTGTAAACCAGGAGGAGTATTTTGAAATCGATTCTTGTCCTAACGGGTAACCAATGTACAGATTTGAGAACGGGTGTGATGTGTTGATATTTTTTGGTACCAGTGAGAATACATGCAGCTGCATTTTGAATTAACTGTAACCTCTGAAGACTTGATTTTGGGAGTCCAGTGAATAAACCGTTATCCAGTAGTAATCCAGTCTACTTCTTATAAATGCATGGATGAATTTTTCTAAGTCTGATTTTGACAGAAAGCCCCTCAATTTGGAGATATTTTTGAGATGATAGAAAGATGATCTTGAATTGAATCTTGTAATGGATAAAAGGCTGGTAAAGAAAAACTCACTGAGCACAGATTTACTTATTATTGTTGATGTTTATAAAAATGAAAGTCGTTTAAAACAGCATTTGAAAAGGATTCTGACTTCTTGTATTTTCTGATTTGGTTCCTGTGTTTGGGACGTTTTGAGCCTGTTAGTCTTTGGACTGTGGTCTGTAGACCCCAGAAAACAGTCTGTGGGTCACAAAATACCAGAAGACCAATGAAGAAATAAATCCTGAGAAATAAAAACTCATTCAGAGCATCTGTCTGTTATTAGACCTTTAGATCTGATCGGTGGAAAAAAAAGTTTTAAACTGTCAGAGAAAATCTCTCTACCTTCAAAATCACTTTAGTTTTTTCTCTTGTCACGACACTTCAGGCAGCAGCAGCTGAATATTTTACAGGAGATTGTTTTATGTTAGAGAAAAGAGAAACTCTGGTTTAATAAATGTTTCTTATTCTGTATCTTTCAAACATGAAATAATAAAGAAAATAAATGTTCTTTATTTCCACAGAGAGACACAGAGATGTGACTCTGTGGAGGAGCAGCTGTCCAGATGTTCTTTATGTCAGGACGTCCTGAAGGATCCAGTCTCTACCCGCTGTGGACACCAGTCTACTTCTTCAGGATACACCTCCTGTCCCCAGTGTGGAAAAAGAACCAGAACAGTTCTTGTCTTTCAGACAGACAGCCAGTCCAGCTCTGATCGAAGTAAGTCTGAACACCTTTAAACCCTAAATTATACAATTTCTGCCAGAATTATTTTGCTTATTTTAGCCATAAAATTGGCAGAAAATGTCCTATGAGTGAGTGCTTTTTTATTCATTGGCTTTCAACCCTGCATGAGACTCGGCTCCTGTTTTAGTGTTTTATGTTTTTTTTTTTTTTTTTTTTTTATGTCTATGCTTTTTTGTCTATTTATATACAGCACTTTGGTTGGCTGTGGTTGTTTTAAAGTGCTTTACAAATAAAGTTGAGTTTTACCCATTTTTCCAGAACACTTCAAACTTTCAATATCTGGCTGTCATTTACGATTTACTGCCTGTTAAAAGAGTGCTATAACATTTTAAGATAAAGAAAAACACAAAAACGGAATACGATTTTTTGAGTTTTAATGAGAAAAAACAGAAAATATTCATGAAAAACAGATTTTTCATTTGAAATAAAAAAAAATTAAAGAGTATCAAACATATTTACAACAAAAACTTTGGAGTGCTGTCTCTCCAAGTGCAAAAACAGGCTAAATAAATACAACTATGTCCACGCGTTTCTCCTCGTTTCTCCTCTCTCACTCAGAGGTCTTTGTGAAACTGTCAGAAGCTGTTCCTTTCTGTCTGCGGACACAGACCCACATCACACCACTCACACTTCCAGGCAGTTCTCCTTATGACAAAGTTTGCAGCGTCGTCTCCTCATGCTAGTTCTTTGAGACTTCATCTGTCCATGGCTTGTTTGGGCACGTAGCTATACTCTACTATAAGCGAAGTGGATGTAATTCTCGGCGGGCATGTGTTTCTCGGTACAACATCAACGGTTGCAAAATGAGAAAACGACGAGAAAACCGCCGAAGATGAAGACTTGGTGGTAAGAAGAAAAGCAACGTCACTAACCTTTGAAGATGAAGACTCGTTGATTAAAAGAACGTCACTAACCATAGAAGATGAAGACTCGTTGATTAAAAGAAAAGCAACGTCACTAACCATTGTAGATGAATATTCGTTGATTAAAAGAAAAGCCACGTCACTTATCTGTAATTATTTCGGTTACAAAAAGGATGACGTCACCTAACACCTGTTCTGTGACGGCAGTGTCTTTCATCTGTTTCCACAATAACGTCCCAGCAGAACAATAAAAACTAAAAATATCTCTAAGACAGACAGAAGCCATTCTACTAACATTCACTAAAAGAGGGAAGATCAGTGCAGGTTAACTGTCCTCAAGATTTCAGCAGAAAGTCAGATTCAGATCATCTGCTAAAAATTCCTCTATTTTTTAATAACGCTTATATATCACAGGGTTGAACAACTTTGCAATGTTAGTGTTTTCTAATATCATGCTGTCTTAATAGGCACACGTTACTACAAACTCACTGCCTTAGCATGGTATTCTAATAAAGTCACAACAGGTTATAAGTGTTGATTTACTCATAAAATAACGTAAATAAATTAAAAACGACACAGAGAGCGCTTCATTCATCCAGAAACCAACACAGAAAACCAACCAGTCAAACTTTACCTTTCTCTGTCTGAAGTTGCTCTGAAAGCTTCTCCATCTGTCCCAAAGTCGTCTGTAAACCTCAGTGGAGGTTTTCTCACTTGGGAGAGTTTATCACAGACATTTTCCTTTGAAATAATCCCTTTTTTGTCACTTTTCTCTCTTTTTGCTCCGTTTCTCTGCTCTGTTGTGTGTCTATCCGCTGCTCCCTTTGAGAGGGGGAGAGGGGACGAGGAGACAGATTTTCTCACTTCCCCAAACAGCAGGAGTGAAATTACCGTAATAACCGTTTATTGACCGTGTGGCGCAACTTCTCAGCTTTCAGAAACCGTTGGAGATTTTTTTTTGATAGAACAAACTACCGCAAAGTTACGGTAATTTAAAGAGCGCCTGTATAAAGGTGTCGGCGCCGACGGACTGTGAGGAAAAGTCTGTGTGGATGAAAACTCAGCTGACTGATTTTCACAAAGACGTTTCAGTGTTGAGAAGTTTGGTTCATTTTATTTTTCTTCTCTTTCAGATGATGGCCTCCCGCAGGAGGTTTTAGATGAACATAAGATCAGTCTGAAGAGGAGATGTGAACGTGTGAATGAAGGAAGTGATGAAACAGGAAGTAGTCAAACCCTCCTCAACAGGATCTTCACTGAGCTCTACATCACAGAGGGACTGAGTGAAGAGGTGAACACCCAACATGAGGTGAGACAGCTGGAGACTACTTCAAAGATGAAGACCCTCCATGACATGCCCATCAGGTGTCATGAGATCTTTAAAACCTTACCTGACCAACAGAAGAAGCTCATCAGAGTGGTTCTGACCAACGGCGTGGCTGGTGTTGGAAAAACCTTCTCAGTGCAGAAGTTCACTCTGGACTGGGCAGAGGGTTTGGAGAACCAAGACCTCCATCTGGTGGTCCTGCTTTCATTCAGGGAGCTGAACCTGATCAGAGATGAGCGCTTCAGTCTTCTGAGTCTGCTCCATGTTTTCCATCCAACCCTAGAGAAGGTCACAGCAGAGACGCTGGCTGTCTGTAAACTTCTGTTCATCTTTGACGGTCTGGATGAAAGCAGACTGTCTCTGGATTTCACAGACTCTGAGGTGGTGTCTGACGTCACACAGAAGTCTTCACTCAACGTTCTGATAACAAACCTCGTCAAGGGGAACCTGCTCCCCTCAGCTCTCATCTGGATAACTTCTCGACCTGCAGCAGCCAATCAGATCCCTCCTTCACATGTGGACAGGATAACAGAAGTACGAGGCTTCACTGACGCCCAGAAGGAGGAGTACTTCAGGAAGAGGTTCAGAGATGAAGATCTGTCCAGAAGAATCATCCAACACATCAAGTCCTCCAGGAGCCTCCACATCATGTGTCAGATCCCGGTCTTCTGCTGGATCACTGCGACAGTTCTGGAGGACATGATGAGAAGAAAGCAGAGAGGAGAGCTGCCCAAGACCCTGACTGACATGTACTCACACTTCCTGCTGGTCCAGACTCAGAGGAAGAAGCAGAAGTATGAAGGAGGACATGAGACAAGTCCTCAGGAGCTGATGGATGCTGACAGTGACGTCCTCCTGAAGCTGGGGAGGCTGGCATTGGAACATCTGAACAGTGGAAACATCATGTTCTACCAAGAAGACCTGGAGCGGTGTGGTCTGGATGTCTCAGAGGCCTCAGTGTACTCAGGAGTTTGTACAGAGATCTTCAGAAGAGAGAGTGTGATCTTCCAGAAAACTGTTTACTGTTTCGTTCATCTGAGCGTTCAGGAGTTTCTGTCTGCAGTCTACATGATCCACAGTTTCACAACCAGGAACACAGAAGCTCTGAAGACTTTCCTAAGAAGCAACGATGATGAAGATAAAATGTCTTCTTCAGAGATGGTTGACAGATTTTTTCAAAACCTGGATTATTTTTTCTCATCTCAGGATGTCTTCCTGAAGAGTGTCATGATGAAATCCCTTGTCAGTAAAAACGGTCACCTGGACCTGTTTGTTCGCTTCCTTCATGGACTCTCTGTGGCGTCAAACCAGAGACTCTTAGGAGGTCTGCTGGGTCACACAGACAACAGTCCAGAAATGATCCAAACAGTCATCAAGAACCTGAAGGAGATGAACAGAGAAGATATCTCTCCTGACAGAAGCATCAACATCTTCCACTGTCTGATGGAGATGAACGATCTGTCAGTTCATCAGGAGATTCAAGAGCTCCTGAAGTCAGGGAACAAATCAGAGAAGAAACTCTCAGTGTTCCAGTGCTCTGCTCTGGCCTACATGCTGCAGATGTCAGAGGAGGTTCTGGAGGAGTTGGACTTAAAGAATTATAAAACATCAGACCAGGGACGACGGAGACTGATCCCAGCTGTGAGGAACTGCAGAAAGGCTGTGTGAGTCCAGGTTTTATTCTCAGAATAGTGTAAATGATCCCTGTAGTTCTTCTAATGTCCACGTTACTGATGATGTTCTTCTTCAAATAGAAATCCACTCAAATATCAGGGAGGGGGTTTCTTCAGCAAAAACATGATCCTGGTGTCTAAAGTCCTGTTAGTCCAGGATGAGGTCTACCCGTGGACCCCTGAGAACTTGTCCTAATTGTGGAGGACCTCTTTGTTTTGAATCGTGTCTGTAATGAATAAAGTGGAACTTTGAGGACAAATCAGCGACCATATCTGAGGACACACAGAGGTCTTCTGATGATGGTATCAGTCCAGATCAACATCTCAGTCAGTTGTGGTGAACTTGAGTTTGAAGAAGGTGTCTGCAGCTTCTTCCTGCTGGTTTTCAGGTTGGAAATGATGAATCAGTTGTAAATGAGGGTGTTGACAGCATTGATGGTGAAAATAGAACTGGATCATTTTCTACACAGTGGCAGAACTGTCTTCAAAGAAATGTTTTTATCTGAACCAAACAGAGAAACAGGAGCTGCTGTGATTTAGTGAGTCGTCTTCTGATTGGTCAACAGTCAGTGCCTTACATTATAGCAGGATGTCAACACTAAACACTGAGAGGAGCATAAGTCATGGAGTCATTTGTCTTGAACATCTAAACAGTTTTTTTTTTCTTCTAAACTTGGACTTCCTGTCTTCTCTCATGGCTGTGGTCCTGATATTAGTATCTGTCTGGTTAGAAACAGGCCGTCTGTCAAACCAAAGATCATGTTTGAGTTGTTTTTGGGGAAGAGAAACATCAAATAACCCTTTAATAAAATATTGTTTGATATTTATGTTGTTACAGATTTTCTCTCTGTGGACTCTCAAAGACTCACTGTGAAGTTGTGGCCTCAGCTCTGAAGTCCAACCCCTCCCATCTGAGACATCTGGACCTGAGTAACAACGAGCTGAAGGATTCAGGAGTGAAGCTTCTCTCTGCAGGACTGGAGAGTCCAAACTGCAGACTGGAGACTCTGATGTGAGACACCATTTCCTTCTGATCTAACAATAAGATGTGACAGCTGCTGCCTTAGATTTTTCTCTGTGGTTTTTCCATCAACTTTGGTCGAGCAGTTTGAATTTGTCGTTGTAAAACTTCGACACAGGAAGAAAAATCTGACATTTCAGAGTTGACTTTGAGGAGAACGATGGATGTAGAAAGGAAGCAGGAGAAAATCAGTCCCACAAATATTACACATGCTTGTAGAGGGCAGGAGCAGCACAGACTAAAGGCTGATACTGAACTGATCCACAGTTAATGTGATCACCAATGAATGAATGAAGTGTCAGAGAAATGATGAGCTGCAGATTGAAACCTGAAGAACAAAGTTAATCCAACTCTGGATATTTCATTTGGAAACTCTTGAAAACTTGAATTTCTTCTTTGCTCAGTCGTGTTCAAATGTAAAAACCAGATCCAGATTTGTCTGCAGTTTTCACTTCAGTTTGTTGAACATGAACATCATCTTGTCCAGCTGGTCCATAAAAACCTCTCTGATCAATGATCTGTTGGTTTATTTAAGAGTAGTTTGGCAGTTGTTGACAGCAGACGGACAGACCCCTGAATAAACTCCTGACTGTTTTCATCTTCATGAAGAATTCAGGACTACAAAAGAACCTTTGAGATTTCTCACAGGAGTTTCTCAGGATCTCACTAAAGTTTTCTGTTTCTGTAAAATTTTCTTGACTGATAAATTCCTCTGGATCTTCAAAAAGTTTAGAGAAGATTTTACAAAGTTCCTGAAGATCAACTCTGAAAAAGTTCTTCTTCCGTGTCCTTCAGGGTTCAAGAACATTGAATCATTAAAAACAGGAACAGTTTCTTCAGAGGTTACATGATTTTTTTCTTTTTTCAGACTGTGACAGGTGTTTATTAGTCTTTTTGACACGTTACAATAATGAGGATAAAGTCATGGACTAAACTTGGGCTCCCAGTTTCCTTGTTGTTGTTTCTTCAGCTAGCATCATTGTTTTCATCACAGTTCTTAAAGTAATAATGATGCTTCATAAATTCAGAGTCACAAAAAAACACCAAACAAACCAAATCTGAAAAAAATCCACTTTTTCATCAAATGAGTTTAATCGGTCAGAACATGAGGTTTGAGTTTTCATGAGGAGGAAACGAGAAAGATCTGCTCTGACAGTGAGAAACACAGACGCCTGAATCTACACTGACAGACACACAAATACAGACAGAGAGACACAGACAGAGAGACACAGACACAGACACACAAATACAGACACACAGAGACACAGACACACAAACAGACTAACAGAGATTTTCTTCTTCGTCTCTTTGCTGTGATGACTGAAGTCACAAAAACAAAGTTTTCTTCGTCACTTTTATGATTGAACCAAATAAGTTAAAGAACCAAACTCTCAGATTTTCTTCTTCTCAATATTATTTGAACCATTTAGATTTTTCTCCTGATCAATATTCAATGATCAGATTGATCAGGTTCCTGTTTTGGCTCCACTGCCTCTTTTCTGCAGCTCAATAACTGCTCATATGGTTTGAAAGGTTCCTGCAGTAAAACCCGATTAGAGAGTGGACTAAATGAAATGTGAGTGAACTCAGCCATCAGTGAATCAATGACAAAGTGAGAGGAAGAGTGGATCTGTCTGCTGTCTGACCTTGTTGATCCTGATGAAGGTGAGGGAGAAGAGTAAAGCAGTAAAGGTGATGTTGTTGCAGACAGAGTCAGCTGACCTGTCTCATCAGAGTCTCATCCATTCTCTGTTTGGCAGAGCGCTGATGTTACAGTCTGAGAGCACATTCAGGTTCAGCTTCACATGGGCTGGATCTGCTCAATACAAACTCTTGAGACCAGCCTGGTTGAGGGAGGTGGGCTCAGTGTCCTGGGTGACTCTCTCTGAGCTCTTCTTGGTTGAGAGTATTTCTGGTTTGTCTCTGACTTCCATGAACTCAGATCTGGAGGATTGCTGGCTGGTCCGGTCCAGTTCTGACAGTAGAGACAACACAGTCTGTTATTCTGGGTTGAGTGTTCTTGTTGAAGATCAGTGTACAGTGAGGGATGAAGGCAGACAAAGATCCTCCTGTTTCCTCCATGTCACAGTTCAAGTTCATTTTGAAGACTTTGATTGATACGAGCGCTGAAGAGGAACAGGAAACGTGGAGTAGAGAGTGAGGGAGGACTTACAGCAAAGGATCATGGGAGTCCAACCAGCAACTGCTGCAACAAGGACTCCACCTTCTGATCATCTGAACCTCTAATCCAAACCAGTGCTCCATCACATTTGATGTCTTGTCTGTTATTTTACATGGAGGGTCAGAGCAGACCAGATCATGAGCTCTGACAGACTGGATCTGGTCCAAAGGTCTCCTGTTGGAGTTCTCTAAGCTCCATATTTTAATCCTGAACACCTGAAGTTTGATTATTAATTATTTTTATCTTCATTCTCTTTCCTTTTTTCAGATTGTATAAATGCAGTTTGTCAGAGATCAGCTGTTCTTCTCTGGCCTCAGCTCTGAAGTCCAACCCCTCCCATCTGAGATATCTGGACCTGAGTTACAACAATCTGCAGGATTCAGGAATGAAGCTGCTGTGTGACTCTCTGCAGAGTCCAAACTGTAAACTGGAGACTCTGAGGTGAGACACCATTTCCTTCTGATCTAACAATAAGATGTGACAGCTGCTGCCTTAGATTTTTCTCTGTGGTTTTTCCATCAACTTTGGTCGAGCAGTTTGAATTTGTCGTTGTAAAACTTCAACACAGGAAGAAAAATCCGACATTTCAGAGTCGACTTTGAGGAGAACGATGGATGTAGAAAGGAAGCAGGAGAAAATCAGTCCACAAATATTACACATGCTTGTAGAGGGCAGGAGCAGCACAGACTAAAGGCTGATACTGAACTGATCCACAGTTAATGTGATCACTAATGAATGAATGAAGTGTCAGAGAAATGATGAGCTGCAGATTGAAACCTGAAGAACAAAGTTAATCCAACTCTGGATATTTCATTTGGAAACTCTTGAAAACTTGAATTTCTTCTTTGCTCAGTCGTGTTCAAATGTAAAAACCAGATCCAGATTTTTCTGCAGTTTTCACTTCAGTTTGTTGAACATGAACATCATCTTGTCCAGTTGGTCCATAAAAACCTCTCTGATCAATGATCTGTTGGTTTATTTAAGAGTAGTTTGGCAGTTGTTGACAGCAGACGGACAGACCCCCTGAATAAACTCCTGACTATTTTCATCTTCATGAAGAATTCAGGACTACAAAAAAACCTTTGAGATTTCTCACAGGAGTTTCTCAGGATCTCACTAAAGTTTTCTGTTTCTGTAAAATTTTCTTGACTGATAAATTCCTCTGGATCTTCAAAAAGTTTAGAGAGGATTTTACAAAGTTCCTGAAGATCAACTCTGAAAAAGTTCTTCTTCCGTGTTCCTTCAGGGTTCAAGAACATTGAATCATTAAAAACAGGAACAGTTTCTTCAGAGGTTACATGATTTTTTTCTTTTTTCAGACTGTGACAGGTGTTTATTAGTCTTTTTGACACGTTACAATAATGAGGATAAAGTCATGGACTAAACTTGGGCTCCCAGTTTCCTTGTTGTTGTTTCTTCAGCTAGCATCATTGTTTTCATCTCAGTTATTAAAGTAATAATGATGCTTCATAAATTCAGAGTCACAAAAAAACACCAAACAAACCAAATCTGAAAAAAATCCACTTTTTCATCAAATGAGTTTAATCGGTCAGAACATGAGGTTTGAGTTTTCATGAGGAGGAAACGAGAAAGATCTGCTCTGACAGTGAGAAACACAGACGCCTGAATCTACACTGACAGACACACAAATACAGACAGAGAGACACAGACAGAGAGACACAGACACAGACACAGACACACAAATACAGACACACAGAGAGACAGACACACAAACACAGACTAACAGAGATGTTCCTCTCTGTCTCTTTGCTGTGATGACTGAAGTCACAAAAACAAAGTTTTCTTCGTCACGTTTATGATTGAACCAAATAAGTTAAAGAACCAAACTCTCAGATTTTCTTCTTCTCAATATTATTTGAACCATTTTGATTTTTCTCCTGATCAATATTCAATGATCAGATTGATTAGGTTCCTGTTTTGGCTCCACTGCCTCTTTTCTGCAGCTCAATAACTGCTCATATGGTTTGAAAGGTTCCTGCAGTAAAACCCGATTAGAGAGTGGACTAAATGAAATGTGAGTGAACTCAGCCATCAGTGAATCAATGACAAAGTGAGAGGAAGAGTGGATCTGTCTGCTGTCTGACCTTGTTGAGCCTGATGAAGGTGAGGGAGAAGAGTAAAGCAGTAAAGGTGATGTTGTTGCAGACAGAGTCAGCTGACCTGTCTCATCAGAGTCTCATCCATTCTCTGTTTGGCAGAGCACTGATGTTACAGTCTGAGAGCACATTCAGGTTCAGCTTCACATGGGCTGGATCTGCTCAATACAAACTCTTGAGACCAGCCTGGTTGAGGGAGGTGGGCTCAGTGTCCTGGGTGACTCTCTCTGAGCTCTTCTTGGTTGAGAGTATTTCTGGTTTGTCTCTGACTTCCATGAACTCAGATCTGGAGGATTGCTGGCTGGTCCGGTCCAGTTCTGACAGTAGAGACAACACAGTCAGTTATTCTGGGTTGAGTGTTCTTGTTGAAGATCAGTGTACAGTGAGGGATGAAGGCAGACAAAGATCCTCCTGTTTCCTCCATGTCACAGTTCAAGTTCATTTTGAAGACTTTGATTGATCCGAGCGCTGAAGAGGAACAGGAAACGTGGAGTAGAGAGTGAGGGAGGACTTACAGCAAAGGATCATGGGAGTCCAACCAGCAACTGCTGCAACAACGACTCCACCTTCTGATCATCTGAACCTCTAATCCAAACCAGTGCTCCATCACATTTGATGTCTTGTCTGTTATTTTACATGGAGGGTCAGAGCAGACCAGATCATGAGCTCTGACAGACTGGATCTGGTCCAAAGGTCTCCTGTTGGAGTTCTCTAAGCTCCATATTTTAAACCTGAACACCTGAAGTTTGATTATTAATTATTTTTATCTTCATTCTCTTTCCTTTTTTCAGATTGTATAAATGCAGTTTGTCAGAGATCAGCTGTTCTTCTCTGGCCTCAGCTCTGAAGTCCAACCCCTCCCATCTGAAACATCTGGACCTGAGTTACAACAAGCTGCAGGATTCAGGAGTGAAGCTTCTGTGTGAATTTGTGCAGAGTCCAAACTGTAAACTGGAGACTCTGAAGTGAGACTTTTTCCCTCCATTCAAACATGATCATGATTTGTTTGTGATGATGACACTAAACTGCTGACTCAGGACTGAAATACTGACCCAGACTGAACACCTTCAGTCCAGAGTAGATTTTCTTCATCAGTGGATTATTTGATTGACTCCAGTTAGATCACTGCTGAGCTCCAGTGAATTAAAACCTGAACCCAAGAAGAAAACTCTTTGTAGAGTTCACAGTGAGAAGCTCATTCAGACAGAAAACAGAAGCAGGGGGAGATTTGTCAGATGAGAACCATTCAAACTTTTGTTCAGGACAAGATCAGGGAATAGAAAAAACTCAGAGTTTAGTTTCTGACACTGATGAAAGTCCAGCTCTGTTACTTTGAATTTTGTTTTTGAATCTTTGTGTGAAAATCTGAATTTTCTGGTTTATCTGCACTTTTCTGAAGCCTTACTGTGTTTAGACTGAAATATTTACCTCTCAAAGACGTGAAATTTTTGGTTCAGCAAAGTGAAAATATTCTGAACATCCTTTGTTTCCCATCCGTCCTGAAGTCACTGACATTTTCTGAAAATATTGAGCTGCATCTACAATCAGTAAAAAAGTCTCTGAGTTTTTTATTTCACTATTTAATGTGTTTTTGAATTCACTGTTTCAAACTGACTTCCTGTTTGGTTCAGCTCTTTGGAGCGTCACTTTTCTCTGATTTATACTTTCCAAACCTTTCCCCTGAACTCTACAGATTTAAGACATCAGGTTTCAAACTGGATCATTTTTCTCTAAAATCTCATTATTTCCTCTTTATTTAGGTTAATGAGCTGCAGTTTGACGAAGATCAGCTGTTCTTCTCTGGCCTCAGCTCTGAAGTCCAACCCCTCCCATCTGAAAACTCTGTGGCTGTATGGAAACAATCTGCAGGGTTCAGACATGAAGCTGCTGTGTGATCTTCAGAAGAGTCCTGACTACAGACTGAGGACTCTGAAGTCAGTATAGAGTTGGAGTTAGTCTGTGCTGATCTCTCCTGTTCCTCTCCACACAGTATCACAGCAGATATTCAGTATTTCCTGCTGACTCTTCGACCCTCTCAGAGGATTATCTCTTTAGTGAAGCTGTGAGAACAGAAATCATCAAACCAGGAGTGTAAGAGTGTCAGTGATGAAAAAAGTGTCTCCTCGTCTCTATATTTCAGATCAAATGTAGAAATGAGACATAATGAAACAGAAATGTTCAGTTTCTGCTCTGAAGTCCAGTTTATAGTTCTCTGTATTCAACACAGACTTTATTTCTCTGCTAACTTGTTGATTTTGAGCTCTAAGTCTGAAAACAGACAGCTGTTCTTTATACTTGTTATTTTCACAGCAGGTTTGTTCGATCAGCTTTAACACATTTGACAGGAATGATTTCTTTATTTTGATGATGTTGGTTTATTTGTGAGGAAACCTGCTGCTTTACACCATCACTTCTGGTCTGAGCAGGACTGAGACCTGCTGGTCTGTAAACTGGATGTTCTTCAGTCCAGCTGATGAAGTGAGTCTCAGAGTGGAAACACTGATCGTCTTTTTTTCTCTCCTCAGATGGAGTTAACATCTGTCAGAGTGATTAAGAAGAGGATCATGTGTTTCCTGACGATCAGAGAGGTGGAGGCAGCAGCAGTGAGGGTGAGGTGAGTCTCTGACTGAGAGACTGACTGACCAATCACAGCGGGCGGAGAGGACTCTGGGAGCTGCACTTTGACCTGCTCTGAGATCAGCTCAGGACCTGGACTCTGGATATTTGATATTTTCCCTCATATTCTGGGATCAAACAGTCTGAACAGGTTTGTTTTGTTGATGGAAACATGATCATAAATTTACACTTTGATTGGATTACTTTGTTTTCACCATGATGCAGCGCCACCCAGTGGAAATATAAAGAGGTGGAGTTGATTTATTCCCTCATATTTCTGCAGCAGGAGTTGATACCATGTGTGAGAGTAGATCAGTCAGAAGTTCAGATTAAACCCAAAGGTTTTTTCTTTCCTTTGCACCGTTACAGACCGAATATAAACTGAAGGGAGAGGAAGAGAAGTGAGGAGAGATGGAGGTGAAGGGAGGAGGAGGACAGGGTTTGGGGTTTTAACAAAAATCTGAAGCTTTATTCTTTCACTTGATTATTTTTATTCATCCGTTTTCTTCTTCATTTTCTGAAATGATTGTAAATATTGACTGGAGGTAAATTTGTCTTATTTAATATTATTAGACACTATTTTCCGTCTCTTTACATGTTTTTGTTCTCATATCATCTTTGTGCTCATCAATAATCGATTCCCTCCAGTTTGAACAAATACAATTATTAAACCATAAATGAGACCTGAGAGTAAAATTAAAATGTGTGAAATATAATCAGTCAAAAGAAAGATTCTTGAACAAAAACAAAATCATTATTTTTACTTTATTATGATGGAGAAGTTTTCCTCTGACAGACAAAAATAACCGTATTGACTGGAGTCTGGAAAAAGTGAGATCAGCATCTATTCAGGGTGAAGTCATTAACGTGGTCGATGCTGTTTTATAAACTCAGTGTTGTTGATTACAATCTCAGCTTCATAAACTGATGCTACAGCTCATGTCACAGTCTGCTCACACCACAGAAACATTAAACATAGAACTATTGTGAACAGATTTGTCCTCTTCAGCTAATCTACTATCAATAGATCTGTGCTCTGTCTGTGTAACACTATGTTGGTTCTTCATTTACTCCAGATCATTTTTTTATGTCATTTCACTGTAACAATGTCATTTAAAGATAATAAAAACTTTATTTGAACTAAAACATGTTAAAAACATCAACTCAGCTTGTTTCATTTACTGTGTGCAATTGATTATTATTATTTTTCATTCAAACAGAAACTAGATTTGGTCTTTAAAAAGTCCTCAAAGTGAGTCTGAAAAGTGGAGGAAGGTTTTATCATCAGGGTGCAGCACAGTTGTTTCGTGTGTTTTCATTTGTGATATTCTCTCTAAGGTGTGTTATTGTTCATTTAAAGTATGTGGAGGACAAATCCATACATCTAAGAAAAAAAGGTAAAATATGAAGATAGGAGATTTCTGCATGACATCAACGATATGCTAGATTTAGCAACAGGTGGTCGTCTTTTATTGGGGGTATTTTGATCCAGAAATCTGAAAAGGGGTTATTAAAGCAAAAGAAGAAAAACACACACACACATGTATATCTATAGATATCTCACAGAACAGATATACAGAGGCAACATGAGAAAGATATTTATATTGAAAATGAATACATATATGTTAATGTTATGTTTTATGATAGTTTTCATTTTAATAGAAAAAATACTCATATAACAGACACAGAAGTATTAAATATTTTATATATAAAGGATTTAATATAACTGCCTTGTGTGTGTAGGCCTATCACTATTTCTCTACCTATCTGCTTAATGTTTATTGATGAAAATCCATGGTTAAAATTATTCTTGAGTATGCAGGAACATAACTAAAACTCTGAGGTTTGTTACCAACTAAACCGTTTGAAAATCAGTTTAAACTTAATCAATCTATGGTTATTTAAATATAACATGAACCGTAGACTGGAATGTTAGGAGTGGGCGAGCTTCCTGAAGCAAGATGGCCGCCACGCGCCGACGGTGGTCTCCATTAGCTAGCAGCATAGACTGTATATTCTATATACAGGTAGCATCGTGTGTAAGCCATCTAGCTTTTATATATATCTATGATCACTTCCGGGAAGTTCTTTCTTTTTATTTCTTTTTCTTTTTTATTTACACTTTAGTAAATAAAAAAAAATTAAGAGCATGTTAGAAGGGTAAGAATCTATTTATATATATTAATATAAAGATTCATATATACTTATGTATATATATATATATATATCATTATATATATATATATATCATATATATATATATATATATATATATATATATATATATATATATATATACTGTTAATTTAGTCTCTTTTCCCCCCATTCCTGGGTCATGTGAGTCTTCCCTGGTTCAGACTCAGGGTCCTCGGCACAATAACTGCAGGAGTGAGAACCAAAATATGTCAGATTTGGTGTAAAAACGATTAAAGCTGACTCAAATATTTCTTATCACCACATGAATTCCCTTAAAAATCAACCCCTTTATGATCGTTATTCATAACCACTGCACTATATAAAGATAGCATGTAAACTCCAGGACCACTCTTACTGACCTTATTCCACCCAAACCTACTTTACCCTCTATCACTAAAATCCCCCTGTGAACACGAGTCTGTAGGAAAAAGCAGGTTTTAGAAAATCAGGGAAACAAAGATGTCTTCAAAGATGTCAAGGGAAATACTGAAGATACCCAGAGACCCATGATACTCAGACAAACACCTAAAAACAGTTTGGTAACCCAGGCCATAGTGTTCTAGGGTTGATACTTGAGTGTTTTCCTCCTCGCCTGCAGGTGGCGACACATCTCCATCCGCCCGCGAGGACACGATAAACTTCCCTGATCAACGACGGACGTTCCTTCCGGCTCCGGTCCCATCTCAAGTGGAAAGGTAAAGCCAAACCCGGCGAAGTAATCTAAATATATCTTTGACATCTTATGTTCGATTAAATCCCAATTTATTAAAAACGACTTTCGTTAACATCGCAGTAACTGACTGTTATGTATTTTAACCCTAAAGTGTTTCTATTCGTGGATATTTTGGCCTGAAGTTGGAGAGTAACTCAAGCTCTGATGTTCGTCAACGGCTGCCATTTTTGTCCGTTTAAGCGGGCTATTATTGATCAAACACGCACGTTCAAATGTGCTGGAATTATTACGAATGTGTTCAAGAGAGCTAAGGAAATTGGTGTAATCGGTTGTTAGTGTAAAAGCTCATTTTAAGGATGAATTACACTCGTAGTAGCGTCGCTTGGTGGCTAACCAGTTAGCACGTTATCGTAGAGGAAGCTGTGAGAAGGGTCATGTGTGAGCTGAAGAGGATGGTGACCCTCATATTTAAGCTGTAGAAGATGGTGACCCTCATATTTAAGCTGTAGAGGATAGTGACCGTCATGTAGAGGATGGTGACCGTCATGTTTTAACTGATTTCCTGTCTCCAAACACAGATGCTGATGCCCAAGAAGAATCGCATTGCTATCTATGAGCTCCTGTTCAAGGAGGGAGTCATGGTGGCCAAGAAAGATGTCCACCTGGCCAAGCATCCCGAGCTTGCTGACAAGAATGTGCCCAACCTTCATGTGATGAAAGCCATGCAGGTGAGCGGTCCGGGTTCTCAGGTTTAAAGCCTGTTTTTCTGTTACTCTGGGCAGAGCTGAGACACAGATCTGATCCGTGGATCTGCTGTCTTTAAAGCAGGAGAACTTCACTGTGGTGAGCACTAACCTCAGTTTCCTGCAGGTCAATTTGGATTTGTCTTCAAGACTGAGATGTATTTATGTCCTGTTGTTATCAGAAGGCTCTCCTACAATCATTAGGCTATGATAAATATTTGATTTTAATTGGTTTAACCCTTAAAACACTGTTATATTTTTCTATTTGTGGTCCACCTGTTGTCTTTTTTTTTAATCTCTGAATCAACTCGATCCTTTCAAGCACAGCAAATATATACACATCTCTCTTTTCAGGACAACCTCAGCTGTCAGTTTATGGGTTCAAATATTTTGTAAAATAAATGTCAGTAGATCCAGAACCGTCAAAGTCAACCAAAAAAAACAAACGGAAACTGACCCCAACAGAAGTTTGCTCAAAAAACCCATAAATCTACAGTGACCAAACCTTTTCTCACCTGCACATCATTCTCTCAAGTCTTTGCTATCAGGAGAAGAAATATTGGGATTGGAACAAACACACAACAGAAACTATTGACATATTTACACTCATTCTTCCAGGCGTTTTTTCACTATTTACAGTTGTTTCTGCCACTCCTGCTCAGAATCTCTTCGTCGCTTGTTTCCGAACATTGAGGACCACTATTTCTGATTTTGCAGACAAGCAGGGAACTTTCTTGTCTCTTAAGGGAACAATAGAAGAAGAATATGAGACCATGTAATTGGTCAAAAGTTTGACAGAAAAAGACGTCATCAAAATAGCTCGTCAAACCAGGAAGACCTTTGCGGTGTTTAGTGATAGCGATCTTTTTTTTTTATCTCACACACACACACATAAAAAAATAGGCGTATGATTTGAGTTGTATGTATGTTGCCGTAAAAGATCAGACCAGGACAACCAAGGTGTAGGAACCAAATATGTTGATGTGGGACCATATCATGAGCTGTAGTTCACTTTGTGGGCCTTAGGTGTCGCTGTCTTGTTACCTGGGGGCTCAGGAGTAAAGGTAGCCATGTCACTGTTGTGGGCAGGTGTTTGACTGCAGTGGCGCTGACTGCCGGCGTTTTCCTACTTCGTTCAGTGTTTGATATCAATTGCAAAATGGATTTGGTTTGTTTATCGCAATAAATCTTTTGGTTTGCTGAATCTGAGGAACACAACCTGAAACCACCTGATGTCTCACTGATGCACTTATAATCTCAGGGAAACTGGCATTATCTTTGGACAAGGTCTTTGTTGAGACCCGGGACTCTTATCATCTGAGAACTGTGATTTTATTGTATGGATCATGTCCGCTAAGGCTTCCACAGAAAACATGTCCTGATATTTTACTGAAGCCGTTGTTTTTTTTACTGTTCTATGATTTTATTTTGATGTTTATGATTGATATTGTGTGTTTCCTTCCAGTCCTTGAAGTCCTGTGGGTACGTCAAGGAGCAATTTGCCTGGCGTCATTTCTACTGGTACCTCACCAACGAGGGTATCCAGTACCTGAGAGACTTCCTCCACCTGCCTCCCGAGATCGTGCCCGCCACCCTGCGCCGCCAGACCCGCCCTGAGACCGCAAGGCCCAGGCCCAAGGGTAAGCACAGCCATCTTCACTCTCAGTGCTGGAAATTAAAGTTTGTTTGTTTTAGGCGCCCCAGTATAAAAACACAGAAAACCTGAACGACCTCGGATTGAACCTTTTTTTTATTTAAATGTCCAAAAATTATTGAGGCTGTTTGTTTAATCTCACCATTGAATTCCTTCTGGAAATCAAACTAGATATTAAATGAGATTGCAGGTCCTGAGGTTCTACTTCTGTGCGCTGACCTTTCATGGCATTCAAAGGTGCTCATAATCCGCCCCCCCGGGTCGAGGCTTTCACTGTTTAAAGCTGAAGTATTCCTGCAGGATCTGACGCCTTGTTTCGAGCTGCTGCTGTGAAATATCTATTTTAATATTAAAGTGTCCACATTGGAATCAGGGTTGAGTGAATAGACCCCCAGAGAATATGTTTGTTTGAAGAGTTTTAGGTGATGGGACCAAGGAAACACAGACTGACTCTGATATTAGGTCAGACATTTTTTAGAGTTTAGAGGCTCAGCAGATTTCCCGATGCTCAGCTAATTAGACTAAATAGTTAGATGTTCATAATTAATGTCCCTGCGTCCTATCTGCAGAAACGAGGATCCATTGAAATCCCATTAACTGAGAATAATTGAATTTCCTCATCAGCCTCCAAGATATCTCGCACCTTTTGTTAACAGCGTTTAAGAGCAGGATAAACTGTCACAACGCTTTTTTCTGGGATTACGTTTCCTCTTGAAAACAATTTTCCTGATGTCAGGGAATAATCTGCTCCTGGAGGACGACTGCTTTTGTCTTTTCATGAAGTGCTAACAGAGAACCTCACTCTCTCTTTTTGTACATGTCAAATTAACCTGCTAGTCCATCTTTTTAGAGTAAAATAACCTGTAACTTTGAACCAGAACTGAACTGTTTCCTGTTTGTTTCTGCAGGAATGGAGGGAGAGAGGCCCGCCCGCCTCAACCGCGGCGAGGCTGACAGAGATGCATACAGGCGATCTGCTGCACCCCGTAAGTTCCCCTTTGAGAGCTGCTTGTGTTGCTGTGATGTTGATACAGAAACGTTTTCAAAGCCTAAATGCTCAGTGTCTTTTTATCCAACTATCAATCCAATTGTTATAAAATCTCACTTATTGAAATGTTTGGTCGTGACGTCAGCGGCTCAAACAGACGAGCAGGTTTCTGTGAGTCTGTGTTGATGGATTATCCCAGTTAGTCACGGAGTTGGTAACTCAAGTTTGCCTCAAACTGAATATTCACACCGATGAACGTCTGATTCTCTTTATCATCAAAGTGTCTGAAGAGGAAATTTCAGAACTGTTTTTGCTTGTTTCTTCCCGCCGACGTAAAGCTGTTTTCTGACTCTGTGATTGGTTTACTTCTTCCCTCAGCTGGTGCTGACAAGAAAGCAGAGGCCGGTGCTGGAGCTGCCACAGAGTTCCAGTTCGTAAGTAACACCTCTATCATTTCTCCCTTTTAAAACCGTCTGATTTATCTCTATAAACGTCCAATTGAGGGTATTTCTTCATGTTATTGAAGACAAGAGTAATTATGGTCTTGAAACATTTCTGAGGAACTTTTTCTACAAGTTATAAAAACAGAAATGTCTCTAAGTAGCATTTCTATAATTTCTTCCTCTAAAACCATCCGACTTATTTCTATAAACTCCCATTGAGGGTATTTCTTCTTGTTATTGAAGACAAGAGTAATATTCTGGTCTTGAAACATTTCTCAGCTGCTAAAGAAGTCTAAGAACTTTTTCTACAACAGTTATAAAAACAGAAATGTCTCTTAAGTAGCATTTCTATCATTTCTTTCTCTAAAACTGTCTGACTTATTTCTATAAATCCCTATCGAGGGTATTTCTTCTTGTTGTTAAAGCAAAGAGTAACTCCTCTGGTCTTGAAACATTTCTGAGCTGCTGAAGAAGTCTAAGAACTTTTTCTACAACAGTTTTACAGAAAACAGAAATGTCTCTACAACATGGGGGGTGTGGTTTTACAGCACGTGCAACAAGAAATGTCAGGAAGCTCAACTTAGTTTCCCATCATGCAGCTAAAGATCCTAACTGGTCAGGTCGACTGATATATTGACAAACTTTTCCCTGTTGCAGAGGGGGGGCTTCGGACGCGGCAGAGGAGGACAGCCGCCTCAGTAATTTTCACTCGCTCTTTCTGTACAATAAAGAAACTAAAATACAAAACATCTGTATCTATCCTTCTTAACTACAGGAGTTTTTGAGGGTGAATTTGAGTGTTGGAGTCTCAGATCTTCTGTTCCTGCAGGTTTGGATTCAGACAAGTGGAAATAAATGAGATGTTAGGTAAAGGATTCATGAAACAGGCTGGATCTAAAACTAAACTGTGTACTGTCGGTGTAGCGTGGCAAAGATGTCACATAAGAAAAAATTATTTCACACTTTAAAAACCAACAAGATAAATGAGGCAAATTAATAAATAGTCATGTTTTATTTTGGTGACAGCATCAGTTTCAGTCGTTCAGTTCTCAGCAGCACAGGAAAGTGACGCTCTCATAGGTCGGTAAATTTTCAGCAGACTAGAAAATAAAGCATCTTTAACTTTCAGCCTGTTTGAAACCTGAAGATAAAACACTGAATGTTTCCTCAGAGACAGTTTTAATAAGAAGACTGTTTGGTTTGTCTTGGTCTGCAGGACAATCTCACAGTTTGACTGTTGTGCTCCTAAGTGTTGCCCATCTGTCTGTACTGGTTTATTCAGGCTTTAGTGCAGCTCTGCAACAACCTTATAGGCCAGTAGGGGTCGCCAGACTGTGGCACTGTGATTTTTTTTGGGGGAAAGTTTGGTAACCTCTAAGTCTGTGTTCACACTGCAGATTTTTTAACCATCTGTGACTCATATCTGATTTTTTTCATCTAAGTTTGAACAGGTCAGTTCTGATTGGTTCTAATCTGATCCAGGCCTCTTCTGTATGTGGATATAAATCAGATATGTATCCGATGTGACTGCAGTGTGACGCTCAGGTCGAGTTCATACGACCTATACGTCATCAATATGAGACAAACGTCAACATTGTTCGACAACACAAACAGGCGCGGAAAGATATTTGTGCTTTGTGTGCATGCGGGTCACTTTATGGACGCATTCCATTCACATTAGATGGTTGTTGTTGTTGTATTGTGAACGACCGCACAAAAAGATCGAATTTAACAAAATCCGAATTGTGCGTCAGAACCTGCAGGGTGAACGTAGCCTAAAGTCAGAGAAAGTGTTTGGATGTTTACTTTAGAGCTGTTCTTAATCAGGCCAGTGTGAATTTAATGTTAAAAAAAACAAAACTATACTAGTAACAACAGTAATGCATCAGATTTCATATAGCGCTTTACATTGGATACATCATTCATCTATACCGTTTAAATGACATTAAAGGCGACACAAGGAGACCAGTTTTTCAAAATAGTCTAAACCCCGTTTTCAGATGGTGTCAGGAAGCATCAGCACATTAATTCAGATTCCTGCAGCTTAGTTAACGAAGTGCACACTGTATTCATGCAACTGTACTTTGTCTTGAATATTCTATATCTTTATTACATTTAACAACAAACATCCCACATTTTTTATATCAGTACAAAATCAATAACTGCAGTTTGGGTAAAATCACTTGTATGAGCCTTTTTAATCAATATTATTTTTTGGGTTTTGTTTTGTTACTCACACAATCACCACAAGGGGGCACTTCAGGTGAATGAGCAGGTAAAAGCTACAAAGGGACACGGGTGAAGCAGTGATCCGGAGAACGGGAAGAGCACACAGTTGTTACGGCTAATCTCTGACACCACTCTCACCCTCATCACAAACATCACCATCATAGTAAGTTGGGCGCATCTGTCTTTTTTTTTGTTGTTTTTAATTAAATTAATAAATGGTAAAAAGATAACTCAACAACCTTGGAGTGGGATTTAGATTGTACTAGAAGCGCGTCAAAAACACCTCACTCCCTCACCCAGACGGTGACTAAAATTCAGGTCAGCTTAGTCACAGAAACACAGTCTGTTCTCAGCCTGATGTCCACGCTCACAAACAACGACACAGATCAGAATGTGAAATACTGGTGTTTATTTGTTGGCACATTTATATTACAATCTTCAGTCTTCTCGCACTGGTTTTATTCCACAATCCCAAATGACAAAAAGAGAGGAAAAGAAAATTCCAGTGACACAAACACCTCAAAGAACACACAGATGTCTCTTCAAGGCTGAGGTCAGCGGCTAGAAGTGCACATTTGTTGACTTTGTAACTCTTTTGGGTAATCTTTACAGCTTTTTTAAATTAGTTAATTATTTCATAATTACAGTCATTCAGTTGCCAAAGTAGCCGAACGACCGTCACGCCAAAAGAAACTGAAAGGTACAATCCTCAGCGGCAAAGTGATGTGCTTTTGATGTTTGCTTTGGCCACAAGATGGGGCAATTTCTCACTTAACAATCGCCTTTGGTAACTTACATGGAGGAACTTAGTATCTCATCATATATGTATTTTTAAAAGCTTAATCCCAATTTTAAAATGTAATTTACAAAGAGCTAATTGTGACAGCAGGAATCCTCATGAAGACGGGGGTGTGTGCTCCATCGTACTCCACATAAACGTACCTATGTGGAGCTTTGAACCTCATAAATCCCCTCACTCACTGGCTACGAACTTCAGAAGCTGCCTGAATTTTGAATTACGAGAAGTCTTTTATTTTAATTTATCTTTAAAAAAAAAAAAAAAGAAGAGGGGTAATCATCTTGATTGACCAAAGCCAAAGTGCATCCTCTGGCTGTAAGGGTGCTGTGTTAGCTTTATATACATGACATGAGCTGTCCATAACACAACACATGGAAAAAAAACAAAACAACAGAAAGGAAATATGGATGAAGAACAAGTGGTCATTAATGATTTAGTCACTGGTTGTTACTTGTGGAAATCCTCCTCACATTCATTTTGACAGTACCTGTCATCCGCGTCAAACCGTGAAGAGCAGATCACATCAGCGCCAATTAACCGTTCAGGGACAGGATTTAATGTAGTCTAGAAGCAGTTTACAGATCTGTCTCTCAAACTTTTACTCTGATTCATCCTTGAGGACTAAGATTAACGTGAAATCTCATATGAAGTGCCAGGTAGGGCATCATAAAGCAAGACTTTGGCCACCACACCTTCGAGTCGGTGAGTCAGTCTGTTCAGGAGACTTTACACTCTCTTTATGTCGACGACCGTCAGTCAGGAGAAAAATGTTCTCATTCAAGGATTTTAAGACCCCAGGATGAGGAGTCTGTCTTTACAGTCGTATTTACTTTAACCAGCTCCATAGAAACACACATGGGTAAAAAGACTTTACACAACTACTATCACCAACCACTTTTTTCAGGTCAGCATTTGCTCCACTAAATCTCAGAAGACTTAAATATACCTCTCAGCAACACTGCGGTTTTCTGTCCATACTCAAAGTTCAGTCTTGGCCTTTTGTGGCTGACAAAGTTTAGTGAACTTTAGTCAAATAGAAGCAAGTATTGAACTTTAACAGGAAGTCTAATGAAGGGAAAGTGTACTTCTATCATTGGCTATAAGTTGAGACCAGAGCTAGTTTAAATAATTATGTGAATATTAAAGCGAGAAACATCATACAGGTGTGAGGGAACGGTCATAACCGCCACACCGCTGCTCTAACTGTATGTGCACGGACTCTCTGTCCAGCTAACGGGTCTAAAAACATGATCCTCCGATCAGTAAGTCAGTCTGAGTTATCCAGGGATGTGACTGTATGAGTAATTATGAAAAAAGGGCAAACAGTGATTACCGGGCTAGAATCAATATTAACGATACTGAACAATTGAGGTGAAAAGGGACTAATTTAGATATAAGTAAGCTAACGCTGGTGACAGAAAACAGGAAAAGGTAATAAATATAGCGCTGAAACTGGACTTTTCGATTTTGGGGGTTAAAATTTGGTTTAAAAAAATAGAAATACACAAATCTGAGTCTAAAATGAGTAACTTTCTACTCACTATAAATCAGACATGCATGTAGGAAACTATTATTTAACAAGTTCCCCATATTTGCAGATTGTTTTGGCTTCCTAAGATATTTAAATTGGTCTGAATATGGACAGAAAACCACAGCGTCACTGTTAATACTTTTAAAGGTAGTAAAGCTCTCCATGTAAATAAAAAAATCAAGTGAACCAAATGCTCGCCAGAAAAAAAAAAGACTTCAGTTGTACTTAATTATTCCTGATTCAAATCTTGTTTTGTCAGACTACTGCTGAACCAGATTTCTTCGTTTTTGTAAAAACAGTCACGTGACCGCTGCAGGTTTGTTAACCGTTTAAAACTAGGTCAATGAATTCATAATAACCTTTTCACATTAGGCTCTTCACCGTCACTTTTAACCACAGTGCTTGTTCTTACTGTACGCTTTCTCAACAGAAACCTCCTCACACTCCGGAGCCAACGCTTTGAGTTCAATCAGTTCAGCCTCAGTTGAAATGACATGTACGTCCACAGATGTGTAAAGAGGTGTTTTTTGTCATTTGTACTCTCACCTTTGATCGATACAGAAATAAACAATTTACAATAAAAACCTCTAACATGCTATCTACAGCGCCTCCAGTTTCACAGTATTGAGCCTGCTGCCTCTCGCCACATCGGGGCCGAGTGACGCAGCTCGGCTAAAGAGACTTTTGCCAGACGTTAGAGAGGAAAAAAAAAAAAAAAAAAGAACATAAACTAGTATCCAAAAGCATTTTACATGTTAAAAATGAGGTCTCAAACTGTACAAGGCTTGTTTGTTCTGCATCTTGCCAAAGACAGCATTATAGATTCCATTACTTTCAATGTCAAGCAGGTGTTTCGAGCGTTTTTGGGGATGCAGATTAAATACTAAAGGAAGAGGGTAAAAAAAAAAAAAAATCATGATGTAATGAAAAAGTGCTTGCTAAAGTCACCTGTGCTATGTTACGAACACAATGTAAACAAATGTCGTTAACCAAACTGAATGTGAGGAGTAAAGTATGAAGATGGGTTTTTAATAACTTAAGTGATATGTATTGAATTCTGAAATTACATTTCTATGATTTTGAAATTCACTAATTCTACCCTCTCAGTATGTGGAGGAAGACTTTGTAGTCAGTCACAAAATAGCATTTCAGAAACAAAAGAAAAAGGGAAAAAGAAGGTAAAGACACTGAGGAGAAAGGTGGTTCGTTTTTCTTTGTGGGGTGACATTCGTCCACTCTCGTCTTCACTGACTATCGACTCTGTATGAGAGTGAAACTTGTAGTGCTTGGCTAGCTTCCCTGTTGAGAGAGAAGCACACTTGACACTTGAAAATTGAAAGATTAGTGAGGGGCCATATCCTTCTTATATTAAAGCGACATCACCAACCACGATAAGGACCAAAATGAGGAGAATCCAAACCTTACCACCAGTCCAGATCGCACAGCCAGCATCGGGTCACTCGAGCGAGCGAGCGAGACACAACAAAACAGTGCTCATGCAAGACAAGTCACCTCCACAGTTCTGTTCATTCAGATACAGACATTTCCTAACCGTATTAACAAGGGGAGGGACAGTACACTAATGGGCACATTCATTCACGGAGAAATCAAAGTAAAATGTTTTAAAAAGACCACCAAAAGCCTTCAGCTTAAGCACTAAGTATACACTTTTACATTACAACAGTAAAAAGTAGTTCTTGCATTCAATAAACACCACGCTAAGGGCGCGTCGAGGAGAGAGAGTGAGGAGAGAGCGAGGGGACATCTCATGCAGTTTGTCAGTAAAAAGAAACAGAAGAAGAGAGGGGTCAAAAATTACATTTACATTTACAAAGTGTTTCAGACTATTCACCCGACACTTGTCATCAAGTCTGTGCCACAGTTCTGGCACAAAGGAGTTGGCAAGGCAAACCATGTTATTGAGACAAAAAAAACAAAAACAAACAAAAAAAAAAAGAACAAAAATAGAGAAGAGAAATGACACAAGTAAGAGCGCAAGTGGTGGCGACAGCTCCAGGAGGGTGTCAGGGTGGTGGTTTTAGTTATCTGATACCCGAGACGGAGCTCTGATTGATGCTGTAGGTAGGGGACAGATCCCCACCTATCGTGGCCACCAAAGGTGTTCCGTTACTGGTCAGGCAACTCTCCTGGAGAGCCTCGAAGTAGGTGGCCTGCACAGGCTTGTGACACCGCAACACTTGTATGGCATCGTCTATTTTAAACCATTCCCTTTTTCTCCCTGTTGACAGAACAAGACAACATTGTAGGGCAACTTCAAACATGTGAGAGAGAGAGAGAGAGACGACATTACAGGAACATTACACCCAGAGTACAAGAAACCGGTTTTAGCGAATTAGCAGCTCCGTTCAGAGTCATAACAGCAGTAACAAAGCTGGTGTTATAATCTCCCCCAACAAACATGCAATAAAATCCCTGAACTGTAAAAATGCAAAGACAGCTCGAGAGAGCATGTGACTGCCTGAGAACTTTGTCCATATGATCCCCATTATGAGGAGTAATTACCAATGTTGACCGAGTCCTCCCAGTCCTCCAGCACCTCTGTGACGATAAGGACGTAGACGTAGGTTCTGTGTTTCCTCTCTTGGTTCTGTACAGAGAGAGAAAGTTATCGTCGTTTAACTTCTCAGTCACAAAAACAGTCGGCCAGTATGTTGACATTTAAAGACCAGTTTAGAAAAGCAAACATCACCTCAAATACTCCAACTAAGCGACCCAAAGTCCCCTTCACACCAGCCTGTAAAACACAGAGACAGATTTAAATGCTTAAAATTACAAACAAATCACAAACTCAACTCATATGCAGAAAGAGGGGGACTGCCCAAAACCCAAGACCCGTAAAATGTGAGCAAATCCTGCAGCCTGGTTTTTCATTTCTCTCTTGGATCTTGTCGTGTTTTGTTGAGGCTGTGTTTCTGAAACGTTGGCTCGTGTTTTGCATCGCAGCGGATTACATTACATCATAAGATTGCTTTTATCCCCTGCAAATTCACTCGGTGTAATTCCTGGGTTCTTTTCTGAGTCCTCCAAATAACGCAGGAGAAAAGCCTTTATGAAAACAGTCTCACTTGATTCGACCAAAAGCTAAAGCCGTGTCCCGCACATACACAGGTCGTCAACTTTACCCGACAGAGAGATCAGACTTGTTTCAAAACAAAACAACAAAATTCTGATCAGGGAGAGTTGGTTGGAAAATACAAAAATAAGCACAATCTGATATTTGTAAAGTCAACACTGGTATACACACACACACACACACACCTGTTTTGTCTCCTGTTATAGATTTCACCTTTGTGAACGTCCATCTGTTGACATGATCACTATATTCTTTGGCAAACAGCCAACATGTGTAAGCTGTCACCGCATGCACACACGTAATAACACGTCACCTTTTTGACCGATGATCGTACGGGCAGAAATTTTCTCATCAGCCGACATGGATCATCAACTTTTTGTTAAGTGCGTACTCGCAGCTGCTGTATGGGACGCCGGCGCTGCCGTGTTTAAATACCCTAACGCTTGACGGAGACGCTATTGCCCATGTGTGACTCTAGGCTCTAGACATCTGGCGACAATTGTTGACTATTTTCATTACCAATTTTTCTCGACAACACCGACCAATCGGCGCAGCCCCAATACTTCATTGATGCTTCCATTTAATGATCCGATAGAAATCAGGTAGTGGCACACAGATCTGGGAACTGTAACTCAAAGAACTCCACTGAGGTCATTTTCTTTGCATGGATCCTGCCATCGTTAAAAGTTCACATCAGAAGTCCCGCCCCTTCTTGATTCTGATTGGTCAGGGCTTAAGAAGTGACATTGGCGAGTGTGGCATTGCTCCAAAAGTTGAACGGTTTATAACAGAGAGAGGAGAGAAAACAGCATCTAAAAGCAGCTGAGGATGCTGAACGCTGAAAATGCTGACCTGCAGTCAGTTTCCATATAAAAAGGCTCCTTCTGTTCAAAATGTGAACACGACTATTATCCAACAAAACACAGAAGAATATCCGTATAATGTCACAGTACTCAGAGGCGTATAGCAGAGAACCAATTTTGAGGTTACAAAACATGAAACTTGAGTCCTTCACCCTGAGCTGAGATTCGCTTTTTTACCTTTTAGATCAATCAAGCTGCAAAAAATAGAAATAATCAAAAATGTAGATACCAGATCACCTGATAATGAAAACACTCTGATCATACAGTTTTTTATCTTTCTCTGTTAATTACAGGTCAACACATAGCGACACGTTCTTCGCCGAGTGTTAAGAGTTTCATAAATGTTCTTGTAAACGGGTCAAAAGACACAGAAGAACTTGTTGGCGGTAACTCGCTGCTTGATCGTACTCGCTGTGACATATTCTGTTAACAAAAATAATCTGTAAATTATATCTTGACTCCCAGAGGTGAGTCGTAGGTCAGGTTCTGATACAGAGCCAGGGCACTTACTTGCTGACATCTTTGCAGCTTCTTCTTCTGGTTCACGTTTCACTCTATAAATAAGCGCCGACTGCACACACTGTGCCGGGGATTCAGTTTTGAACTCTTCGGGCCTTTAGCAAGATCATCTGGAAAAGACCAGGCTCACCACTAGAAACCCCAAAGACGTGCCAGGGATTAAGCAATAGGCCAGAAGTCAACCTGTGTTTTTTTTATGTGATGGAAAACCTCTCCCAGCTCAAGCATTCGTGTAACTGAAGACCACCGGGCGTCATTTTGGAAGAGGATGTACAGCAGTTCGGCTGAATTACACCTTATGCAATCCTATCTTGTGCCTTTTTTTGTGCCAATCACTGCTGGCATACGACTACCGGGCATGAGGAGGGAGGCGGGGTTGTGCGCAGTCAGATTAGAAAAAAAAGAACTCTGCGCGACCTTTGGCCCGCTCTGTCTCGACTCTCATCCCTGACAGGACTCTAAACCAATAAGCATAAGCGATCGCCCACCGCTCATATAGTCATCAGAATAAACTCGCCAGGATTAGAATATGGACGGTTACACCACCGTCCAATAAGAGGCTTAAAGACCCAGAGGAGGCGGTGATGCATTCAAGTCATCACAAACTTTCAGAGAATGGCCTTTAGGCGCTTTTAACAAACCTCCATAGCGACCTGACATTGTCGTTGACCCTGTGGAAATGTGTTGGCAAGCGGCGGCATCCCGCAATCACTACATAAGCTACCGAACAGCAGCAGCAGCGGCCAGGATAAGGGATGATATCAGCATCCGTCTGTGTGATGGATCACAGAGAGAGAGAGAGAGAGAGAGCAGGCGCTCTGTGGTCGGTGACCCGCCAAGAGCTGACAGCCGGGTGGGATTCAATGTCTTCACAGTCCTGTCGCCTTCCTGATCAAAATGCCGAAGCAATGACCGCCATGTATACAAGAGGGATCCGGGGTATATTGGCTGGATGTGGACAGCGTGAGAAGGATATTGATTTCCAATAAGAGTCAGAACTTCTCACCTATTTCAGCCAATCCACCCTGAAACTAGAGATGATCAAATGACATTTTTCCTTCCCGACAAAAAATAGAAAAAAAAAAATTATCACATTTGTCGTGTTAGACGGGGACACAGGAGAAGAATGAGTCTATCAAAAATGTAAACCAACTCCTGCACAGTGTCCAACATGCCAAAAGTACACAGGAAGACTATTTACGACTGTATTGTGTTGCAGTTTTACCCAGAGGACGGTGCTTTAAGAATCAAGAGGCTGTTTCACAGTGAAAAGCATGCTGGATAGAAAACAAGGTGAACCAGTCTGACAAAGCCATGTGTTAAAAGTGAATTATTTTAGGCTTTTATTCCTTCATTTAGGTGTAACTGGGAGTGAGAGCAGACGATGACGTGGTTCTCTGAGGTTTTTAGTCCCTTATTGGTTCATGATTATGATCATTTAAAGAAAACGACATTGTTCCATTTTTAAAATCAACTCTGTGGACTTCTTCTTTGTCTAAAGAGCCTCCCTAACTCAAAACAAAGAGTGACCGGTGGAGGTGGGTGGTGAGAGTATTGTCACATTGGTTGTGGGGAAGTGGATCCATCAGTTCTTCACAAAAACCAGCTCTACGTGGGTCTTGTGCAATAGTGACATGATGTGCTTATCTTTTTGGTTTTTATCTTTCTCTCACTGTGCTGTCCTCTTGTGTAATACGGTTAGTGTGCACTGTCTTTTTGTTTGTTGTGGTGGTTTAGGTATGTGTTCTCTGTATATGGGTTATTGATAGTTTTAACATTAAGTTGTTCATTGGTACTATTGTGGATGCGGTTGAAGGCAACACCTGAGTCCGAGGCAAATCTCGCCAAGGGGACGATTAAGTGTGTAGTATCGTATCGTATCGAATCGTATCGTATCGTGCTTCTTAGCTCAACAACCGTACAGTTTGCAGCCAGGATGGTGAAAACAGATCATACTAGAAGGAGCTTCACAACTGCACAAAAGTGGAACATTGTGGACTATATTAAAAGCAATTAAAGGGTTTTGTACAACCTCAACAACTTGTATTACCGTATTTATCAGCAATGTTTTAATCCTAGATTGGCATTTTTATATATATATTCTTTCAGAAAACATTAAACACTTGCCCGGATGAATGTCCTTCCTGATTCCTGCCAGTCATTCATGTTTATTAAATTCAGGTTAAACCCTCAGAAATATGAGGAAATAATGAAGAACTCTTATTGTTTATTTTCACAGTCAGAAGTTGAATATAATGAAGATGAGAAAATTGAGCTAACAGCACCAGAGCCCCTTTTTTTAATCATTAGCATCATTTTTAACTGAGAAACTGCTGTTGATTTTTGAGGTTATTTACTGCCTCTAATATCTGGGTCAGTCTCCTTTTGAAAGCAGGAGACTTGTCACAGCTAAAACAAGCTCCTTGTAGAAAACATCAAACACTGAGTGAGGGGAACCCGATCTTCAAAACAATCTGAGCGACACAAACTGGCCTTAGAAGTTACCAAAGCAAAAACAAAAGTAACGCTCTCAGCTTGTACCGCGCCGATGTAACTGATGATCGTCTATTATAAATAACCTGAAGTCACTTCGACTCTGCTCTAACACAACAGTTGCTCGTTGCAGCCATGATAAATCCATGGCGACAGTGACAGCACATGGCAACTTACTGCTTAGAAGCTGTAAAGAAGAAGAATAAGGAAGGATTTCTGGTGAAATAGTTTGAAATCTTCCTCAGCTTAGAAACAGTCAGTGGTGCCAGATGTTGAATACACCGGTATACTGGTGACTGAATCAAATAAACACTGGTACAGACAACAAGCCTCCCTCAAACTTAAGAGTACCAATCAAAACAGAAAGGCACATTTTATTCCTCAAGAAGTCGCAGCTGTCTAAATCTCTAAATTGTATGTGAGGTTCTGGTGAAACCGCTGGGAAGTCAGTGTTCAATCTCAGCGTGACCTCCTTTAACACCGAGACACTGCTTTGTAACATGATGCTATGATACAGCTTACATGTTGCTAGGCTCTCTCTCTCTCTCTCTCTCTCTCTCGATGACTGCACTGACGAAATGGGTTCTGAGAGAAGGTATTAGGCTCAGTGTTAAATACAGACCTGATAGAATAGAAATGAAACACAATACACCTCAGAAGCCACGCTGGAAGTGGAAATCCATTCTCAGAAACAATATTCCTGGTTATGTACTAAGTCTAGAAAGGCATGTTTCACACCCATGTTTCGATTATGAGGGTCAAGGAAAGTTTACTAGTGCACAGTCTGCACAGGAATGCTCATCTGACAACACCAGACAGTCACAAGGACAAAAACAAAAAGGCAGCCTGTGGTATCTGCTTAAAACTGGATATGATGACAATGCATTAAATTACAGCACTAACCTCTTCACACACTTCTCGGGCTGCGGCAACATTGGGCTCCTCCTCTGGCTCCATTCCTCCTCCAGGAACTATCCACTTGTCAGGATGTCGACTACTGCTCACAAGCAACACCTTAAAAAAATCCCATACAAGTCATATTAGGCGTAGCTGTCGTACACAATGATACTTGTTGACAGCAGGCAATGGTGAGTAATACAATTAAACAACTGCTGCTGCTGCTTGAGCAAGATATGTCATTGATCCGTGTTAGATACTGAAGCAAAGAGCAAGTAATGCTATCAAGTGACACATCAGCCACTTCTTGACCATGGGACAACTATCAAGGCTATTACTGAAGCAGATTTTTCCAGCTGAATGTTGTGTGAATGTGGTCCACTCACTGTGTGGCTGCAAGCAAATCAAACAATTTTGAAAATAGCTAGGATATGAGTCACTCAGTTTATTTTTTCCTTTCAAGAATAGGGAGTTTGAGCTGTAAACAGTCACTCAGAGAAACTCTAAGCCTGGCTGCAAGCCGATCTGGATCTCTGTTCAAAGTTTGTACCAACATGCAGGTCATATAGATGTGATTCCCGCAGATCTTAAGTCCATGTTTTGTACAGTCTGGTCTTTACTTTAACCAGAATGAGGAATTAGTTTAGTCTCAATTCGACTCCTTCCCCTTGTAAAATGTTTCCACCACAAAGACATCTTTGTGTTTGTTGTTGACTGAACATCAGCTTCCTAAATCGCTCCTGATCTCCTGTAACCCTTCGCAGACAATCTGAGTGGTTTCTTGAAGGTTGTGCCACAAAGGCAGCGAGAGGCCCATTAACAGTAACTACGATTTAACATTCAGCTGAGTGGATGATTCAAATGGTAATAAAATTAATTCAGGTTGTCAAGTACTTATCAAGTCTAAACTCATTTTGCATTTTTGGTTTAAATTTGTGTTTTCAAGTTAGTTTTTAATGCCGTTGAGTCGGCGTTGCTCAGTTTAAATTTCCTGAAAATGCTTAGCTTTATTGTAAATTGTATAAGCTCTTGTGTTATGCTGCGTTCGAGTTACCTCAGAAGCCAGATGTTGGAGCTGAAAATGACGTCACACCTGAGTTCCCAACATTTCAGTTTCCAAGTCGGATCAAAGCAAAATCGGAGGCAGAAACAAGATGGCCAAATCTATGAAAGTTACTTATATTCAGACAAGCCAAGCGCTAAAATAACTTTTGTAGATTGTAACTCGGGTGTGACGTCATTTTCAGCCCCAACATGTGACTTCCGAGTTAACTCGAACACAGCATTAGTCTAATTTTTGGAGTATGAGAAACTTATCAGGGTGAGACTGAAAAAGGTCAGGGATAGTATTGAGTAATAACACCCAAAATCATCCTGTCATGTAAACATGAACTCAGCTACAAAAGACGAACAGCTGCAAACATCCACAGAGGACATACTGGTCAGGTTAAATACACTGAACGCCTGAGACATCCTCAATACAAGAGCCCTCTGAGAATCAGGAATCGTTACATTGTCAGTTTTTGTTGACGTGGTCAGACAGATGATCATTGCACTTCAGATTCATTGTTGAAGTTGTAGTGGGTGTTGGTGGTGAACTGGAGTGCCTGATTGTGAAAGGTGTTCTCAATACTGTCCTCTTGTCATGTTTGTCAATGAGGTGGACGAAATGCAAGAGGACTTTAAGCGCTTTAGTTCACTCCCACCGCCCACTTCATCTTCAATAACACCTATAGGGGTAAGATGAGCCATTTTTCATATTTGGGATCACTACATCAAGTCAATCCTAGTTTTGTCTCTAACTCGTGTATCTGCAGATATTTCAGGATGTTGTTCATCCCTGCAAACCAACAGAATGAGTGTGAACAGAACTGTCTTCAAAATATAGCAGGACAAAAAAAGTGGTCTCCTATGTTCAACTTACCCCGTGTGTGGGGTAAGTTGACTGTAGGAGCGGGGTAAGTTGAGCCGTATCCCTACTACCCCCCCTACTCTCCCCCCCAGCCCTCCCTCACCTTCTCTCTCCCTAAATAACAGTCACTTCTTCACATTCATGTGTATTTTTATCTATTATACACTATTCAACTGGTGCAATCATTCTTTGTATTACTATTACATATAACCGCTAAAAAATATTTTACCATGAGAATGTCTTTAAGTGATTGAGATCATTCACAGATCTGTATTTTAGAAAAGAAAAAGTCAAACATTTCAACAATCTGAACTGACACCCTGATCCTCTCATCAGACTCCTTTACTTTCTCAGTTACCCCTGAACTACTATGATGACTTTATTAGTCCTCAAAGCTAATTAATGTATAAAACTAATTTAAAACGATCTTTTTTGGTCTGATCACAATTCTAATTAAACTTATGACAGAGTAAATTCACTTTACAAAGTGAAAAATGTTTTGTTTTTGTAAATAAATGTCTAACCCCTTCACCCATGTGCTTCGAACCTTCACAGACTCCATGAATTGATGACCATCTCCTCAAGATTTGGTCACATGATCAATTTTTTTTAACTATTTACAAGCAACAGGGGGTGGATCAACTTACCCCACTCTCCACTACAGAACAACAATCACCTATATGACCATGCTAACAAAAACTGAACATTAAACCCTCTCTGAAAACCAGAATTACGTTAAAATATCGGATTTTTTAAGGTCCGAAGTACACAGTAAGGATCTTTTCTCCAGAATTATCAGGCTCAGTTGTCTTTTCCCTTCATGTAAAACCTTGTTATTTTAAACAATGATTCCACTTAAATTATTGTCAGTTCTGTTTTCGTTTGTTGTTAGTGTTCATGTTAGGTGAAAACCGGCTTCCTCTTGTCGTTTTTCTCGGGGCTAACACAGCTAAGAGCTAACAGCCTCTTCATCAGTAATACCAGTTGCATTATGCTAACAGTCAACAGTTAGTTTTCGCCCGTTTATCAGTAATAAGGCCGGAGATAAATCTGAGCTCGTCATTCACGACAGCTGAATAATTACTGAGTCCAGCCGTATCAGGAGATGGAGTCCACGCTCCCCACGGTTAGTCAGCGCTGTGGGCTGTGGTCGCTGGCCGTAAGCCGGCTGCCCACAGCAGGCTAACGTTAGCGCTAACAGGACTGCTAAAGAGGCTTACATAACACTCGGCTAAATAATACCTCTAAAACTGTGTTTTAAGCACAACCACGTACGACATTAAGCGGGCCCCTGACAAAGAGGAAGTCGTCGTTTCTTCCTGACATTAAACCGCCGCTGTGTCGGTAACTGTCGGGGTTTACAGGCGGAAAAGACACTGAAAGCATCCACGGTTGCTAAGGTTAGCCCGGCCTGCCAGACAGTCACATCCCCGGACTCACCTCCTCCTCGCTCTCGCTCCTGAAGCACAGACAGGCGGCCCTCTTCTTGTACCCATCCCCGTCGTACGTCCGGGTTTGATTGGACTTGAGCTTCATCATATCAGAGGGCACAAAAGTTTAAAGTACGGCTTAGTTTACCACTTATTAGGAAGATGGTTGTAGACGCAAAGTCCTCCTTCGGGGGAACCTCGGCGTTTTAATTAAAAGAAATAACTTCTTCTTCGCTTCATTTTCACAAACCTAGGCACATCTACGGCACGGTCGCCATTACAAGGAGCCGCTACGCCCACGACGTAATTTAACCTTTAATAGGTCGGCGAGCGTAAGAAAAGAGCCGAACAGGCGATGGAGAATTGGGGCAACGGATACGAGGAAAGCGCAGCAGTACCACGCTCTGACTGGAGCGGGCCGGTGGAGGAGGAAACTGGCACTTTTGGCTCCAACTAGCTGAACACGGACACTTGTTTGAGGCTGATAAGACCGAGCGAGTTTGTACCGCCCTGCCCGAATAATTTAAATACAACTGAGTGGCTTGAAAACGCTTTTAAAAAGTACAAAATGGTGGAATGACAGGTTTGATTGTTCGGTTTCAGCACCGCCGGTAATGGACAGCGCCAGTATGGCTCTCCTAATTGAGTCAGTAAAACGATTTTAAATGTAATTTTTATGTAATTTCTCAAAAACTTAAACTTTTAGGGCTTCTACATTAATCTTTTAATAGTTAGGCATCCATTTACGACGAAGTATTAGGGCCACATTAAGAAAAAAAAATGAGACTTCGAGATTAAAGTCATTAATTTACAAGAATTCGTAAGTCGTAATTTAATCATTACTTACGAGAATGAAATCGTAGTAAGATAATCACTGACGAGGGTAAAGTCAGAATAAAGTCCTTATATTCAAAGGACTGCTGTTTACGATGACAGTTGTTAAAATGAGAGACATGGAGCATTTGATAAAAGTGTACTTTAATATGATAATAACAATAGGTTTCTTAAACAAGGAGATACTTCATCTTTAGGCTCATCAGCACCACATTATCATAAGTATCATAATGATTTTTTTACAACTTTATTCTCGTAAGACATGATTTTATTACGACTGTACTCTTGTACGTAATGATTTTATTCTCGTAAATTAATGACTTTAATCTCAGTCTTGAATTTTTTTTCTTAATGTTGCACTAATACGCCGTTGTATCCATTACTCAACCTTTTAAATGATCGTTTTCCATGTCAGTGTCTTTGTATGATATCCAAAATCAAATAAGACAGTAACAAGAGTAAGGATTTTTATCTTATCTTTATCTATCTTAATTTCTAAGGTCTGAAACCGATGCAAGGGGGTACAGCTGAGCACCTGAAGATAGAGCCCTGCTTTTACAATTTCCACTCAAAATATATGCAGAAGATGATAAATTTGACTGTCAAAAGTCAGAAATAATAGTTTTGGGGTCAAAATTACTATTTAGGCATGTAAAGGATAAGAGAAGCTAAGACTGCATAGTCCACAGGGGGCGCCAAAGCTGACACAGACTGGGAGCTTCTTACAGGAGCTTTAATAAACTGGATATCTGTAGATTTATAACTTCCAACCATGTATTTTAAGGTGCATTGTGTAGAGTTTAGCAACATTTAACAGACTTGATAGAAAATATTAAAAAAAAATTGTTAGCTGCAAGTAAGAATTCAATATTTCCATTAGTCCAGTGATCATGCATCTCAGGAGATTCTGGTCCCTGAAGGCCACCTAGATTCACTGACAAGTTGGGTGAACAGAGAAGCATTTTCAAACTAAAATCTGACCTTCAGGTAGTGTAAAATATCCCTATTTCTGCAAACTCTACCTTTATACAGTTTAAATAATTTAACTCACTCTCCTGTCTATCATTTAAAAAGCAGGACCATCCACCGTTTTATTGAGAAAACAGAAAGCTGATTTGTTAACACACATGGTAGTCTGTTTGAAGCTCTACAACAAATTGCTCTCATGATTATTTGGACATCAAAGCGTTTGCACTTTCTATCAGGCAAATTGTTGATAAAATTTCAAATAGTTTTAGTTCCTGATGCCAAGTTATATCAGAGTTAAATAACCAAAACTGAATTGTTTCATAAGCAAATAGCCGTAGTCATGTTAACAGCATAATGATTTTATAGGAAGTCTCAGTCATTTATAGTCTTTCATTGATTTCTTTGTGTGTGTGTTCCTAATATTTAATGTCGTTTTATTGCTTCTTCCAGGCTTATGTTTGTCCTTTTCTCTCTCCGTTGAAGCACAATTCCTTTTGCTGCCGTGACAATCCAATTTCCCACCAGGGATCAATACAATTTCTTCACTTTTATTGTGGCTCAGGTTTCTCTAAACACATGCTGACATTTGAAGTGGATCTTTCTTTTCTCTCATTAAATCTCAGACGGCTGTTGATTAAAACACAGCCCTGCTTTCCTCATACAGAAACTATTCTGAGTCAAACTGGAAAATGATCTTTTGGTAAATGGAGACGAGTTGTATGATATATTGAAAGACATATATCTTTAGAATTAGACTGCTTTCTTTTATTACATCTCCACTACAGCTTAAGTTATACTTTCATTGTGTAGAATTTGTGAATTTAAACTTTTTATTTATGGTCTTTATTGCCGTTTTTGAACATTTCGCACACTCAAAGGTACAGTGTGCAGAAATATAGGGAATACTTTGGGAAATCTTGATGTCAGATTCTAATTTGAAAATGCTCCCTTGCTCACCCCTCTTGCCACTGAAGCAACTGTGGCCTTCTGTGATGTTTGACAGATCTGCCTGTATTTATCAAGTTCTTGCCGTTAAAAACATCTATTAATACATTAATTAATCTCCATTGTCTTGGTAGGCCACTCACCCATTTCTAGTTTGTCCTCTTTGTGGTGTAGACACATGGCGGTGTGAGATGGCGACTTCAGCGAAGGGGAACCTGCTCAAAAGGCTCTGCCTAAGTTAACAGAAACAAAAATATATTTAATATATTTATATATTCAGGTCATTATATTCTACTTTCAACAAACTTATGAGTATTAAACACTATATTGTACGCACTGCTCCTTTAACCATTTCAAAATCCACTCAAAAAATACCAGTTTCTTAGTGTTATCAATCATAAAAGAAAAACGATGTATTTCTGGCCATGTGTGTTACAATAATTGCAACTTAAGTTTCTCAAAAAACCAATGAACCAAACTAAATTGATCTGAGAGCTCAGTAATACTTGAGTCAGCCAGGCTTGATTACTGTGGCTCTGCTGAACCAATAAAAAAAACCCTCAATGGAAACTTTGCAGTAATGAGAAGTTTGCCAGATATCCCAGCAGGCGGCCCAGTACGCCGCAGCCCGTGATCAAAAGAAATTCAAGTAGAGGAAGGTTATAAACCAATTCTCCAAAACCATTTTCTCCAAATAGAGGGGAAAGAAAGGATAATGGGGAATCTTCCCGTGTGGAAGCCTCGCCAAATTAATCAAAGAAGGAATCCACAATAAAGACCAACATCTAAAGGGTGGTAGACTTGCGTCCTTGAGTTAATGCCAGTGTTCATTATCTCACCAAAAGAAACAGACTGGATAGGAATGGGTCACATGAGGGATTTCAGGAAAAAAACTACTGCAAGGGAACAAAGAGGAACATGGAAACTCGGTTCACGTTACCAAAAATGACACTAATGACTCTCAGTTCCTTTTTAGGTCATTCATAGAGGAGTCTGCAGAACACAGTGTACCACAATAACACTATCACTTACCTAGAGGAATAGGATTGGCATGCTTGTTAATATAAAAATGAAAACCTTGATCCTTCTTTGTAAAAGATTAATAATATTCTCTCATTTTCCAGCACTGAAAATTTGCTCATATGATAAAAATATCACCATGTCAGGGGTCAAGACTGATAGCCTGTTATTGCTAGGATACTCGTCTGCCTCATCATGCTCACATAAATTCTGATATCTCTACTCCAGGTTTCATCAGAGGAGTGTCAGTGTGAGTTCAAGGGAAATTTGATCGTATCGTCATAAGGAAAAGGAAAAAAGGAGAAAAATAGCACATCCATCTTTGAGAGGCTCAAAATGATCAGATTGAGGTTTTAGAGTAGATGAATTAACTTCAACTTTTACTATACTGTTGCTGTTTAAACCTGCCTGCATGACTTTGAGTGTATATATGTATTGAGGCTCAGTTTCACACTTTATTCTGATGTTCTCAGTGCTCATAACAGCTGATACTTGCAGAGAGGCACTATGGTTAACCTGCAAAAAGCTGTTTCTCACCCCAAACCACCTCTTACTGTGTCAAAGGGAAGTGAATGAGTCACTGCCAGCAGAATTACAGAGCGCTCACTCAGACAGTTTAGATGAATCGACTATTGATACGTGTTTTTCGGCCTTGTTATCTGACATTGAATGCCGACTGTAACATGTTCACAGTTAAAGCTAACTGACTGCCTTTGTGTTAAAGTGAGTGCTTTTAAAGGAACCAAGGTTTTACATTTCTGCTCTGTGAAGCAAATGAACGCTGTAGTTGTTGTCATACAAGAAAAAAACATTTTATTCTTCCTCTGACACAAAACGCAGTGAAAGTGTAATGCTTTTAACAGACCCACAAATAACAATCAGGACCGAAGATGGACTTGAGAAACAAAACAAAAGCCCACATTACTGTGGCACTGCTGCAAAATTGTCACTTCTGTACTTTACTGCCACTTTTTCATAGCTTAGGATAAATGAATAATCCTATGTAGAGCTCTGCAGGATGCTTTAAGACTGGACCGACACGAGCAACAGGTGTTAAAATGGTAGTTTGCTCAGATTTGCTGGATAAATTTGCCAATCACTACAGATAAAATGGTTTCTCTTTCGGACACACATAATTTAAAGATTGTGAATTAATTTTACTAAATATTTAGTGGACAAAAAACTTTCAAAAACTGGGAATGGTCTGGATTCTTACAAAATTTTATACAGTATAACATTGTAGTTTTCACAGTGATACCGTGCCTGCCACCCAGTGTAGCTTATTTGTTGATTATATATTCCAGAAGCATTGTGAGTGATTTTGTAAGTCAGAGGTTAGAAATTTAATAACTTGGATGTGTCGCCCCAGGCCAGCAGTGAACAGTAAATATAAAGTGTTCCTGTAAAAACATAATCAAGTGAGAAGAACAATAAACCAAAGGTAAGAAGTCAAGTTTGAAATCCGTGGACTGAATCAAAAATGTGACCCTCATGTTTGTGACTGAGGGTTAGAGCTGCTAAAGGCCCACTGTTGACCTTCTGAACTAACATGATACAGATGTTCACACAAACTCACCACAGATGTGTGTGGGTGGCATGAAGGGGCACTTTTCTCTGCACGTTCAAAAATGTGATAAATAATGAGTAGGAGAAACAGAAAAATTAATGCAAAAACTGTAAAAAAAAAAAGTTTTCTCTGTAATAAATTAAAAAACGTAGAACATTAGTGAAGTATCGCTATCATTCTGAGCAGAAAAAAATAGAAAAAGGCCTCTCTGTGCTGACTGCTCATTTGTTCAGACCATAGACTGTATATAGAATAGACGCCGTCTGTCTCCTCACTGGGTGAAGCCTCTCTGAGAACAGCGCCCTCTGGTGACGGGCTGCAGTATAGGTCATAAACCCCACCTCCTTATGGAGCTGTGGACAAACTTTATAAATGAATGACATAGAATATAAATGTTTCTCCCCCCTGGTTGTGATGTTGACATGTAGTTACTGTCAGACTGGTTTGTGTTCAAGTCCTCTTTTTTCTGTACAGCTCCATTTTTAAAAGTTATTAGGGGGTTCATGTTTTCTATGATTGACACCTGATACAGCCTATATGCGTTCAGGGATTGCGTAGCTCAAATTTGTACAATGACTGAAGGCGGAGCCAAGTTGTCCGTAGTAAACATAGTTTATGTTTTAGGCTAATGAGACCCCATATATGTTCAGGCAACACTGGAACCTGACATCCAGAACTGAGACTTTAACGACTAAGGAAATTAGACTGAA